CCATGGCTCTCATTGTGTCTGGGTGTTCCACTCCAAGAATTCTGTTTCTTGCATTCAGAAGTTGCATTTCCAGCTTCTCTGCCTCTATGTATTTTTCTAGATCTTTATATTTTGATGCTAGGTTTGCCATGCCTCCTATTACACCTGGGTTTTCCACTGCAAGAATTCTGTTTCTTGCATTCAGAACTTGCATTTAGCTCCTCAGCCTCTGTGTACTTTCCTAGGTGTTATATATTACTGCTATATTTGCCATGGCTCCTATTGTCTCTGGGTGTTCTACTCCAAGAATTCTGTTTCTTGCATCCAGAACTTGCATTTCTAACTTGTCTGCCTCTGTGTATTTTCCTAGGTATTTATATGTTACTGCTAGGTTTTCCATGGCTGTGATTGTGTCTGAGTGTTCTACTCCAAGAATTCTGGTGCTTGCGTCCAAAACTTGCATTTCTACCTTCCCTGCCTCTGAGCACTCTTCTTGATCTTTAAATGTTACTGCTAGGTTTTCCATGCCTTTTATTGTGTCTGGGTGTTCCACTTCAAGAATTCTGTTCCTTGCATCCAGAACTTGCATCTTCAACTTCTCTGCCTCTGCAGTTTTTCCCAGAGAATAATATGTTGTTGCTAGATTTGCCATAGCACAGATTGTGTCTAGGTGTTCCACTCCAAGGATTTTTTTCCTTGTATCTAGCACTTGCATCTCCAGTCTTTCTGCCTCTGTGTACTTTCCCGAGTTTTGATATGTTGCTGCCAAATTTGCAATGGCATCAACTGTATCTGGGTGTTCCACTCCAAGAATTCTTTCCCTTGCATCTAGGACTTGCATCTCCAGCTCCTCTGCCTCTGTGTTTTTTCCAAGAGAATAATATGTGGCTGCTAGATTTGCCATAGCTTGGATTGTTTCTGGGTGTTCCACTCCAAGAATTCTTTTCTTTGCATCCAGGACTTGCATCTCTAGCTTCTCTGCCTCTGTGTATTTTCCCACATCCAGATTTGTTGATGCAAGACCTGTCATCGCATACATTCTATCTGAGTGTTCCACACCAAGAATATTATTCCTTGCCTCTAAAACTTGCATCTCCAGTTTATCTGCCTCTGTAGCATTTTCCCAGGTTTCGATGTGTTGCTGCTAAATTTGCCATGGCATTGATTGTATCTGGGTGTTCCACTCCAAGCATGCTTTTCCTTGCATCCAGAACTTGCTTTTCCAGCTCCTCTGCCTCTGTGTATTTTCCCAGAGAATAATATGTTGTTGCTAGATTTGCCATGGCTCGGCTTGTATCTGGGTGGTCCACACCAAGAATTATGTTCCTTGCATCCAAAACTTGGATCTCCAGCTTTTCTGCCTCTGGGTATTTTCCCAAGTTTTGATATGTTGCTGCCAAACTTGTCATGGCATCAATTGTATCTGGGTGTTCCACACCAAGAATTCTGTTCCTTTCATCCAAAACTTGAATCTCCAGTGTCTCTGCTTCTGTGTATTTTCCCAAATCCCTATAGGTTGAAGCAAGATTTGCCATAGCATAAATGGTATCTGGATGTTGAGCTCCAAGAATTCTCTTCCTTGCATCCAGAACTTTAATATCCAGTTTCTCTGCCTCTGTATACTTTCCCATATTTCGATATGTTGCTGCCAAATTTGCCATGGCATAGATTGTATCTGGGTGTTCCACTCCAAGAATTCTGTTTCTGGCATCCAGAACTTGCATTTCTAGCTTCTCTGCCTCTCTGTTTTTTCCCAGAGAATAATATGTTGCTGCTAGATTTGCCATAGCTTTGATTGTATCTGGGTGTTCCACTCCAAGAATTCTGTTGCTTTCATCCAGAACTTTGATATCCAGTTTCTCTGCCTCTGTGTATTTTCCCAAGTTTCGATATGTTGCTGCTAAATTTGCCATGGCATCAATTGTATCAGGGTGTTCCACTCCAAGAACTTTGTTTCTTGCATCCAGAACTTGTATTTCCAGCTTCTCTGCCTCTGTGTATTTTCCCAAGTCTCGATTTGTTGATGCAAGATTTGCCATAGCTCTGATTATATCTGGGTGTTCTGCTCTGAAAATTTTATGTCTTGAGTCCAAGACTTTAATCTGCAAGTTTTCTGCTTCTTTGGTGTATCCTTGAGTTTGCAAGAGAACTCCAAATTTGGCACAAGCATCATCCAAGTAACTGATAGTGTTCTGATTACTTTCTGATCTTGAACACTCCATATTTGCTCTTACATGTGTTACCAAGACCCTGTGAAATCTATATGGTTGGCTTCCATTCCATCTTAGTGAACAAGATAAAGTAGCATATGCCATTAAGCAACATCTTTCCCTCTTATCCCAAGTCATTCTATCTCTACCCCAGGCATGGACCAGTGGATGCATTGCATATACACCATCAGATGGTGATTTCTTGATCAAGGAGAAGAACAGCAATACCCGAATGCCTTCTCTGAAAAGTAAATTATCCCAAGTACCTGTCTTATTCAGGGGAAGTAGTCTCCGATCCAGCATAGAACTGGCAAGTGGCAATTTGGGGTTAGACATTTTTTCATCTTTTTCAAGTGCAGCATAAGAAAATATTTCCTCAGTAATTTCCTCATGATGCAAAAAAGGGAATAATTCCAGCAGGAGCATTGCACTATTGGCTGCATTGGCCTTATGAGAATCATCAGATTTAGCTCTTTGTTGGATTTCTTTGTATGATAGCTCCCAAGTTTCATAGACAGTTCTGTTATACTTAGATGCTCCAGTGAATTCAGAATGGGATAATAACATTTTTCGATGCTCAAAATATTGTGCAAGATAGCCTTCAATAGTGGTGGCTCCAGAAGCAATATAAGCACCAGCTTGATCAATAGCCAGAGGAAGGCAGAAGAGCTCCTTCACAATCTTAGCAGCTTCAGCTTGAAACTTCATTGAAGATGGATCCAAGCAACTGGCTTTTAGAAGCAATTCAATTGCATCATTCTCTTCCATCTCAGTTACTTCCAGAGAATTCTCAGGTGAAATCAGACTTCTTATGGTGGAGTTGCGACTAGTTATCAGAATGTTCCCCCCCCTTCCAGGTGGAAGATAAGCCTCCAGCTCAGCAGGTGATAGAACATCAGCATTGTCAAAGACCATTATATAGTTCTCTTTCAGCAAGCCAATCCAGTGCAGAGCAGATTCAGATGAGCCATCCAGTCCACTAGACTGGGCCGCAGGAAGATTACAGATACCCTTGAGTCCCTGTGTGATGGTTCTGACTGAAGAAGCATCAATCCAGAAAACAGAAGAGAAACTGAAGGCAAATAAAATTTTAGAAACGAGGGTTGGATCTCTGCCTTTGGTGATACTCACCAGTCGGACATATCCTCAACAAACTTCAAGCAAATCTGAGTCTTTCCAATACCCCCCATTCCATACAACAGAAAGAACCTTCTCTTCTGAGCTGAGTCATTTGCGTTGAAAAAATGCCTCTTCAGTTCAGTGATGACTTCTGTGCGACCTGTGAACCGATTGCTCGAATTTGGCATAAGGGGAATGACCCCATTAGACATTGTCCTATTGCCATAATTGTTGACGTGCATCTGTCCGAGATCCACATTAGTTTAGTTCACGGGAACCATTCTACTCACAGTGTGAACAGCATTGAATGTGTTGTTGCTAGCAACAAAGTGGTGAGCGCCCGCAAGAACGCTCACTTTGCTCATGTTGAAATACCGAAGGTAGAGAGGTCAAGAATGAGGGAAGGAAGGAAAGCAGAGCGCCATGATGCCAGGAGACCCCCAATCCTACCATGAGGTGAATCAGTGATCGCAGCGTGCTGCGGCATGTTTCAAAAATACTTTGAGCACGTGTCTGAGCTTTTCCTCTTTCTTGTTTTTTCGGTGGCCGAGCAGCCTTATCGGTGAGAGGGCTCGACTTTTTGCATGGCTCCTACAGAGTTCACAACAAGAGGATGACATCCGAGTCCGCTGGTGCCGAAGGTTGTGATGGGCGGTGCTTGACTCCGCATCTTCCCTGCACGGGTCCGTAACGACATCTCTCAAGAATCTACTGGAAAAGGTGTGGAATGCCACTAATACGGACGCAGGAGCCTCAGCTTTAGGTGGGTCAAGTCTCAGCCCAACCAGAAGATGTACGCGATCTACTTGTCTCTCTTTTTCATCCCGGCAAACTCTTTTCCAAGGATGAAGACGGTGCTGCGCGGTGGCTCAGCGGTGGTTCAGCGGGTCGTGCGTTATATTTCCTTTATCGAGTCCTTAATGCAATTGCGCGGTGGGAGGTCAGCGCTTCAGCTTTGGGTCTGGGAGGTCAGCTTTAGGCTCCTTGGTTCGTTTGACAGAGTGTCAAGTGAGCTCATATTCTTTTCTATAATGGCGGTAGCTAATCGCTGTTTTCGCAGATGACTCTACTTATTCAGCTGCTTTACCCTGTCCGGGCTCGTTCTTTTGCACATCCACATTCGCCCGCTCCTGAGATCCTGATCCCAAACGAATCCAACAGCCGACCTTTGCATTTCCCTTCAATTCCACACTTTGCACCAGCAATGTGACTGCACCTCTCAATCTCGACTGCTCCCCCACTACCTCTCCTTGCGCGCTGAAGCCAACTCTGTTCTTGGCTATTTCGCTGTCCTCCCAACTGATGTCGATCGTTCGGAAGGCCTTTAAAACGACACGGCCGCACGGTTCGTTTCAGTGTGTATAGCCCCGAGGGCGTGTCAAGGCGGCGTGGACGATGGATTGGTTGAGGTCCTCGCCGTTGTTCGACATCCATGGCGAATATCACGGATAAGGTTCGTCCAAACCTTTTCCGATGACGAGGGACAAAGAGAGTGGAGGTTGAGTGGATGCTGAGCTGTGGGGGCCAAATGTAGACGGAACCCGACCGACTTTCCTGCATTTCCTCTTCGTCAGAGTCGTGCTTCAGGCCTCTCAACGCGCGAGAGACGCTCGCCCCTCATGTGCTTGTTATTCCTTCACCTTTATGATCCGCCAGAAGGCATGCGATGGTTCTCTTAGCTCGATCGCAATATCAACCACCCCACCAGGAAAGAGCACCCAGCTGACATTGAAGTGGTGCAGGCTTCCACCGTGAGGACTGTGTGCAGAACGGGCAAATCGACGCCAAATAGAGCGGTGTGGCGGGAGCGGAAGTTAGTTGGGCTGTGGATGTCGATGGTGATTTTGGGTTGATAACATAAGCGTAGCCTGTACGACCGTAACGAGGAATTGTCTACAGACAGCGATGAGACGACGAAGACACGTCATTCAGTCCAAACACGTACTTGTTCAAAATCCGAGAACCCCCAGTATGCTGCGCAGTAACAGGCAAAACACTGGCCAGAGCACTGGCAAAGCCAATCGCAGAGTAGATAGGGTGGTCGATCGCGCTTGGCCATTCGATACCGGAGGTACCTTTCTTGGCGAGGATTGTTTGATATGGCGAGTATTAGTGGTATGCAAAATGTCTATCCCTGGAGGTTTCAGGCAAGTTTCAGGTTCCGCTGTTGCGAAAGATCGAAATGCGTGGAAGGATGGTGCTGTTCCGTTGGTTCCGTATCCTCCACCCAAGTCTGAGCAGAATTGTCAGTTTCTTGGTTTATTCCGACCGAATACGACTTACCTTGATCCAGAGCTTTTCACCTACTCCCAACAGCTGGATGACAACAATCAGGATGCTCAAGATCACCCAAGTCCAATATGATCTACAAGTCATCAGCAGCGCAAAAAGGGTGCATAGAAACCACACTCACGAAGCCTTGAGATAGCTCTTATACATCGACCACTTAACACTCCGTCTCACGATGCTCATCCTTGAGCAACTTGCGCGATTTCTTCGTCTCTTCGAGGGGCGACTTCGTAGTGCCATCGAAGACGTCCGATCGCCAGCAACCGCCGCTTCTTCAAGCTCTCCCTTCTTGACTTCAACAGCGGCGTCCAGCGTGATGCTTTGCGGAATACATTTGGCCCGTAAATCCTGAATTGGATCTTGAGTATCGATACGGCCGTCGAACAGCCTTACGAGTTTAGCGCCGGGGGGTACCAGCTCAACGTGGTGCGTGACGAGAACCTATGGTGGGAAATGAACAATGGAGGGTGATCGCTGATGGACAACTTACGACTGTCCGATTTGCGAGCAGAGGTCCACAGAGAAGTTTTTCGTACAAAAACCCGGACGTGTGGCTGACTTAGATGCATCGATAGGCTCGGATCAGGTTCGGTCCTGGTAGAATAGCGGGGCAACTTACAGCAGCACTAAGGGGGTCATCTATTAGAACACATTTAGTACGAGGATAGACGGCGCGAGCGGGAGCAAGCTGTGAAAATAGAATGTTATACATCTAACGTCTTGAAAAGCTCGCAAATCCTTACCTATCCTTCCGACCTCCCGACAAGCTGACACCTCTAGCCCCAATCCGTCGCATCTTCGTCCTCCAAAATCTCCAAATCAGGCTTCAGAGCGCAACACTCCACGGCGGCATTATACCGCTCATCATCAAAGGGGTATCCGCCCCAACATAATGTTTTCTTCAATAGTTTAATGCCTCAACCACGGAGATCAAGCAGCATGCGAAATCGCATGTATGTGTCCATTCTCGTCGATGCTTGATGTGTTTTAACATGATGATCTTGCCTTGTTGTAATGTCACCTCTCCAAGCAGCGCCATCTACGGGTGATTAAGACAAGGCGGGACAGTCAAGAAATACGGCGACGTACAAGAAGAGCCGATGCAGTAGGTCCATTGACGACGGACAACTGTCCCTCTGGAGACCGAACTGTAATATCATAAAGCTCGAACTTGTGTCTCCAACCTAGCCGGCAGCGATATAGAGTCGCTGGCGGCGGTTTCGACGTCACTGGTAGCCACAGTGTCAACATCTTCATTGGAGGACGATGGGTTTGGAATGTTACTTAGCGGGCTGGGGCTCGAAGCAACATTCTTGGTCTTATCCTGTTCCTCCTGTTTCATCATCGTCTCCGCCAGGGAGGTGAGGCTCCGTTGAGTATAAGTACTTCTTCAAAGAAGATACTTGATCCGTAACTTCTTCGTCGAGGTACACAGCGATACGCTCGAGCGCAACAGCAGTCTGTGTAATTGTTTGATCATTTTTTTGGTGTGATGAAGGCCGGAAGAGAGGAGCTTAACGTACCTGGAGGTTTTGGGCAATCCGTGTTGGAATGACGTTCAGGGGAGTTCAATCATCCCAAAAAGTGCAATAGACTAGAACCAAAACCAATCAGCAATTGTACCGTATAGGTGAAATGAGAGAGCCCACCGAAACGCAACACCAATGGTCAACTCGCCTCCCTGCATAATAAACACGAAGAACGAGACAATGGACACCAAAGTAGGGGCACACGTCCAAAAGAGGTAAAACATGACGGAATTGACGCGAGCTGGGAAGAGAGAACATTGTCAATGATGATAAGTAGAAGTACCAGGCGTACTTACTTGAGGAAGAAGGGGCCTGCATAGTTGATTACTGCGGTTACAAAAGTTAATGAGAAATCGAGGCTGGCGCAAGGTTAGCAGCGAAATTTTAAGGAGAGAAGGGCAGCGTACATCAAGTCAAGCGATTGGCACTTTGACCCAGAAAAAGGTGACCCACCCAAGGGGAGGAGGATATGGGATGGAGAACACGGTGTGGTCGTAAATCAACCCGCCAATTTGGAGAACGGAAGAGCCGAGGAAGAGGAGGTAGATGGTGAACATGTCATATGGTGGTGTAGCCGTCGGACGGGCAATGGGTCGTATGACGAGGCGATAAGGAAGGGAAGGACACCACCTTGAAGGTCTTTGTACAGGTTGAACGACCCATGCGCAATCCAGCAAAACGATTCCGTGATACCGACGAACACGCACACGAGCGTGCGCCAAAGTGGGACCGATTCCTCGACCAACTCCCCGTCTTTCTCCTTAACTTCTACATCCAATGCCTCTGCCTCATGCAGGGTTGCCGCCTAATGGCCAAAAATGTTGTTGATAAATGGCAGGGTAAGATAGCGATTGAGACTGACCGTTGTCCTTGAATGGATGAGCTAAAGCGAGTGGGAGAGGGATGACTAGTAAGAGGATGGGGAAAGGTGTGGCAAATTGCTGTCTTGATAGCAGTAGTGAATTTAAAGTGTCAGTGGAACAAGGGAATCGAACAAAGACTTCATCTTTGTTCACGAACACGTTCGCCGAACGGCGAACGCGCCCCACGGTCATGTGTCCATCCTTCCCAGGCACTTCTTCGTCGCGTCCTCGTCACCAATGGCATGGGCACCCTTCAATAAAACTTATTGTTACATGGTAGGGCCTTATTATTCTATTCAACAGTTAGTAGATTATTCCCTTTATGTAATCAAAATTTCCACCTCTTGATAGATCTTCACGAGGTGCATCCATTGCAGAAAACCATGAAATTCCTCTGTATAAGTACATGGTGAGCTGATTATAAACATGTTGTAAACATGGGTAGAGTTGTCGCGTCGGCCAGTGGAGTGTAGGTAGTCTTGTCGCTGTGATACTTTGGTAGATCAACAGGGCGCGCAGCCGTCGCGTTGACCGACCAAGCAGGGTGTGGGAAAGCGACATCTTAATTGAGCAAATGTTCGCCCATTCGTGTTCACGTTCAGCGTTCACGTTCGCAGTTCGTGAACACATATCCTTGTGGATGAGATTTCCTATTTCGATCGATAACCTCTTAGGATGACACTACCTTGCGAGCAGGTAGTTACATCTACTTAGGTATAATCGCCAACGATTCCGTGTTCAACAATATGGACAAGTATGATACTACCGGCATTGTAGCATGTCAAATGAACCCTGTATTGTATTTCACAGAAGATCCGACTCCAAGTATCTTTGTATTTCCGGGTCGGTCTCCCGCTGAAGATGCGTGATTGTTCTCACAGAGAAATCAAACTTCACATGACTTTTTAGCCAGGTGAATTGTGAATCTCCAATTTTCTCTAGCTCCTCCTTCAATGCCTTCCGATGACGTTCCCCTAATTGACGTTCCTCAAGTTCCTCGGCGCGAAAAAATAAATCGTCAACCCAGACAATAATTTTGAGGGATACACGGTGAAGGGATTGAAAGGCGGACCGCGATAGGACATCATCAAGTCTCCCCCATATCGCATCGGTTCGGCAAGAGGTGTAGCACTGGACATAGGCATGGATTAACAATTCTTCAAGTACATTGTCTGCCGACATCTCGGATAGCACATCTGGAAGACCAAGCAGTGGATCCTGTGATTCGTTCCCAATTTCGAAGAGAGGTACTAAGGTTTTCAATGAGCGACACGCCGCCAAAGACGAGGGGACCTCTCTGTCGACTGAAATAAAAATTCAGTTGAGAATGACTTCGATGATTGATTAGAATTTACCTTCGCATTGAAGATATTTTAAGTTTGGTGAGACTTTCATCACCTCTTTGAATGCGGCAACCTCGTCCGCAAGGCACAGGCTGATGCTATTCAGTGAATGTAGACTTGAAAAGTCTACGGCGGGGGAATCCGTTGATGTTCTGTCGCGTACGAGGGCCCGAATACTGGAAAGTGGGGTGAGGCCAAAGTCGAAGGACTTTATGCGGGTTACGATATTAGGGGGAGTATTTTTGCGCTCGTGGAACTTGCTTTTACGGAATTTGGCTTTGTGTATCGATAGCGTTGTGCATCTAGCGGCACTTAATAGAGTGGCTGGTAAGTTCTTGAAATTTAAAATGGTGAGCTCTTCCAAGGTAGGGTGGCGGATGACATGCTGTAAGGCAGCCTGCAACTCCGTTGGTAGTTCATCCCAATCCGCAGCAGCGAAATTGAACAGATTGGAACCCAATATCAAGGATTTGACGTTAACGTGGGAGGTCAGGCGCAGGCGCCGGGGAAGGTCATTATCCATGAAAGAAGACCAGTCCACATTGAAGTGGAATATGCCCTCGCCCAAATCTGTTTCCTCTCCTCTGAATGTTTCAAAAGGGATGGGCAAAGCAGTGGTTTTCCTGGACCTTTTCGCTTTAAGAATCGATGAGGAGCAGATGTTTCTTCGAAGATGGAAAAAAGGTCGACGCAAGCTCATGTTGTACGTTGGTGAAGGATGGGAAGGTTTCAGGTGGTGGGTGAAGATCGCGTGACGGTTGTCACTGATGATGCGGATTTGGCTGGTTCATCCGATTTCGAGATGAGGTCTTGTTTCCATTTCACCTTCCTATTCGTTGATCAACGACACGCTGAAGTTCCTACCCGCCACTTCGCTGCCACTGTTAAACCGGCCAACGCCTCCACGTCACAAGAAGTGCCAGTAGAATGCGGCCGACTCGTTAACTCTTCTGGTTTCTCAAAGCTTGGCACCATCTCGATCCCTATCCACCTGTCTTTCAACATCTACAACTCTAGAGCACCTTGTCGACTGCCTCCATCCATTTCTATGGTGTTCCGAAGATCTCGGCCTAGGTCTGCGACTAACGTCCCTCTTGTGGCATTGTGGACAGGCAGTGTCCTCCCCGATTTTCAAAGAACAATTTTACTACAAGAACTCGCTTACGACGCAGTCAACGCAGCCACAGGACAGACCACAAAATAGAGTTAGAACTAGTGGAGTATCTCTTGACAATTTACTGAACGACGGAGCTTTCCAGTGATGCAGCGCCTTCGAACCAGTGGGTGGAGTTACGAAGTTGTGCCTTCAAGATTACCACCTCTGACTCACGACATCTTCTCAAGACTTCGGGCAATTTCCAACATATGCTGAACAATGTCAACCGGTGCCGTTTGATGCGATGACTTGAATAGGTTCCACAGATGCCGTGTGACTCGAAATGATGATTGAGACCTTATTTATATCCTAGTGAGTACACGGACAGATTTTCAAGCGGCCTCACTTGGGCAGTCGGGAATCTCTCCCTTTTTCCACTCAAACACATCTTCGAGGAAACCAAACAAGCGTTACCTTCACCACGATGACGCGATCCAAGGCCACTCTCTCTCCCCGTGATGCTTTCACAAAGGTGGGGCTGCTTTCCTCTATGGTATTGCTCATCATAAGATTTTGAACTTAGACTATGCGCGCGAGGGCCCAGTTCGAGTGCACCAACTTCCGAGTGGCCATGCTCAACGCAACCAAGGTATTATATTCCTTCAAGTCATTTCTCCTGCACAACCACTCACCTTGACATGTAGGCTGAGAAGACCACCACGTCCCGCCGGAACCCCGGTCGCATGGACGGCATGACATGGAACAGCGATGCTTTCATCTGTGAGGTTGACGACGGCGATACGACACCCGAATTTACTGAGATTTGGGAGGTGTATGTGCCGTCCGACTTTGACGACACGCCATCTCGCAATGTGCAACCTTTAACAATTTCTCTTCTGGATATCGCGCGGCCCGCCAAGGCCAAGGGTAACACCAATTTCAATCTTTCAACGTTCCAATGCTTACATCCTGCCTGATTCTAGGCGTGGCCAAGGACTTTGAGGTCGTCCAAGGGGTAAAGCGCGTGATAGCGCTGGAAGAGTCAGAGATCGATCCCACTGAACAGTGGGAGGACGACTGGGAGGATCTGTATGACGATGACGTACAGGTGCGCGAGCGCAAGTCGTACTCAGCCGTCCTTCGGGGCAACGAGGGATGAAGAAGGATTGAACGGGGTGTCGAGGTGACTAGGAGATCCCCATTATTGATGGGTTGAATGTTAACTGGGTCAAAATTGGCTCGAACGCACTGCGAAGACGTCTGCAAAGATTGGTGGTTTTTGAATTTTGGGGTCAAGTGCTCCGTGGGTGCTCCGCGCACTGTCTTGTCGATTTCCCTTACTTTGCCAGGAATTTTTGCATGTATTATAGTGTATACCATGCGACCGTTTACAATTCACGATTGGATTTGTTATACTTATATCTCGGAGGCACAATACCTTGAGGCGATGGCCAAGCGATGGCATCAACCGAAATCCGAGTTTATCGGACTTACACTCTCCACTCAAAACCAACTTGCTCGTCGCCCTCAGCGTCGTTGGATTCTAAACGTGTCCAATCTCTCGTAACTTCATGAGCGTATGTAGTTCCGGGTGATGTGGGTGAGGTAACGCGGACGTGTACATCCAACTCCGAGGTGAGCCTCATTTTTCCATTTTACCTTTCAATTCGTTGATCAACGACAGCTCAAGGTCCTGCCCGCCGGTTTGCTGCCACTGCTAAACCAGCCAACGCCTCCACGTCACAAGAACTACCAGCAGAATGTGGCTGAATCAGCTATCAAAGTTCGCTCTTTTGGCTGCTCAATACTTGGTACCATCCCGATCAACTTCCACCTGTCTTTCAACATCCACCACTCTAGAGCACCTTGTCGACTGCTTCCATCCTTTCACAGTTCCGGAAAGAAAATACCCCGACTACCCATCCTACGACGCAGCACAGCCAAACGCTACTCAACGACAAGCGTGGTCAGACGTCATAACAGCAGTCTTAAACGTGGACGGAAACTGCTCTTCAATCTTTATACCTCCCTCTATCAACACAATAATATCCGTCGCGCCATTCACCGACTCGTCCGGCACCGCTTTTTGCGTACTCTACGAATCTAGTGTCGAATCGGGACATTACGCGAAAGGATGGGGCCTCTTCGTCGTTCCCGAACTACGTGCGGACGTTTCACGTTCTATCCATTTCTCCGCTCCACATCCAGGATGGCCCGGTGGAGACGGGGACACCCCACAGCAAGCAGCTTCCTTGTTCAAGGCGACGGGCGCGAAGAGCCTGCTCATCACTGGGAGGAAGCGGACGGCTTCAATATTGCCTTCTGACTGCGTTACTTCTAGTCAAGGTGGTCAGCATTACTATATGACGGATCCTACTCATAGCATCGTGCGTATGAAGTTGAAATTACGAAATCACAGTACTGAAATATTTCATCAGCGCGAACCGTTCTTCGATGCAAATTTGGCCATCATAGGGTGGCAGAACGAGAATGGGGGTTGCCCTGCTACGTCGTGTGCTTTCATTCAAATGCATGGGAAAGCGAGAACAACTTGCGCCTCGGAACAAGTGTTCCTATCCGCTGGTCTGGGTAAGTTATACCGTACAGGCTGCTTTTTCTTCCTCGAGTTCATTACCTATCACGCAGGACGTGGCAAGGCGTCCGTTGCATGGTACACCGACGACGTCGATCGTCCCGTCAAGCGTTTGAAGACACAACTCATACGATCCTTTCCTCATTGGAACATATCTCTTCCTTCGGACGACAGTTGCCTCCTTACAGCGACAAAGAATGTTGTAGGGAGGTACCTCAACAACGTTGACCCTTCACATGTATGCGATCAGGGGGCCACTGCACAAGGTGCATCAGGCAAGTTCATTCATATTGAAAAGGCTGAAGTTTCAAAGGACCCGGGAAACTATGCTCCATGGGCGGCCGCTTTAAGGGAAGCGTTCGGGGCTACAGATAGTGCCATTAAAGCTGCTGAACCAAATTGAAAGCTGCGTGTTGATACCGGTACATTGCATTACGCAGCAGATCTATTGAACATATAGCTAGACTTCGGATGTAAATGAGAGTGAATAGATCATATCATTGGTGCTCAGCCTTGGCCTTCGCAGCCGCCTCCAACTCGCTGAAAGATCCACTCTTCAAGCACATGCCGCGGAAGATTCCATCCTCCTTTCGTATAAGATTCCACGGAGAATCAGACTCGACGATCTGTAGAGCAAATCTGAGCTGATGTACTGCAAGTCCGCATCATGCACTTACATGTCCCTTGTCCAAAACAATGAGGCGGTCATAATCGATAACGGTGCGGAGACGGTGGGCCACTGGAATTGGGTCAGATAGAACAAAGAATGGAGGTAGTGGGGGGGCTCGCCTGTCAGTAGAAGGGAGTCGTTAAACTCTTCGCGAATGGTAGCCTGGATCTTCGCATCGGTTGCGAAATCAATACTACTCGTAGCTTCATCCAAAACGATGATTGACGAGCGCCGCAGTAAGGCGCGGGCCATGGCGATAAGTTGCCGTTGACCTTGGGAGAAATTAGTTCCCCCAGCCGAAACTTTGGTGTCCAGCGTGACAGTAGTTTTCGAGTCTACTTCGGTCGCAGTAGACACGGAGCCGACTATACTCTCTCTTTCGACATCGCGGATAGACGCTGGCCGGGAAGAGGCACGAGAAGAAGAGGCGGATGTTTCCCGCGAAATTTGTTGAGGGCTGTCCGTAATCATTTGGACACGGCGGAGGACGTCCAGACATTCACTATCGGTGTGTTCGCCTAAACAAGGAGATTTAGCAAAAGAAAGACGCCATTACCATAGACGTACCAAACGGATCAAGATTGTCTCGAAGAGTGCCCGAGAACAACGTAGCGTCTTGGGGTATGAAAGTCTGTGATGATAGTTAGATGCTGGTAAGAATTTACCGAAACCGTGTGCCTACCAATCTCGAACGGAGATCATGAATACCAATTGTAGATATATCAATTCCATCAATGATAATACGGCCACTGGAAGGGTCGGCCTGAAAGGCGACTAAGCGACTATGTTGGAGGCGTAGTATCAAGAAACTTACGAATCTGAGGATACTCATTGCCAAGGTCGACTTTCCGCTTCCTATCAACGCAAACATCAGATTACGTCCGGATTAAGATAAGGCAAAACAAACCAGTACGACCCAGGAGACCAACACTCTCACCCGCCTTCAAGGTGAAGGAAACATCGTGAAGCACGGCAGGGAGATCCGAAGCATACTTGACTTCGAGATTCTCAACCCGAATAAGGGCGTCGTTGTTGGAACTTGAAGGCCAGTACGCAGGAACGCGGTTAGACTCGATTACTGCGGGTGGCTCTTGAGGAAGGTCCAGACTAAATGACGGTCTTGGATTAGAGGTCGTCGATGAGCGCAGAAAGAATAGCTCACTATTCGACAACACGTTCAACGGAGCTGAGAAGACTCGAATTAACGTCGTCACATCGAGGGACTTACTTGAGATCCAGTTCCAGAGCTGTAAAAGCGAGGGTTATCAAAAAGTCGAAGAAACGACCAAAAGGAATGCCTCACCAGTCCAGAATCGACATGCCCAATAAACTAGAAAGAGTTCAGAGCCGTGGTCGTACATACTAGAAGCAACTCTCACCTGAAGATGTGAAAGCCATGGCACTCGTTATACAAAGACCAGCAAGGCCAGCCCCATCGGTGAGCGTGGCGATCGAGAACAAGGTTGACACCAGGACAGCAACGGCTCCCAGGGCATCGAAGTTCAGCAAGAGCCAGCGATTGGTCATCCAAAAGGTGTACCACATCTGCATACAATAAGAAGGTTAGTTTGCTTCAAGGTTAGCCCGAGAGAATGCAAGCTAACCTTTGTAGTTGTGTCAATCCTCTTGTGGAGGTTGTTAAGGAACCGCCGCTCTGCAGAGAAAGCTCTGACGGTGACGATACCCTCCAACAACTCCCCAAAATCGGAAAAGATGGGAGATCGGGTGTTGGATTCCATTCGTCGCAAATCACGACCGGTATTCAAGTAACTTATCGCTAGCTCGCGATATGCAAAGCCGATGAAGAAAGCTGGGATCAAAAAGTACGGGAATACCACGCTGATAAGAACATCAGTTCAAGATCTTGTTGCTGAAAGGGGACTTACGCGACGGTGATGATGGCGGCGAAGAAACTGGCAAGGGAAGAGTTCACAGCTTGTAGCGAACCAGCTAGAGAGGAGTCGATGGTCTCAATGTCCTGTAATGAACAGGATCAATGAGGGCGAAGGTCAAAGAGGGGAAAGGACATACCTTTCCGAAACGATTGAGCATCCGTCCTAAAGACAAATGAGCGTCAATCACCAAAAAGATGGGTAATGTCACCAACCTTGGGGAGTGGTATCATGAAACCTAAACGTAGCCCGTACGACCGTAACAAGGAGTTGCCTACAGAACAGCAATGAGACGATGACGACACATCATTGAGTCAAAACACATACTTGAACAGAATCCGAGAAGCCCTCAATGCCCCGGTATACTGCGCAGTAACGGACAAAACACTAGCCAGAGCACTAGCAAACCCAATCGCAGAGTAGACGCCAATGTAAAACAAAGGATGCTCGACCGCGCTAGGCCATTCGATCCCAAAGATACCCTTCTCGACGAGCATAGTTTGGTATGGCGAGTACTGGTGATACGTGAAATGTCCATCCATAGGCATTTCGTGTTCCGCCGTTGCGAAGGATCGATAAGCGTAGAAAGACGGTGCCGTTCCGTTGTTTCCATACGCTTCACCCCAAGTCTAAGGGCAGAATTATCAGTTTCTTCGTTGACCTCTAGCGAAGACGACCTACCTTGATCCAAAGCTTTTCACCAACGCCCAAAAGCTGAATAACAACAATCAAGACACTCAAAATCACCCAAGTCCAGTACGATCTACAAATAACCCATCAGCCACGCAAAAAAGGGTTCATACAAAACCACACGTACGAAGCCTTGAGATAGCTCTTATATATCGACCACTTAACACCCCCCGTCTCGCGATGCTCATCCTTGACCAACTTACGCGGTTTCTTCGTCGGCTCTTCAAGTGGTGACTTCAAAGCAACATCCAGATCATCACCAGCTACAACCACCGCTTCCTCAAGCTCTTCCTTCTTTACTTCAACAGCGGCGTCCAGCGTGATATTCTGCAGGACACCTTGCGCCTGTAACTCCTGAATGGGACCTTAAGTATCAATACGCCCGTCAAGCATTCTGACGAGGTAGTTGGCGCCGGGAAGGACTAGTTCGACGTGGTGCGTGACGAGGACCTAGTATGGTGGGGGAATGAACAATAGAGGGTGAGTTTTAATGGACAGACTTACAACTGTCCGGTTTGCAAGCAGAGGTCCACAAAGAAGTTTTTCGTACAAAAACCTGGACGTGTGGCTGTCCTAAATTCACGATTAGGTTCAGTCCTGGTAGACTAACGGGGGGACTTACAACAGCACTGAGTGGATCATCCAACAGCACATATTTCGTCCGAGCATAAACCGCCCGAGCGAGCGCAACCCTGCGTAAAAAAAAAGCCATCAAGTCATCACCTCCAAACAGCACTCACAAACCCTCACACACCTAGCTTTCTGACCCCCGACAAACTAACACCCCTCGCCCCAATCTCCGTCTTATCCCCATCCTCCAAAATCTCTAAATTAGGTTTAAGAGCACAACATTCCACAACGGCATCATACCGCTCTTCATCAAGCGGATATCCAAACAAAATGTTCTCTTTGATAGATTGATGCCTCAACCACGGAGACTGAGCAGCGTACGAAATGGCATGCATGTACCCGTTTTCGTCGATCCGTGATGTGTTCTTGGACATGATGATCTTGCCTTGTTGGAGCGTCACTTCTCCCAGCAATGCCATCTACGTACACCAAACGAGGGATCAAGTAAGACGAGGCGGACAGGAAGAGGAAGGAATAGGACAACGTACAAGAAGGGCCGTTTTTCCAGAGGCAGTAGGTCCAGTGACGACGGATAGTTGTCCCTCCGGAAACCGAACCGTAACATCCCGAAGCTCAAACGTGTGATCAGCCTCCAACCCAGCCAACAGCGATCCAGAATCGCTGGCGGCGGTTTCGACGTCCGCAGTTTCAACGTCGTTGTCATTGTCATTGGAGGAGGATATTGGGCTTGGGGGGCTCAAAACCCCATTCTTCTTCGTCGTCTTATCGAGTTTCTGTTCCTGTTTCTCAACATCCACAACTTCGTTCCATTTGAGAGTAGCGTTTTCCAGCCCCAAACCCTCTTCATCGTCTCCGCCAGGAAGGTGTGGCTCCGCTGGGTTTGCGTACTTCTTCAAAGACGACACTTGGTCCGTAACTTCTTCTTCGTCGAGGTACACAGAGATACGTTTCAGCGCAACGCCAGTCTATTCGATCGTTTTATCAGTGTTAAGAATCCCGGCAGAGAGGAGCCTAAGTGCGGTACCTGAAGAATCTGAACTATCCACGTCGGAATGACGTTCAGCGGAGTTCTAACCATCCCAAAGAGTGCGATAGACTACACCAGTCATCAATCATACCATATAAGCAAAAAGAAAGAGACAGAACTTACGGTAAAAGCAACACTAATCGTCAACTCGCCACCCTGCATAACAAACACGAAGAACGAAACAATGGACACCAAGATGGGTGCACACGTCCAAAGGAGGTAAAACATAACCGAATTGACGCAAGCTGGGGGAATCGTCAGTGACAATAGCACGATACGCCAAAATCCCCACGCACCCTTAATCATCCATTGCATCTCAACCTCCCTCGCATCCAACGCTCTCCCAATCCAGCGTTCCTCCCACGCAAAGAACTTGATGAACTTGACCTGTACCACCACGACATGTCAGCCATGATTGATTACAAGATGAAAGAGTAAGGCGGACGTACAGCACCAATAAGTTCATTCAACACCCCCATCCTTTTATCCCTCGCCGCCAACACGCCCTTCTGGATCCGGATACTCCGTTTCGCGATGAAGCTGTTCAGAGGCCAACCCGCCAGTAGGACTATGAACCCTGCGAATGCGCTCCAGCCTAACAGTCTATTTTTTGTTTGAGTGTAAGTTGGGTGAGGGTGAGGATGAGGATGAGAAACGTACTGGTACAAAAATACACCAGCGATGAGGATTTCGAATGGTGCTGCGTTGGTTGGGTGTCAGTAAGCGCAGCGATGGGGGGAGTAAGGTACCTACCTCCGTAAAGAAAATAAAATCCTGATACGGTTTGTGAGATCTATTGACGTGAGCCAACATCGCGACAAAGAAAAGGGGAATGTACTTACGCGATTAGCATCCCCAGCCATAAGGTTAACAATCTTCCCCACATCCGCACCAGCCTTTGGATCATCCGCCTTTGCAGCTTTTTCCTTTTCTTGTTTCTTCTCCGCTTTCGTCTTGCCTACATTTATCATCAGCACCGCTCCACATAAAAAACGGGTGGTGGATACACACGTTTTCGTTTCACATTACCCTCCGTCGTCGTCTTCTCCTCCTTACTAACAACCCCCGAAAAATCCTTCCTCTTCAACGCCTTGTCATATATCGCCGCCATAAGCTCTGACCTAATCCTCGTGGACGCGCGTCGGCCATACCACAGGTGCTGTACGTCGGCCTGGGCTTTCAGAAGTGTGCACGTGAACGCCAGAAACGCGTAGATGTACGCTCGAGTTTGGCTTTCGGGAGTTGGGTGCTCCAAGTCGATGGCATCGAGGATTAATCTTGGTGGATTATCAGGGAAGAAGGGTAGGTAGATGTACTGGGTGAACTTACTTGAGGAAGAAGGGACCTGCGTAGTTGAACACTACGCTCACAAAAGTTAAGCAGAAATCGAGGCTGGCGCGAGGTTAGCTGCGAAAAAGTAAGGGGAGAAGGGTAACGTACATCAAGTCAAGCGAGTTGGCTTTCCAAAGGCGGCGTAGGAGCGTCGACTGCGCAATCGCGCTGAACTTGACAAAGATCGGGCGTGATTGCATCGTTGGGCTGAGGTTCCAGACGTCGCTCTCATTCAGGGTATTATCCCTGCCCAAGTCGACGAGGGGTTTGACCCAGGAAAAGGTGACCCACCCCCAGAGGGAAGTGTAGTCTTCTGGGGTGACGGATCGGCCCTGTCTAATGTTAGCTATTTGTCAAGAGGATAAAATGGATTACGCACGATTTCAGATGGATCGATGAGGTTGCTAGGAACTGCGAGAGGCATGCTGAGTATGAGACATAACAGACCTATGACTGCGACGAGGTTTAAGGCGAGGGCAAAAATGGTGAGGGGAGGAGGATATGGGATGGAGAAGACGGTGTGGTCGTAAATCAACCCGCCAATTTGGAGAACGGAAGAGCAGAGGAAGAGGAGGTAGATGGTGAAGATATCATATGGTGGTGTAGCCGTCGGACGGGCAATGGGTCGTATGACGGTGTATAGCCATACAAGGGCGATAAGGAAGGGAAGAACACCGCTCTGAGGATCCTTGTACAGGCTGAACGAGCCATGCGCAATCCAACAGAAGGTTTCGGTGATACCGACGAATACGCACACGAGCGTGCGCCAAAGTGGGACTGATTCCAACTCCCCGTATTTCTCCTCAGCTTCTACATCCAACGCCTCTGCTTCATGCAAGGTTATGTATTCCTGAAACGGCGCTGCGTGTACTTTGCGAAGAGCGCTGGGCAACGGAATGGAGAAGAGACAAAGGGCCAAAAGGAAGGAAAAGGGCAGCAATGCACCCCATGTATCCCTCACGCACCCGCTTCGAAAGTCGAATGGCCCGTCGTCGTCGCACAGGCGCATGGTGACGGTGAGAGGAGGGATGAAAATCGAAGAAGAGAAGTTGACTAAACACGTGGGTAATACAAGTCCCGAGGGCGCTTAAGCGCGTCATCGGTCCTCCGCTGTTATCACGTCTCCTTCAAGGGCGTCACGTTGATAATTCGTAAAGCACAATGGTCATGAAGCAAAGATGCTGATTTGTTGCAATGACGTCGGTACTTTCCAAGTGAAATAAAAGTCCGCCCCACTGCCGAACCAACGAGAATGCAGCCATTTAAAGTTAAAGGACAGATTTAAATTCAGCTGTGAAAAGTGGTAAGTTTTTGATGATTTTTGGTCATATTTTCACTATAAGGTCGTACGGACGAGCGGAACCTCCCCATAAAATTGTTGTGAACGACAAAGAAACAATGTAGCTACGAAATGTAACAAAACCAAACAAAGCGCCTCTCTCATCTAATCATCACAAAGTCAGCGCACACGCGAAGTCAATTGCTGTGAATGTAATGTGAGTAATCGCCTCCGCACACCAAGTCAACGCCAATCTAACTTTGGAACATTCATCACAAAGTCAGCGCACACGCAAAGTCGATCGCTGTGAACGTAAAGTGAGTAATCACCTTTGCACGCCAAGTCCACAAAAAACTAACTTTGGAATGCAAGTTCACAATTATCCGTCATGGGCGTCGTTTGGTCGGACCTTTTTTCGGATGCTTAACAACTGGTAATTGACTGGTAAGTGATATCTGCCCAGTGCCAGTGCGCCAACAAACCATTTTAATTCCTTTTGCAACAGCCGCTGGAGCATTTATTGAATGCCTATACCTCGTTTCGCAGTTGGGAGAGATCGCAGAAAGCAGGACTACGTTCAATGTAAGTAAATTTGTGGTCAGATTCCGCTCAGTACACTGACAAACCTCATTTACAAGACATCTTCAACGTTCGCAGATGTCCATGCGCGATTTTCAACAGAAGCGTAGCGTTTGGGTGCAGGGATGGCGGACATGACGACATCTTGAGAGTAGGACGAGGAAGAAGATGAAGATGAGATATTGGTAATCACACAACATCTCATATGTCGAGAGAGGGTTTGGCGGACATCTGTATGTCGTCTTGACGCATATGGGAAATGTCGAGGAGTGGAGGCGTGCGTCTCTGCCACTGTGGGCTAAGGGAAAGCAAGGACAAGGTGCGGGTAAGTCGACGTATGACTGTAATGCAAAGTTATAATAACATACCTTTCTATAGTCATTGTACCCCAATTTTGCGGGCGTCGATGCGAATAGTCAACATCATGCGACGTCGCCAACGTGGACATGACGTGGAACAAGAGAGGACAGTTGCTCCATGTCTTGAGAGTGTTTTGCGGACGTCCATACATCGTGTCGACGTATATCGGAGATGTCGAGGGAGGGGAGGCGTGCGCCTGTGGCGCTGTGCGCCACGGGAAAGCATCGACAAGGGTCAGACGCGATGCCTATGCAGACGTCGAGAGGGCATTTGGCGGACGTCGATATATGGTCTCAAGGCCTATGGGGATTGTAGAGAGGGAGGAACACGCTAAAGAAAAGGTTTGAATACATTATTAGTTGATTGTAAAGGACACTAACATACTTGGGTAGATCGCAACACGGGCAACTGTTAACCCTTTTGCAGATGTCCGTAAGGTCGTGTCGACGTGTATGGGAGATGCCAGGGAGTTGAGGCGTGCGCCTGCGGCGCTGTGGGCAACGGGAAAGCATCGACAAGGGTCCAGACAGTGTTGTGCAGGCACGATGCCTATGCAGACATCCAGAGGGCGTTTGGCGGACGTCGATATATCGTGTTGACGCCTACGGGAGATTTTGAAGAGGGAGGACATGCTAAATAAAAGGTCTCAATACATTATTAGTTGATTGTAAATGACACTGACAACATACATAGCTAGATCGCAACATGTCTGACCTCTAACTAAACAACGTGAGTCGACATACGAGTGTAAGGCAAAGCAAAAATAAATCACCTTTGTCTAGTCGACGTACCCCCAATTTTGCGGAAGTCGATACATATAGTTAACGTCGAGCAGCTGATCTTGGACGACGTTGATTAGGTACTGCATTGACATTATCATGAAAAGAAATGTAACTTACCTTGCTTTCAGAGTGCATGGATGACGATGGCGGTGCTTTGCACCGCCCATCGGGTGATGTTCCCCAACTCAAAGGAAGGTCTGGTGGGCAACTACGCCGATTTGCTCAGAGCCGAGTGGTCCGCTCGCCGCGGGGCCAAGACCTCAGAAAAAAGGGTCGCGATTTTGCTAAAAGATTCGTGTCAGTGAGCGTTTTACGAATGCTTTGATATAATTCTATGCTGACCTTTCCATAGTTGTGTTCGACGTGCTCCGCACCTCTTGCATGCAGTAAACCAAGCAACATGATTGGAACTCGACAGGCGGAACAGAGGGGTGCATGGATGACGTTGGCGGTGCTTCGCACCGCCCTTGGGGTGGTGTTACCCCACTCGAAGGGAGTTCTGGTGGGAAATGACGTCGGTTTGCTCAGAGCCGTGTGGTTCGCTCGCCGCGGGGCCAAGACCTCAGAAAAAAAGGTTGTGGATTTGCTAAAAAGTTTGTGTCAGCGCGCCGTTAGGGAATGCTTTGATTCAAGCTGACCTTCCCATAGTTGTGCTCGAGGTGCTCTGCACCTCTTGCATGCGATATGCCACAAGCAACGTGATTGGAACTCGACACGCGCATAGCGTGGAACAGTGGGGTGCATGGATGATGATTGCGGTGCTTCGCACCGCGCGTTGGGTGATGTGACCCCACTCGAAGGAAATTCTGGTGGGCAACGACGTTGGTTTGCTCAGAGCCGTGTGGTTCGCTCGCCGCGGGGCCAAGACCTCAGAAAAAAAGGTCGTGATTTTGCTAAACAGTTCGTGTCAGCGAGAGTTTTGGGAATGCTTTGATTTAACCCTATGCTGACCTTTGCATAGCTGCTCCACACCTCCTGCAGACGATAATGCATGAGCCATTCAATTGAAATTTGTGTCGCAGACTTGAGAAGGGTGCCGTTGGGCTTGCTGTGCGTCCTAGACCTTGCAAAATGACCTTGGAAGGTAGGCAAAAAGTACTCCTCAAGAGGGGATGGAATCTGGGAGACACGAACCATTAGTTAAGGTCTTTGCAGGTATAAAATGGGTAGAACTAACATTTGGGGAGATATGCGTGTAGGTGTCAGCGCCTTCGCCATGGCATCAACGGTTATAGTCTTGTGGTTTGAATAGTTCACGGTTGCTCTTTTGACAGCATAACAGATTGACCTGTTCAACGAAGATGGTGAGAAGTATAATCATTTCTGAAGAAACATACTGGGTTGTTGCTGATGACATCTTCAATGATGACGAGGAAACATAGGACAGAGGGGCATTAGGACGCCATACAAAAAGGGAGAAGGGATGAAAATGAACATACATCTCCAGAACTTTTATACCTGGAGGATGCCAACCAACGGGGATCTGCGAGGTATGTATCATCATCTTTTTGAAAAATTCTAACATTGGTTATTTCGGTCACGGCGACCTGGACAATGGATCATTTTATTTCCCACATTTCCATTACTGATCTTCCTAGCTTGCCCTGTTGACATGACAAATATCTTCTAGCTCGATTGGTTCATCCTCCAAGTAGATGTCCGACATTTTCTCAATCTCTTTTTCACCTCTCATTTCTCACTCTTAAGTTTCAATTTGAACTCACAATTCATGCTCATATCAGCAGAATAAAATACTTGGCAGAGAACCACTGACAAGTATTCCATTCTGATGGTACGGGCATGAATATAAAAATAGGTCCATGGACCCACACATCGGTATCAACTTGACACTCACCCAATGGCAACCTGAGTAGCTAAAACCCTAGCAATGAGCCCTGAGGTGCACAGTAAAGTCCACCTGAAAGAATATCCTTCTGTCAGCATTTTTTTTCATAGATTAGGTCCTGTCAATGTGACGAAAAGTAAGAGAAACATCCCACAGCAGAATTGACCTCTTTGGGTTCTCAAACATGAGAAATGGGTTTCGCCGTGGGTTGTTGACTTGGCAAATAAAAGTTGTCGAAGTTGATGAGAACCCTGACCCGACCTGTCATCTTCAAGCCGATCACAAAATGCGAGCATGCTCAAATTTGAGCACAATCAATTCCTCTGATCGGAGATTTTGGATCATATGGTGACACCCAGTCAGTGTAATGTTCCGAAAGGCATACAAGATTTCTCACATGATTGTATGATCCTGTCATTGTAAAAGGTCAGTATGCCAGTGGGAACACCGAGTCAAAATTTCAAAATGCGAAGCTCATGCCTTCTTCAAATTTCAGTACATAATGAATGGATTGCCTTTGATTTTGAAAATGTAAGTTCAGAGTTCTTGACTGATTAGACTCACAAGAGCCAAAACTATGCAATGCTTTACCAACTTCAAGCCAATTCACGAGATAGCGCACTGAAGATTTTTGCGGCAATACATTCCTGTGATTAGAGATCCATCACAACACTCCATCAGCATTCAGGAAGGTTTACGAGATTTTTGACTTACGACAAAGGCACTAAACACGGAATTAGATTTCAAGAATGTGATCAGGAGCAGTGAAGAAAGGTGGCAGTGCAATCAGATTCGGAAAGGCTTGCCGTCTTCCGCAAGTCCTCCGTTGGCTTGCTACACTCATGAAACTTCAGCAGGTACATCTTAATGAAGAAGGCATTGAAAATTCGTTGGTTATGAAGTGTAATTGTTAGGAATGTGCTTGACTGGGTACATACATTTCTTTCCGCATGTTTACTCTGTTCATAGGGACTTGCCATTGTTGTCGGTATTCATTGCTTTACTATATTATAAAAGAGACTAAAAATCATTAGAGAAACCCTCTTTTTGTCGATAGTTTGTATGCAAATGCACATTAGAAATTTCCAGCAAGCGTGTTGTGCGTTGCAGTTCAAGTTTGTGCATGCACAAACAAATGATCTTCTCCTCCTCCCCGACTTCCGGTTCAATTACCTTCTTTCGCACTCTCAATTTTCCATCAAAGTTCCAGTTCTAGACCATCTTGGCCCTTTATTGAGTCTCAGTGGGTTCATACCTCCCTTGATATGTTGCAATCTTTTTCCATTCTTCTAGGTCCCCGCAGTGTCTTCTGAATGTACAGAAACTTCCAGCATCTTTTTGCAAAAGTTCCGGATCCAAACTTAGCCCCATCAAGGGTCCTACTTGACAGGTGAAACACGTTTTACCCAGCCCTTTGTGCGGTTCAAGCGGTGTCTTTGTCGGAAGGGGGGAAGGAGGCCATATGCCTCCAATTGCCTCTATTCTTTTCTAACTAAATTCTCTTGTAGCCCCTGTTTATAGTCTAGATAAAATTGTAGAACAAGCGTTACTTTGACTTCTTTGATAATTTTATTCCATTCCAATGTGTTTGCGAACATTGCATAATTACGATGTTCAATTTGAACTCAAACATCGTCGTGTTGTCAGTGTTAGTTTTGCGCAAAGGTAATTCGCTGTCTATAGCAATTCACCCAGCAATTAGGATGATATAATCTACTATTTCTACATAAAATAATGTCGGCGGAGTGGATGAAGGAAGCCCAATAAATTATGTGTGGATACCAAGCCATGCATCTCCGATCACCCAATTCCGGACTCGCCTCCGTAGTTCATTTCTTCTCATTTTATTTCCCTGAGAGGTACCTAGCTCGGATACATCCGTACAGCCCCTTCCAAAGTGTATAAAAGCCAGGGCATTTCGACGTCAAGTCCCCATTCCCTTCTACGTCTTATCCTCCCTCCTCATCCACACTGTTACCTCCTCAGCGCTATCTCATCACACGCTCTCCAGCCATCGTCGCCGCCATGGCCCCTGCCCCACCGCCGTAACGACCTGCATAAGGACGTCTAAATAGTAAGCTCGACGTATGTATCATTCATGACTTACTTGTTTCCCCACATCAGACATCGTCCGTCCCTTGTCATGGTCATCTAATCTTTTCTCGAGGTAAGATTTGATTGGCGTCACGGCGTAGTAAGGAAACTGACTTACCTCTCTCTGATTTACAGGCACTGTGAACGTCTACCTCGTTCTCTGCGCTTTGGGTGACAACGCACGCATACCTCGCGTGCCTTGACACTCTGATAGAAATAGGTAAGTCCTGCTATAATCATCGCATCCGTTAAACTCACCTCGTTGGCAGTTCTTGTCGCCTTCAGAAAGACCAACACTCGGTAAAAAAGACTGATGTTGAACACCACCCACATAAGTCTCAGAATGAAGTCACTCACGGACGCCGGAGAGAAAGGTTCCTGGTGAGTTCCCAACTTTTTCTGATGAATTATTGAGAAGTTAATGTTAGGACGCGGCCCGCCGACAATGTTTTGTAGAGACACGGAATTTTCGACGGTGCGCCATGGTGATTCAACGTACTAATTTTGGGTGGAAACGATGCTCGGGCAGCTCTGAAGGTTCCTGGTGAGTTTTAGATCTGATTAGTACTCTAATTGACTATTGACAAATTGTACAGGAGATGGCCTATTCACGAAACGAGGTAATGAGTAATTAAGTGTACAGCGCAGCCCAACCGCTCACCTTCAACGCCACTCTCCAGATTCCGGCACCACCAATGACGTTCACAGCAGTTAGTCATTACCATCGTGAACGATGGTGTTGACCCGTCGTCATCGGTCTTATGCCCCATCCTGACGACACAACTTCGCAAGAGAAAGCCGCGGCGATGATTGGGAGGGGCGGACTCGGGTATTGGCAAGATGTAGTGTGTAAGAAATCGACGAATTAGTTCATACAACGTAAGTTTCGTCAATCTTCAAGTTGCACAACTGACCTTTTCTTTACAGCGTGCACCTCAACCCTCCTTGCCACATTCCTGCCTCCAAGCGACCGTTGAGCCAGCGTGCACCCTAACTCTCCCCACCACGATCCTGCATCCAAAGGAGGGGATTACAGCCGCCCGTTTGGTGGGCTATTGCTTGAGGATCGTCCGTCAAGGCGATGTGGAGATTGCGCGAGGAAAGTTGTTCCGTCGATGCTGAGTGAGTACATGAGCATCTTTACGCACAGTGCCAAACGGATGACTTACCTAGCGATAATCTTCAGCTCCATCCGTTGGGCGCTGTCTTCTTGGCAGCCTACGGTCTGTCCATGCTGCCCTGGCATCTCGCCCGACCGTTCTCGACATGTCACCTCGATTGGAATGAAGGGGAGTTGCGAGGCGACGAAGTGAAAGAGGATCTGTTGGGAAAGGTACGTCAACGTTAATTGAAGTGTACGCAGTAGGTTCTGACTTACCCATTCCCACTCCCCTCGCTCACGTCGCCAATCCCGCTCATGCATCACCCTATCCGTCAACACTTGTTATGCCCATCGTTTATCCCCAACCTTCGGAACCGACGTTGCCGAATTCGTCTACAGAGTGTTGTCGTTGAGCTGGTACAGGTCTGGGCGTGTTTAGTTGACTTTTGGGGTTGTATGAGTATTGAAAGAGGATTCTGGTACAAAAGGTACGTCAACGTTGGCTCGAAGTCTACGCAGGAAGTTCTGACTTACCCTTTCTCGTTCCCCCCGCTCACGTCGCCAATCCCGCTCACGAATCTCCCAGTCCATCGTCGCTTGCACGCCCATCGTCTATCCCCCGCCTTCAAAACCGACGTTGCCGAACTTGTCTGAAGGGTGTTGTCGTTGAGCTGGTACAGGTCTGGTGCGCTTTTAGTCGACGCTTTGGGGTTGTATGAGTTTTGAAAGAGGATTCTGGTGGAAAGGGTACGTCAGCGTTGATTGAAGTATGTATACACAGAAGGTTCTGACTTACCCATTCCCGTTTCCCCCGTTCTGGTCGCCAATCCCGCTCACGAATCTCCCTGTCCATCACTACTTGTATGCCCATCGTTTATCCCGAGCCTTCGGAACCAACGTTGCCGAACTCATCTGAAGGGCCTTGTCGTGGAGCTGGTACAGGTCTGGATGGAAAGGCGCGCGTTGAGTTGACGTTTGGGGTTGTATGTATATGACATAGTCATACCTGCTCATTCAGCAAACCGTGAGTGTCGACATCCAAGTAGGAATAAAACAAGACGTGCGGAAAGGCGCGTCGAATCGGTAAGTTGAGAACCTTCGTCGATCATCGTCGTTGTTGTCGAGGCAGTTGAAGCGACGTGAGGTCATGGCTGTGTGCAACAAAGCAGGTAGGAGACACAAAGTTGACGGCTTGGAAATTCACGCAAATTTGGTGGTACGCATACTTCATACCTCTACAAACACAGAAAGAAAAGAAAAAGTACAGTACGTAGACTACAGTGTAACAATGTCCGTGTTGGTATACAATTGCGTGAAAACGTGAAGAAAAAAGAAAACACAACGAAATCGCCGCTTCCTCTTTCCACCAACTGTTCCATCGATGTCCTCCCCATCCATGACGACTCTCACACCCGACGCGAGCTGGGGGAAGAGAGAAGAACATCATCAGTGATGATAGGCCAACCGCACGCCAGAAGAAGACGCACCCTTGATCATCCACTGCATCTCAACCTCCCTCGCATCCAACGCTCTCCCAATCCAGCGTTCCTCCCACGCAAAGAACTTGATGAACTTGACCTGTACCACCACGACATGTCAGCCATGATTGATTACAAGATGAAAGAGTAAGGCGGACGTACAGCACCAATAAGTTCATTCAACACCCCCATCCTTTTATCCCTCGCCGCCAACACGCCCTTCTGGATCCGGATACTCCGTTTCGCGATGAAGCTGTTCAGAGGCCAACCCGCCAGTAAGACGATGAACCCCGCAAATGCGCTCCAGCGTAGTAGTCTTTTTTTTGTTTGAGTGTGTTGGGTGAGAGAGGAGGAGGAAGAACGTACTGATACAAGAAGACACCGGCGATGAAGATTTCGAATGGTGCTGCGTTGGTTGTGTGTCAGTGAGCAGTGATGGGGGGAGTAAGGTACCTACCTCCGTAAAGAAAATAAAATCCTGATACGGTTTGTGAGATCTATTGACGTGAGCCAACATCGCGACAAAGAAAAGGGGAATGTACTTACGCGATTAGCATCCCCAGCCATAAGGTTAACAATCTTCCCCACATCCGCACCAGCCTTTGGATCATCTGCCTTTGCAGCTTTTTCCTTTTCTTGTTTCTTCTCCGCTTTCGTCTTGCCTACATTTATCATCAGCACCGCTCCACATAAAAAACGGGTGGTGGATACACACGTTTTCGTTTCACATTACCCTCCGTCGTCGTCTTCTCCTCCTTACTAACAACCCCCGAAAAATCCTTCCTCTTCAACGCCTTGTCATATATCGCCGCCATAAGCTCTGACCTAATCCTCGTGGACGCGCGTCAGCCATACCACAGGTGCTGTACGTCGGCCTGGGCTTTCAGAAGTGTGCACGTGAACGCCAGAAACGCGTAGATGTACGCTCGAGTTTGGCTTTCGGGAGTTGGGTGCTCCAAGTCGATGGCATCGAGGATTAATCTTGGTGGATTATCAGGGAAGAAGGGTAGGTAGATGTACCGGGTGAACTTACTTGAGGAAGAAGGGACCTGCGTAGTTGAACACTACGCTCACAAAAGTTAAGCAGAAATCGAGGCTGGCGCGAGGTTAGCTGCGAAAAAGTAAGGGGAGAAGGGTAACGTACATCAAGTCAAGCGAGTTGGCTTTCCAAAGGCGGCGCAGGAGCGTCGACTGCGCAATCGCGCTGAACTTGACAAAGATCGGGCGTGATTGCATCGTTGGGCTGAGGTTCCAGACGTCGCTCTCATTCAGGGTATTATCCCTGCCCAAGTCGACGAGGGGTTTGACCCAGAAAAAGGTGACCCACCCCCAGAGGGAAGTGTAGTCTTCTGGGGTGACGGATCGGCCCTGTCTAATGTTAGCTATTTGTCAAGAGGATAAAATGGATTACACACGATTTCAGATGGATCGATGAGGTTGCTAGGAACTGCGAGAGGCATGCTGAGTATGAGACATACTTAACAGACCTATGACTGCGACGAGGTTTAAGGCGAGGGCAAAAATGGTGAGGGGAGGAGGATATGGGATGGAGAAGACGGTGTGGTCGTAAATCAACCCGCCAATTTGGAGAACGGAAGAGCAGAGGAAGAGGAGGTAGATGGTGAAGATATCATAGCCGTCGGACGGGCAATGGGTCGTATGACGGTGTATAGCCATACAAGGGCGATAAGGACGGGAAGAACACCGTTCTGAGGATCTTTGTACAGGCTGAACGAGCCATGCGCAATCCAACAGAAGGTTTCGGTGATACCGACGAATACGCACACGAGCGTGCGCCAAAGTGGGACTGATTCCAACTCCCCGTATTTCTCCTCAGCTTCTACATCCAACGCCTCTGCTTCATGCAAGGTTATGTATTCCTGAAACGGCGCTGCGTGTACTTTGCGAAGAGCGCTGGGCAACGGAATGGAGAAGAGACAAAGGGCCAAAAGGAAGGAAAAGGGCAGCAATGCACCCCATGTCTCCCTCACGCACGCGTTTCGAAAGTCGAATGGCCCGTAGTCGTCGCACAGGCGCATAGTGACGGTGAGAGGAGGGAAGGTCAACTAAACACGTGCCGAGGGCGCTTAAGCTCGTCATCGGAAGGGTACTCGGTCACGACGCTATTATCAAGTCTCCGAGTGCGTCAATCACTTTTTCAACGTTGATAAACCGCAATTCTTGTATTGGCACACAGCAAATGTAAGTATTATTGAAAGAGGTCAATCCGGATAAAATACATCCTCTAGTCAAAGTATTCAAGATGTGGTGAGGATTGAAAGCAGTACACAGTAAATCACTAAAAGGCAGGACCGCAGTAAATTAGATTGGTGACACCCGGCGTTGCTATAATTGCGTGCCTATTCTTCTGCTATCATGGCAATGTCCGTTATGTGACATACCAGTGCGAATTTTAAATCTTTCTCGTCGTCGACGCAATCGTGGTTTTGAAGTGCTCAACAAAAGAAAACCATCAGAGAGGTGGTGCAATAAACAACGCAGGCTCGAGAGCCCTTTCCCAATCGCGTCAGTTATCGTCTCCCCATATATCTTCTTCAACTTGAGCTTAAAGTTGCAAAGCGAGGCATTCGAGCAGAATTTCAAGGCATATGTTCACCACGCATGAAAGGATTGGGCTGAATAATCACGACACTTAGCTGTTTGGGATTATGATCTTTGACCGGGCCATCTGAAATTGGAAGGACGATGTGAATTATATGATCGGTTCCAGACGGCGAAGGAGATAGAAACCGAAGTTACGAGAATAATGTGAATCACTACCGCTCGCAATAATAATATCCAACGATATCTTCAACGTCGTCATCAATACCTTGCACGGCCACAAGGTACGAAAAATCCAGAGAAGGTCGATGAAGTAGCTGTGAGCATCGAGCTTGCGCAGCATTGTTCAACTCTCGTCTGGACTCTTCACGGTCATATTCCTCGACCGTATCAAGCCACAATAAGATCTCCAAACGCAAGCAGCGTAACTTGGTGTATCCGGGTAAAGTTAGAACATCGTTCAAGTCCGCTAAAAAGTCAGGTTGGAGCTTCAAAGTTGTAGAAACCTTGATGAGGATTTCTTCGAGGCCGTTGCTCCTTTCTATCCGTCTCAGTTCGTGACAAAGACCAAACAGGGGGTCTTTGGGGTCTATCTCGTCAATGGAGAATCTTAATGACAAGATCTTGAGATTTTCGAAGGAGATGGAAGGCTGGAAAACATCGTTTAAGGAACATTCCTCGTCAACTAAGAAGTGATATATAAGGCCACCGCGTAAGAAGCATAGAAGTCGTACACTTCATTGCGTACCTTTCATACTAAGCGATGTGAGTTGAGTTGCCCTCCTCAATATCTCTCGAAGAGGGGGCAGTGCCTCTTGTTCAGGCAGATCGGCGGTCAACTCCTGGAGATGAGAGAAATCGAGGATTGGAGGGCCATCCTGACCCCTAGTACCGCAAATTAACTTCTCTAGTCCAACGCTCGTTTCACCAAGACTCAAGATCTGTAACCTCGCAATGAGTGCTGTTTCGGCATTCCCGAGTGGTGCGTCGTCCTCGAGCGCACACGAGTGAATGCCCAAATAGGTGAGGTTGGTGCACGGGGCAAAGAAGGAAACAGGAAAGTTGTGTATGCCGTGAAGAATGAGTGCATCCATTCTTGGTGAATAGACAAGACGTGAGATGGCAGATTGCAATTCTGGGGCAACCAAAGCCCAGTCGCAAGGGCTGTACATGTACAAACTCAATTCATCGATCATTGAGAATTGGAGGAAGAGCTGGGAGATGATGTGGACCTCCGCGTCGCTAAAATTGGAAATCATAAAGTTCAGACTTTCAACGTAGTTTGCAACCTCGGGTACTTTGGCAAAAACTTCATCGAGATTCTTGGCTTTCCTTGCTATGCGTTGGGACTGGCCCGTGGAATTTCCACTCGACAAGGAGATGTAGCCAAAGAGATGACGACGACATCGATGAAGGAACAGATGGGAGGTTTGCGATAGTGTTTTCAGAGCGTCGATGTCTCTTTCGAACCAGAGATCGTCAATGAACTTGTCGATGAGCTCCTGGGGCAAGAATGTCCCTGGATTCATTCTTTAGCTGGAGAATGGGGGGAAGCCGAAAATTGCAGAGTTGCGTGATGTTGTTTGCACTAGTTATGGCATCAGCTTTCTTACTACCTCATCCAAGTCCGAGTCGTCGCTCTTCGGCTTCATGATGACCGCCTTTATGAACTGGTTCGCAGGTTATACAACTTCGCGTCGATTCTAGGACGACGTCTCTCAAGTCTACAACGGACGAACGGGCTCCCCTTTTCGGGTGGTGCGGGGCAATGTTGCCAGTATCCATTCTTCGTCATCCACGGATTGTTGAAAGAGGTCGATGGCGGTACGGGAAAGGGGTAAGGGGTGTCAATTAGGCGGGGAACAACTTCTCGTTGTCGTGAATGAGAATACCTTTGTGGACACCGTCATCTGGAACGATAGAAATTCAAGTTCGGCCTCAGTGAGTAGACTGCCGGTGACGGCTTGCGCTACCAGACTGTGCAGAGACCATGCGGACAGGAGAAGGTAACTTATAATTCATCATCCTGAATGTTCAACTCACCGTGTTAGAGAGATACCATTGCGGTGGATAGAAACGATGGCGACGACTCATGGTGATGTTGAAGCTGAATCAAGGGAGGACCATCTCGTGTTGAACAACAACCAACGCTTGAGATCAACGCGGGCGGGGAACATGTGGGTAACTACTAAGATTACCAGAGCGGAAGAGATAAATTAGAGATGTGAAGGGGGTGATGGGGATAGTAAGTTCCGGCTCAAGGTTAAGGAAGGGAAAACCGCACTCACCATGTCAGACAGATATCAAAGCCTACCGCGAGGAACCCGGAGGGGGGACAAATTGTTCAAACAGGAAATTTCGTCGTTTTGGGTGGTAGCATTGGTATATCTCAGTGGAAAGGGACGGTCATTGGGTGCTTTCGGAAGAAATAGGATTTGAACCAAATATACAGACGCGGAGAAAAATTCCCATCATGAGACCTTATGGTATCCAATGACGCCTGGGCTCGCGGACGTTTGCAGAGGCGGTTCAAAGCAATTCATACTCAAGGTAGCACTTTCGCAACATGAATCGGACAAGCCGGAAGCAGCTTCGTGAACTGACATGTCGCGGAATGGGCTGGTTGTACGTCGTTTGAACAAATCGAACGACAGGATCTTTGTCCCCATCAATAGACAAGGGTGTGGCAGGGTAAGTAGACTGTAGAAATTGAAGTTGGGAAAAGGCAAGGGGAAGGGTGCATTTATTTGCAGTGGTTAACAGCCATTACGGAGCTACTTGAAACTTCCAACGAAGTTCAGCTAAGTTACAACCGTACCAAGGCAGGTGGATGCATTAACACACTGGATGCATATGGCCGCGCATTGCACGTTGAACAAAAATTCACCAACAATGTGAACCACTGCTACTCAATCGAAGCTGTCATCAATACCTTGCACGACCACAAGGTACGAAAAATTCAGAGAAGGTCGATTAAATAACTGTGAGCACCGTGCTTGAGCAGCATCGTTCAACTCCCGCCTCGACTCTTCACGGTCATACTCTTCGCCAGTGCCAATCCACAATAAAATCTCCAAATGCAAGCGGCGTAGCTTGGTGTATCCGGGTAAAGTTAGAACATCATTTAAGTCCGCTAAAAAGTCATGTTGGAGCCTCGGATCTGTTGACACCTCGATGAGTATTTCTTCAAGACCGTTGCTTCTTTCTATCCGTCTCAGTTCGTGACAAAGACCAAACAGGGGGTCTTCGGGGTCTATCTCGTCAATGGAGAATCTTAACGACAAGGTCTTGAGACGTTCGAAGGAGCTGGAAGGCTGGAAAACACCGTTTAAGGAACATTCCTCGTCAACTAAGAAATGATATATAAGGCCACCGCGTGAGAAGCATAGAAATCGTACACTTCATTGCGTACCTGTCATACTAAGCGATGTGAGTTGAGTCGCCCTCTTCAATATCTCTCGAAGAAGGGCAGTGCCTCTTGCTTTGGCAGATCGGCGGTCAACTCCTGGAGATGAGAGAAATCGAGAATTGGAGGGCCATCCTGACCCCTAGTACCACAAATTAACTTCTCTAGTCCAACGCTCGTTTCACCAAGATTCAAGATCTGTAACCTCGCGATGATTCCTGTTTCGACATTCCAAAGTGGTGCTTGGTCCTCGAGCGCACAAGAGTGAATGCCCAAATAGGTGAGGTTGGTGCACGGGGCAAAGAAAGAAACAGGAAAGTTGTGGATGCCCTGAAGACTGAATGCATCCATTCTCGGCGAATAGACAAGACGTGAGATGGCAGATTGCAACTCTGGGGCAACCAAAGCCCAGTCGAAAGGACTGTACATGTACAAACTCAAATCATTGAGCATTGAGAATCGGAGGAGGAGCTGGGAGATGATGTGGACCTCCTCGGCGTTAAAATTGGAAATCATAAAGAATAAACTTTGGACGTAGTTTGCAACCTCGGGTACTTTGACAAGAACGTCCTCGAGGTTCTTGGCTTTCCTTGCTATGCGTTGGGACTGGCCCGGGGAATTTCCACTTGACAGGTGGATGTGGGCGAATAGATGACGACGACATCGATGAACGAACAGACGGGAGGTTTGGGATAGTGTTTTCAGAGTGGCGATGTCCCTTTCGAACCAAAGATCATCGATGAACTTGTCAATGAGCTCCTGGGGCAGGAATGTCCCTCGATCCATTCTTTGGCTGAAGAACGGGGGGAAGCCGAAAACTGTCGTGGCTACCAAGAAAGGCAATATGTTTGGCAAACGGCAGCATCACAAATATCAATCTGTAATCGGCCAGGACATCGACAGTCGACTTGACTGCCCACTCAAATGGAAGCCTCCAGGCTAAGCCACGTTCTCTTATCCGCTACGTCCATCCTGACATCTCTCAAGTCTGGAATATGTTCGGATTCTGGCTCAGCCGCCTCACTTTACCCTTGCTGGCGTCGTGGTCACCCAAGCCCTTGTCCGACGCAGAGGAATACCCAAGCCTCTGTCTGCACTCCAAGACTTTGGAGCGCCTTGCCGAGTGCCTCGAAGAGTTTATCGTTCCCCGCGGCTTCTACGACCGGGTATCATACAACGCAGCCCAACCAGACACGTCACAACGCGCCGCTTGGTCAAACATCATCTCTTCCCTCCTCCATGTTGACGGAAATTGCTCTTCAATTCAGGTTCCAGCCTCATTGAAAGGGTTATATGACGTTGTTACATTTACCGAAAACACTGGGGCAAGTTTTTGCGTCTTCTTCGAGCTCACCGCCGATTGCCATGCGTACAGGAAAGGATGGGGAGCAATGATCGTGCCCGCGCGACGGGAGGCAGTATCACGGGATGTCCATATCTCAGCTCCACATCCCGGATTTGATGTTGGAACACCTGCACAGGCGGCGTACATTTTCAAGGCGACTGGTTCAAAGAGTTTTCTTATGGCGGGGCGGACTCGCACGGCGTTTTTAAACCCATCTCCTTGTATCTCTACAGCCTCCCTGTCTGGGTATTATGAAACTGACCCCGCCCACAACAATGTGCCGTTCATCCAAGATTTCAGTTATTATCTGCTAATTGTCTTACAGGGGGAACCGTTTTTCGACGCGAGTTTGGCGATATATGACTGGCAACAACGCAGGGGGTGCCCTTCTTCAACGTGTGCCTATATCCAAATGCACGGGAAAAGATCGTCTACGTGCCCTCTAGACCAAATATTTCTGTCAGCGGGACTCGGTATGTAAAGTATCCTCTCCAGCAACCTCAAACTCACATTTTCCCAAGGCCGCTCCTCGACGTCAAAAGCATGGTACATCGATTCCAACGACAGGCCCGTGAAAAGGCTCAGAGGACATCTCCAACTCGCATTTCCACTTTGGAACGTCTCCCTTCCGCCGGACAGCTCTTGCGCTCTCACCGCCACTCGGAACGTTGTCGGTAGATACATCAACGGCGTCGACGAACACAGCGTCTGTCACACTGACGCTGATCCATCAGATGTATCAGGTGAATTCATCCACGTCGAGCAAGATGATACATCTCGAGGGGCAAAGTCGTATAAGTTGTGGGCAGCAGCTGTGAGGAGGACGTTTGGGACGATTTGTGCGGAAGGGATGTCGGTGGATCCTGATACGGGACTTTGTGCGTATTCAAGGCCACGAGGGCCTGCTGGTGATCCCATCTTCGACAATGTTATGTTCCCCGGTTTGAGTCGGGGTATTCGTGCGCAATGGCTTCTGTGGATTCCCCTGTTGAATCCTCTATGAGAGGTTTAGGTGCGACCGGTGTATATTATACTGTACGTTGGATTAAATGTATCAGGAAGTCTTATTCATAAGATCTTTCGATCCTTTCAGGTTCCTTCGTTCAATTGCATCTGAGTTGATGATTTGCCATGTCGATGGGGATTGTATGCAAGTTCTGGGTGCTGGGCAGGTATGAGTCAGTGCGTTTACTCTTCCTACCCCTCTCAGGATCTCAAATAGTCGACACATCTCAAATGCCTGCGTAAAATATGAAAATTATGCCCCAAGAACCCATAAACAAATTCATTGATCCTCTCGCGGACTAAAAAGACGTCAATTTCCTGAGCGTTAACGCGAAACGCCCATTCATTTGTTGAACTTGCTCGGTCTGGCCAATATCTCTTCGCCTCCAGTATCTTGCAGGGATTCGGCACAAACAAGTCTCAGTCCTTACCACTAAAGGTCAAAAATCTTCAATAAGTTCTCATCACTGCGACACCCGAAATTTCTTCAGTGTTGGTGAATATGTAAGGTGCAACGGGGCAAATGGTAATTTTGGGACAACTGTTCACTCTGTTTTTTTGATTTCATTTTTCTTATTGGTACACATCGTCGAACTTCACGGAGTCATTCATAGGGCAAGGCGTTAAACTGTTCAATTTGAAAGAGGTACCATCAGAGCGTTGCTGCGTGTTAGTAAACCACCTTGAGTGTTTAAAAAACTCCATACGGCGAGAATTGATGGACCTGGCCCCGAATTGAACAGGGTACCTCTAAGCCTGACTATCCGCCAGCTGTTGGCCAGCTGCATATGTAGAGGTGCTTTGTGCGCCTTGCACCACCAGTCCGTAGTATGTCCAGTCAGACTCAGACTAAAGAGGTGTCCAATCACAACGGATACCGCCGTAGAAGGGTCGGCTGGCCTAAAAAAATATCCCAAGTTCTGTGAAGGTAGTCAAGACCATCCTGCGCATCTGGTAAAAGCAAAGATTATTTAAGCACATATCCAGTGTTCCCGAATCGAACAGGATACCTCTACGTAGCACATAGGCTTGAAGAACGTAGAGGTGCGCTGCGCGTGCACCACCAGGCCGTGATATATCCAGTCACTATTAGAATAAAGTTCATCGAATAGCTGAGCATGGTAAGTGGATCCAAGCTTCCAGAGACCGCCGTAGTACCATCCATCGAAGTAGTCAAGCCAGTCAAGGCCAGCCTTGCGTATCTTGTCAATTGGTCGGCGATACAATGACCTGGTCCCGGATCGAACCTGGGGATGACTCTACGCACGCGTCAACCGCAGTACGTAGAGGTACGCTCCCTGCGTCACCAGGCCGCTGTATATCCAAGATCGGAGCACCACCAAATCATTGGCCAAGTATATATCAAGACTCAAGAAGAGGCTGCCTCCTTCCATATGTGTGTAGGTATAGTGTAACTTGAAGGAAGGGCTTCGGATTCGCCGAATTGATCGATCGCTGAATGTGACAAGTCAAAGGTCGGCCTTTCGAAGTGTCCGCCGATAAGTACCGGGTAGAATCGAAGACGAGGGCTCCAAACAGGAATTGGAAGATGCTGTCCAAGCGCAGTTCCCAGGGATATTGAATCCGATCTTTACTTACGCTGTGGTTTTGGAGACTGAAGATAGATATTAAATAGCTGTTCGCTTTATTCTGGACTTGTGACTGTACTTACTGTACACATCGCGAACTTCAGGGTTGAAAAACTTCTCCAAGGGTATCGTTCATAGGGCAAGTTCGGGGCAAGGCGGTGAACTGTCCAATAAAATGGTTCCATCGGAGCCTTGGTGCTAGACTGCTAGTTAGTAGATCTACCAGCCTGCGTGTTTCAAAAAAACGCCTTTCATAGTGGGGGACGTAGTATGGTCCTGGTCCTGGATTGAACAGGGTACCTCTAAGCCTGACTATCCGTTGGCAGCTGTATAGGTAGAGGTGCGTTGTGCGTCCTGCGCCACCAGTCCGTGGTATAAACAGTCAGTCCCAGACTAAAGAGTTATGTCCAGCTGCGACGGAGACCGCCGTAGAAGCCTAAAAAATACTCCTTCCCTGGAGGAGGTCAAGACTAGCCTGCGCATCTCGTAAAAGCAAAGATTGTTGGAGCGCATATCCAGTGTTCTCGAATCGAACAGGATACCTCTAAGTAGCACATACTAGGTGTCGAAGAACGTAGAGGTGCGCTGCACCTGCGCCACCAGGCCGTGATATATCCAGTCACTATGAAAATAAAGTTGGTTCATCGTATAGTTGAGCCTGAAATAAATCCAAGTATTCCAGAGACTGCCGTAACACCGTCTGTGTGAGGGGTAGTCAAGATCAGCCTTGCGTATCTTGTCGATCGTAAAATTTAACCAAATGTGGGATCGCGGCATGACCTGGTCCCGGATCGAACCAGGGGATGCCTCTATGTACGCGTCAAAGCGTGCGTAGAGGTACGCACCACTGCACCATGCCGCTGTATACCGAGAATGGGACCACGAGTAAGTTATCGGCGAGTGAGTGTCAAGACCCAGGACTCAAGACACCCGGAGAAAAGGCTGGCTCCTTCCATAAGTATGTAGGCGTCATAGAACTTGAAAGAAGGCCTCCGGCCAATCTATCGATTGCTGAATATTGAATGTTGATCAAAGATCGGCCTTGCAAAACGTCCGCCGAGTGAGTGTCAAGACTAAGTGCGGTTAAAGTGCTGAGTAGAATCATAAAAATCCACACAGAACCTGGATTGGATGATGCTAGGCGTTAAACTGTCCAATAAAGCGGTTGCATCGGAGCCTTGGTGCTGGTCAGCGGACCATTCTGTGTGTTTCCCAAAAAGACTTCTTCATTAACATGATGGATTTGGTCCGGAATTGAACAGGATACCTCTAAGCGTCAGCTGTAGGTGGGTTTTGCGCCCTGCGCCACCAGTCCGTGGTATAAACACTCAGATCCAGACGGAAGAGATGTCCAACCGCGACGGAGACCGCAATAGAAGGGTCGGCTGGCCTAAAAAAATACTCCTGTCCTGGAGGAGGTCAAGACTAGCCTGCGCATCTCGTAAAAGCAAAGATGGTTGAAACATATATCCAGTGTTCCCGAATCGAACAGGATACCTCTACGTAGCACATAGGTTTGAAGAACGTAGAGGTGCGCTGCACCTGCGCCACCAGGCCGTGATATATCCAGCCACTATCAAAATAGAGTTAGTTCATCGAATGGTTGAGCATGGGATAAATCCACGCATCTCAGAGACGGCCGGGTCGCAACACCACTATGCATGGAAGTAGTCAAGACCATCCTTGCGTATCTTGTCAATAGTAAAATTTAAGCAAATCAAAATTCCTTGAGATGACCTGTTCCCGGATCGAACCAGGGGATGCCTCTATGTACGCGTCAAAGTATACGTAGAGGTACGCACCATTGCACCAGGCCGCTGTATATCCAGAATCGGAGCACGAGTAACCTATCGGCGAGTGAGTGTTAAGAACGTTAAGACCCAAAGGGGAAAAGGCTAGGCTCTTCCTCCCATATGTATGAAGTCGTAATAGAACTTAAAAGAAGAGCTCCGGTTTCGTCAATCGATCGTGACGAGTCAAAGGAGGTCGGCCTTTCGAGATATCCGCCGAGTAGAATCGAAGAGGAGCACGACCGATCCTGTCCTACCGACCAACCATAGCTAGATAGGTAGTAGTTATGGAGTTTTGAGAAGATCCATATCGCCGCCTCATCAAAAAGAAAGTAAAATAATTAAAAAAACAATACTTAGCGAATAAACTACTACAAGCGTTATACGAAATGACTGAATGAATAATCGGCAGGTCAATTGCGAGAAGAGGAGGACTCGACAAGGTGCATGCAAAGTAGATAAACTAAAGTAAGAAGAAAGCTCAGAGTCCTTGTGTGTCTGTGTGTCTGTGGATGAGCGGGCTACGAAGGAGAATCGAAAGTGTATGTGTGTGTGACGTGAAGGGGTAAGAGGGGAACGGAGTAAGTACTCGAAACAGTCAACGGTACCCGCTTCTCAAAGGTCATTCCCTTTTTTCGGTCTTGTCCTTCGTTTTTCATGTTAGGTAGGGTGGTTTTTCCTTTCTTCCACAACGTCAGTCCTCCCACCCAAAACACTCAAAAAAAAAAACTCACCCCAACCAAAGCCTACATCCTCTCCTCCGCCGGCAAACTATCATAAGTAGGCGGAATCTCCGCCTCAACCACATGTTCCTCCTCCTCCCCCCCAATAACAGGCACCCTCCCTCCATCCCTATGAACAACCACCGACTCGGGCCTCCCACCCGCAGCATAATTCGAAGAAGAAGGTCCACCAGCAAGGTACGCCTGATGCGCCGCTTCACCCACCCCCGCGTGCTGAGAATACTCCCCATCTTGAGAAGGGTTCACAACGTGCGCTCCTCCCCCTCTCATACCCAACGCCTCCATCTCCTTCGCGCTTCGTGGGTTGTTATAATACGCTCCTGCCCCCGCACCAACACCTGCATTACCACCGGCCCCGCCGCTGGAATTAGTCGTGTTCGTACGTGCGACGGACGGACCAGGGGACGGCCCGCGTCCAATGGGTGGTGCGTAAGGCGATACGCCGTGTGAAGAGGAGTGGTCCGAAACGGTGCTTGGGCCCTGATTGAGGAAGGCGCTGCGTGTAGGTGATAGAGCACGAGGGTCTTGTTGTTGCTGTTGGCCATAAGCTCCGTACCCCGCCACGCCAGCTCCCAAAAGGGGGGAAGCAGTTGCAGCAGGGTAGGCATTGGCCATTTCCTGCTGTTGGGGGTTGTAAGTGAAGGGAGTGACGATACCCCCACCGATGGTTGACCCAGCCAACCGCCCGCCCATCCCGTCGTCTTCGTTCAAGAGTTGGTCGTCGTCGAGGTTGACTTGTGGGAGGGTCCCACCGCCGCCTCCGCCTCCGTGGTGCTGGAGACGGGCTGGGTCGAAGTTCCCGTCAAAGTCGTCTAGATTGTTCCGACGTCTTCGGAGAAGGAAGAAGACGATTAGGACTATGAGGGCGAGGCCTCCTACACCTGTGAGTTGGGCGTGTTAGCTTTGTAATTGGGGTAGACAAAAACAAAGGGAGAAGAAAGGAAATGCTTACCTCCAACAACACCACCTACGATAGCACCGACATTCGTTGAACTTTTGTTGTTGTGCGAAGAACCATTGGTGATCACGGAGCCTGGGCCCACAACAGTGCTGACTTGGATAAAAGTGGTGAAGACTTGTCCGTTGGAGGTTGTTCTATGATAAGAAGTGTGATAAGAAAAATGTCGTATTAAGATGAGGATCAGGAAAGTGTGGAGCCGAACGCTGCTCCACGCACGGCAACGTGGCGTGTGGAAAAGGGGGGGACTTACACAGAAGCAGAAGTCCAGATGGACGTGGATGACTCGGTCAAAGTCGTGAGCGACGGCGAACTCGAACTTGACGAACTCGACGAGGAGCTGAGACTTTCTGAACTAGAGCTTGAGCTGGGAGGGATGGAGCTCTGCGAGCTGGGGATGGGAGGACTCGAGCTGGGAGGAGGAGTCGAGCTTGCTATCGGTGATGACGATGACTCTATCGAGACTGCCGACGATGGAGGGACTAATGAAAGCGGATTAGCATGACAACATACGTGAGTAGTAAAAGAGAACCAGAAAGACTAGAGTGAGTCGTATCCGACGCCGTCGTCGTCGACAGCACGGGCAGTGACAACGACGTCGGCGACAACACCGGCGGGAGGGAGGACATTCGTCTATGCCAGCTAGAGGCAGGTCTCAGTAGTATAAGGAAGAGACAAGAATAGTGCGGGCGGCAGAGCAAAGGGACTATTCTTGGTTCAAGTCATCATCCTTGCCTCAACCCATTTGCCTCCTTTTTTGCCTGCCGGCTCCCTACTTTTTTTGGAGCACGATCGAGGCGCCGCTATTATGTGAGCTCGATCACTAATGAATTGGCTTTCGACCTGCCTCGAACCACCTCTTCCCCCTAAACGAAAATGAAGAGGAGAAGCTCTGCACTTACCTACTGCACGACCGGACGATAACGACGACATTGACAAGGGGCGAGCTTGTTCAAGGGAGGATCAAGATTTCAAATAAGTAGCACAAGGAAATCAGATCTGTCACATGTCACACGTCATAAGGAGAATTACGTAAAATCACTTCACTTCTCGGCATCCATTCTCCTCTTTACTCCTCCAACGCTCCAATGCCTTACCTCTTTTCTTTTTTCAAGGTGAAAATAAATTTCGGTCTCTTCCTTGGCACGCTCGGTTTTACGTTCTAAGACTTCTCCAACGCTCCATAGAAGATTCCAGCTTTGCTCGCATTACGGTATCTAGCTAGCGGCACTTCGGCTTCAGCTCCTCCGACGTAACGCACGCGAAGGCTTCCTTATGCCGTTCGACACAGGCGATAGCTTGCTGCGATCAGTCTTCGTTGAAACTTAGCTGACCCCTTGCTCGATTCATGAATGGCTTATCATTGTAAGTAGTCTTTCGCCCATGACGCTGTTCGATTTGGGACCACGCCTTGTTCTAATAAAATTACGATGTTCACAGAGCGCTCACCTCACTCCCATGCCCATCGGCTATCAAAATCCATCTTACCCGTTATACACACGCAAGACCTGGCGGCGCAAGGGAAAGCCGTGCTCCTCGACGTCGACGTACTGATAGTAGTCGCGTACCGAGAGTTCTCGTTCGATTCGAGACCAGGGCAGTATGGCATTTAAAAACAGCTTCTCATCTTTTGTTCATGGTCCGTATCTACCTGCAGGGACTTACAAATTGAGAACACGGAAAACCTGCATCCTCGAAACTCGATACACATTGCCGTGTAAAAGGTTTCATCGCACACGTTGAAAGGGCGTGTTCGACGTTGCTGCGGTCTCATTAAAAACTTGGTAAGTATCGGCATTTTCTCTACTTATCTCACTCGTCACGCCCAACCTCTCAGATCATATACTACCAACGAGAATCATATCCATTGAGCTGGACGTAGCACAAGCGTCAACACTGCTGATGCGGCCGTGAAACGCCTCGCCACGGGCCCCCGTTCGACCCGGGACCAGCACTTCGACAGCCTTATTGTATCTTTTACTTCACGGTGTCTAGGACTCGCATTAAACACCCAACTGCTTCCACATACTTCAGACTTGGTGGTGCAAGGCGCATCTACACCTCTTCCGACTCGCGTTGCTTTGTTTGTGCAGACGGATGGAAGTCGGGGAGGGTTCCTGTTCGATTCGGGAACAGGTCATGATTCTATACAACTTCGAGTAAACTTTTGTGAGTTTTTATTCTAAGCTGGGTTATGACTCTCACCCTCACTATTTCGACGTGTAGGTAAAACTATCCATACGGTCTCAAATCACCCAATCTGTCATTTAAAATCCAGACCTGGTGGTGTAAGGTGCATCTCCCCTTCGATGTGTTTTGAAGTGTTGTCGGTAGAATGGAAGTCGGGGAGGGTTCCTGTTCGATTCGGGACCAGGTCACTGGTATAAATGTGGTGGATGAGTTTTTATTCACCAGGCTATGACTCTCACCCTCACTACTCCGACTTTCTTTTAGATTACGCTGCCTCAAATCAAATCAAGCACCCAATCCGCCCATTAGATTCCAGACCTGGTGGTGTACGGCGCATCTCCCCTTCAATATGCGTGAGGTTGCGACTACAGTGGAAGTCGGGGAGGGTTCCTGTTCGATTCGGGACCAGGTCTTGCTCAGGTTTATAGCAGGTTTTTATTTGCCAGGTCATGACTCTCACCATCACTATTCCGACTTTATTTTGGATCCATTCTTTTGGATTATTCCGTCTCAAATCAAATTAAGCAGCAAATCCGCACATTCAATTGCCAGACCTGGTGGTGCAAGGTGCATCTACATCCCCGCCTCTTTGATGTGCTTTAGTTTGCGCAGATAAACGGAGGTTGGGGAGGGTTCCCGTTCGATTCGGGACCAGGTCACTCATCATAGGAGCTAGATCTTGTTTTTATTCACCGGGTTATTACTCTCACCCTCACTACACTGACTTTATATTGGATCTATTCAATTATGTTCCGTCAAATCAATTGAAGCACCCCATCCACCGATTAAATTTCAGACCTGGTGGTGTAAGGCGCATCTACATCCCCGCCTTTTCGTATGTGCGTTAGTTTGCGCAGACGAATGGACGTTGGGGAGGGCTCCTGTTCGATCCGGGACCAGGCCGATAAAGACTGCCCAAGCAGGTTTTTTTACCCGATCATAACTCTCGCCCTTGCTAAGGCGCCTTTAGAGGCAAATAGTATGGGTTTGATGACCAAAGGGCTTTCAGGTGGGCCCAACACATCTCGAGCGTTGGGTTGGAGGTTTCCTGTTCGATTCAGGACCAATGCATGACTGTTTGAAGTTTAACGAATTTTGTGCGTTTTTGTATCTCCGGATCCAGTGAGTGTTTTTATGATTTTGTCAGTAGGTCGGATACTTCCTGCGTCGAGCGACAACTACCTAGGAATATTTGTCTTTACCTGGGTATGTCACTTTGATCCCAATGTTGTAGCCGAGAACTTTCATTGTTAACTCATTGCTACATGTATCAAGTACGGGACTAGGGAGTAAGCATCAAGTATTTTTATCCAAATATGACTTCCCCGAGGCTCACTAATGTGAGTTATCCCTTTCGATTACGGCGTCTACAGATGACCTGCCCTTTATATTCAAGACCTGGTGGTGCAAGACGCACCGACACCCCTCCCCTTTGACGTGCGTTAGTTGAAGTATAATGAGATGAACGTCTGGGAGGGTTCCTGTTCGATCCAGGACCAGGCCGATGAGAGACCGTTGAAGGAGAGTACCATTTTGGATATTTGCGATATTCGCGAGGTAAATAAAGAACACAGTTGATGATGTGTCCCTCGACGAACAGATGTTTTCATTAACGCTCCTTGCGAAACAGAGTGAGTGATGATAGATTCAACGGGGAGATAGATCATGACGTCGCAGAATGGATGCGTAGGTTGCTTTCTTACAAGTACTCCTCGAACTCCACTTCGTCCATAGCTTCCAAGGGCCAGCATGCCATCATCAAAGCGCGCTTCTCATCCGTGATCCCTCCGTCCTCCGAATACACCTCCAACATCTTCTGCTTCATTTCCTCACCAGATGCCACAGCTTTCTCGTACCGAGCGGCGGGCACCCAGGTCTCGGGTCCGTACCCGACATACTTTCTCACCATCCTCTCATTCTCATCTGCGATCTCTAATTCCTCACCCAGCTTGACCGCCGCATCTATTTCGTCCAGCATGATCACGACTGGACATGGCGTACTACCGCCTTTGGCAAAACGATCCCAACCAACCACCATCTCTATCAGCGCCAACTGCAGCTTGATCGTCTCACCCTCCCACGGAGCGGTTGCGTAGTTGAAGATGCGGCGACAGAAATTACCAAGAGGATATGCCAGACCCTTGTGGTGGGCCTTGTTGTATACCATTGTGCTGAGGATGTAGTTGTAGTGAGCAAGACGACGACGGAGAAGCTGCTTCTCCCATATTTGTTCGCCTTGCGATAGCTTGTCAAAGTCATCCGGTAGTTTAGGTCTAATCATACTTCGAGACACCTCGTCCTCTTCGTTCTGTATGTCGTAGGGCATACCGGCGTGCAGGAAGAGGGGTAAGACAACAGCGTGCTGCCAGTCCAACACGCTACGTATCTGTAAACCATTGGAATCCGTCGTGACCTTGATATTCTCGAGGTTGAGGTCGGGGTGACGAATGCAGAAAGCAGTGAGGGAGTCATTGTCTGGCACGAGCGACGGTGCGAGGAGGAGATAGCGTCTAAGGTTATTAGTGTGGTCGGACGGTTCCTGCTTCTCGTTATTATAGCAATCCCTTCGAAAACCTCTGTAAGGTGCTCTCGGTGAGCCAAACTGGTCGAGGTAAGCGAGCTCTTTGTTGGCTCCCGTTACCAGCACCGATAGGGCGTCTTGGTCTTTGGACAACAAATGTTTAAGGGGAGGCAGGAGAGTTGGGAGAAATGCGACGTACAGGGACCTCGGAATGAGTCCATTTGCTCTCTTTTTCCATACCAGAGTGGTATCGATACATCAGGGCCCAGGCAGAAACGCTTCTTCTGTGGGATAGGCTTGGCTTGCTCGTCAAGTAGGGTTCCCCTTTTCTCCTCCTTGAGCGAAATGCTCCTGACCTGTTCGTGGAGTGGAATGTCCTGGTTCTCACTTTCGAGCGGAATGCCCTCACTCCCAGACAACTGCTTCAAGTCTGTGGTGTAGTAGATGCTCCCACCAGCGGGAAAGGGGATCGACATCATAATAGACTCGAGCTTTGCAAGCTGGTCCATCAACGAATCGATTTCCTTTTTCTCGAGGTTAAACCACACTTGGCTTAAGTCGATGCCTTCAACGTATTCTATGAGCATGTACTCCGTCCCAGCCTCGTTCTCTGGCGTGTAGGAATACGCGTAGACTTCAGGAATGGGGAGCCCTTTAGAACGAAGGAAGTCCATAGTGGCAACCTCACTGGCGTAAGCGTACGCCTTGGGAATGAGGATGGGATACGGAATCCGTACAACCAGTCTGAAGCCGTCCCGTAAAGTGACCAGAAAGGAACGGTTAAGACCACCCTCTGCGAGCTTGCGAAAGCCGACGATTTCGCTAGTCTTGCAGTTCCGCGCCTTAGCGATGATTTCGAATAGACCGGGGATATTGAAGATGCGGCGACGCTCTCGGAGGCGAAGGTCCTCATTCGCGCTGAGTACGTCGCATTAGGAGTTAGACAGAGATGAGACAAGATGTAGGAGACTCACAGGAAACGGCCAGAAGTGTAGTGGAAGAGCTCGCTCTCCAAATCTTTCATGAGAGACTCGGGGTCCAGCGTCTTGGACGGTCGAAGAGAGGGTAGTGGACTGGTCTTGGTGGTGATGGGGTTCCTCGTGAAAGGTGGCTTCAGCGAAGAGAGTGGGCTGCGACGGGGACATAGAGACGAAGAGACCCCAGACGCAACGAGTCGTAAGGAGAAGGGTTTAGAACACCCAAGACGGAACATGCTGATATATAGTGGGGGGAGAGCATAGATAAGTTCTTGAACACTTCGCCGATGGTGGTAGGAGGAGACGACGGTGACAAACGTTGAGCAACAGGAATTTGATCGACGATCATCGATCAACGTTCAACGTTCAACATTGTTCTCGACGACCACATCATCTCCAGCATACGCCAACTTTGTTAGCCCACCACTTACCGCATACTCGCCTCGAATGCAAACTCAGATTTCCCTCTACATGCTACCTGCCCCGCCCTTACGGAAACTGGTATGTATCTATCCCGATTTATTCAGCTACTTTTTGCTCACAACCATTGTCTCTCTCCTTAGTTAGACAATGTTGGTTTCCCCGTGCTTCGCGAACGTGTTCACCGCCTTAATCCTGGCCCACAGATGGTTTGTACACCCAGAGTTGAGCACCATATTCGCCGTCGTCACATGAGCAATCGACGACAAACGGAAAAATCTAGTTGATACTTACCTGATTTTTTTGTTGCTTGCGTTCACGGTACGAGCCCCATAATGAAATGATCGACTTTCTTCGGTGCGCCGCTCATGTTGCACTTTTTCTAGCATGTTATTACCCTGTTGGACTCAACTGGTGCGTTTCGTGGACATTATCGGACCGAATAGACTCATTAACAACGCCCTCAGAGTCACATTAAACGATGGGGAATTGATCTTCGAGAGTCGGGGAGTGTGGAGGGGAGGCCGGTCGTGCTGGTAACCAGGTACGAGCATCCGTCTTTCGAGCGGGCCACCATTCCTGTGGAATAAAATTCTCGCATGCTGAAAGAAACTATTTAGCTCACTCACGCGTTGCAACTCCTGCGGCAGTCTCGTGTAAATGCTGCCTTTCGAATCCCTCCTCAGCGCCCCGCGGGGTTGTGGGCGCGATGTTGTGGGTGTGATGTTGTAGGCGCTGAGAAAAGTTGATGCCTCAAAATTCAATGGTCGTTCCGTAAATCCAGGACTCGTCATATCCTCTGAGGCGATACGATACCAGAAAAGTCACTCATCTTGAACACTAATCGAGGTTGACCTCCACAACTATCCGCAACTGTTTTCCATCAGTGCTATGTCTATTACCCAACTCACGCGTGCGACCTTCATCGCCGCCAACCATGCTCAAATCGCACTCTCCCAGAAGACCATGTACGAACTAGCCGAGGGAAAAGAAGGAGTCAAAGAGGTGCCTATACCAGAGAGCTTCAAAAAGTCCGGTATCCCACAAGGATATAGTGTTGGTGCGTTCCCCTACCTTTGTCAGAATCAAGGTGGTACAATCATTCGGACTATCTGATTGTATGTCTCGATAGACTACGTTTTCGATCCAACAACGTTGGTGGCCTCCCTTGCCGAGTCTGGCATTACCACGAAGGAGTACATATTCTCGTCTCAATCTTTAGCATGATAATGACCATGTCTAGGCAGTTACCTGATGGCTTGCTTGAGGAACTCAAGAATGCAATCAATACAACTACCAATCTGAATATCATACCGACATCCCTACATGAACAGGCGGGCGGAATTCTGCCCCAACGCTCTCAAACACTAATTTGTTTCTCCAGAGAAGAGCTATCGAGGATGCTGCGCGCGCCAAACTTGAAGGCGATGCCGAAGAGAAATAGCTGGTACGAAGCGAGATGGAATTCTTTGAAGTAGGGGGTTTTCTATGCATGAACATATCTAGTTGAGGATCCGTTTTATCTGTGGTTGTCTTCAATTTCGCAAGAATTTCGTCAATTTTAGGTGTCACTCGTGCGATTCCTCCCGTGTCATCCTCTGGCGTCCCCATAGCCATGGGGCGGTTCCGCAGAATGCCATCACGAAGAAGGTTTTTCAAGGCCAGAGCTCGCAGGAGCTCGCGTCATGTTGACGGTGTTGCTGAGGAGCTCGAGCGGGATCTTAACCTCGGCAAGAACGTGAGTTTTGTGTGTGTGTGTCTAGTTACGTTAGACCGTTATGGGTGTTCAGCCCCACGAGGATAAAGTCGGAGCAGGAGGACAGTCAAAGTTGAGTCACCGGCCGATGAGTGGTGGCGGTGATACGTTCACGAAGCCTATGGGGGGGCTCCGACGCTTGGTACTTCGAGGGTTTAATTTTGTTCATAGATACCACTGGGCAGACGACCAACAAGCATACGTGCTGAATGCCTCTAGAGAGTAGCAGTTGTGAATATTTCTGACAACATAAGAATTTAAATTGCTCATGGAGGTGAAGGCGCGGCTGCCTGTAGATAAAACTGTTTTTTTACATAAGGGACTCAGTAATATTGCTGACAAAAGTCAACGATAGTCTATAGACAATAATGTTTGAGCTTTTGTCAAAGAAAGGAATCAGGACACGGACGCTCATACCTGTTAAACAGCACGACCCCTCTGCACTCCCCTAATCTCGGAAACCAATTTCCCAGCGTTTATCGTGAATCTAAGCGCGTTGTCAGAGAGGTTATTCGGGTCCGATTAATGTCACCCGAAACGCACCAGTTGAGTCCAACGGCATAACAACATGCTGGGAGAACTGTCAGATGAATGGCGCTACGAAGAAAGTCGATCATTATGGGGCACGTACCGTAAATGCAAACAACAAAAGTCGTGTAAGTATTCCCAACTAAAGTTTTCTGTTTGTCGTCGATCGCTCATGTGGTTGAAGGCGGCGAATATGTTGCTCAGGCCTGCCATCCGTGACCCAGGATTGAGGTGGTGATCGATAGACAATGGTTGGGAGCAAAAAGTAGCTGGATGAATCGGGATAGGTACAACTTTCCCTAGCATGTCAAGGGAAATAATGCGGTTACGCAAGTCTGATTTCGAAGTGCCATACTCACCGGACTCTAACAAAAAATAGATCGAATGCGGCTTCCAATCCATTCAGACTGCCATTGAGATTCGACATGATATTCTGGCGAGGTCAACGTTCATGCGACTTCCATGTAGCATTAGTACACATTAGCACCTGAAGTACAACTAGAACAAAGAAGAAGAAAGCGAGAAGAAAGTACCGTCTGTTGACAGGCATTAGTTACGGCAAACTCCGAACTTTGATTTTCGTCACCATCCTGTCTCCATCAATTCTGCACAATACGAAACCCCATGTCACTGTTTCAAAGTTTTTTGCAAAGTTCAAACACTACAAAACCACCTATTCTTCCGAACCGGTATACCCTTTCTTTTGCGCACCACCATGCCCTCCTATCAACTTTTGCTGATGGTTGACGATCCCCAACTGAACGCGACGTACGGAGGAGGGCAATGGGGGACGTCCACTTATTTCCAGTGGTATGGTGGTTCAATAGGTTGGCCTATATTTGCCGATAGCACTAGCGCGACCTTAACGGGGTTTGTTTTCTTGTCGTTTGAGGGTGTGTTGAGTTGGACTATTGTCTTGTAATTTTTCGAGAATTGACCTCTCAAGACAGGGATAGCGATCGCTTTTGGAGGGAATACGCCCAAAGTCTTTGGGGACTCGCAAACGTTGACTGTCTCCATCGATGGCGCACCCCCATACAACACCTCGTACAATGATCCCACACCTCAATCTTACGTGCAGTGGTATCAGTCCCCGATTTTGCCGGAGGGGACGCACAATATCACACTGACTCATATGGCTGGGACCGCCCTGGACTACGCGGTCATCAGCGCTGGGCAGAATACGCCTCTAACAGGGAAAACAGTTATAGTCGACAACGAGGATCCGTCTATCAGGTTCACAGGATCCTGGACACGCAATACAGACCGATTTCACTCTGGGACGGAGGGCTATCCCTTCCATAACAGCACGCATCAGAGCACTACGTCAGGAACTAGTTTTATTTTCCGATTCTCGGGTGATTTTCCATTCAATCGCCATTTTCTGTGACTCGATACTGATGATAGGACAGGGACGTCTTTGAATGTCTACGGAATTCTGCATTGGGCGGACCTCGGCACCCTCTCTGCATCATACACCCTCGATGGTGCGACAACAGCACTAACCTATTCCGTCACGACATCGTCTTCCAATTACCAGGACAACACTTATGACCAACACAATTTCTTGTTATACAGTAACAGCAGCCTCACTGCGAGCGACCATACCCTCGTTGTTAAAGTCACTGAATGCGTCAATCAAACGTTCATTTTTGATTATCTAACCTATCAACCCTCCTTTTCCACGTTAGCTACTATGCCGAATCTCACTTTACCCGCCTCTACCAATGGAACATCGCCTACCACCACCACATCAACCCCCGTGGGAGCTATAGTAGGCGGCATTCTAGGGGGATTGGCATTTCTCTCGATTGGAGCCTTCCTCTGGTTTCGGAAAGGGAAGGCTCAAGACGACCAAGGGGAACCAAATCAAATCACAGCATTCGCCGTGCCAAGTAGCGAACAAGAAAATTTGGGTAAGTTCAGTCAATATCCATGAAATCGCACTCACCATTTTGACGATTCTTTTCGCCCGTGCTGCCCTTGAAACTAACGCTGGTTCAGCCGTGCTGCTGCAATCAGGTCCACCACGGGTGGTGCACAAGAGTTCTCGGAGTCGTGGTGGGGAAACTGCCGATATCAGTACGAGCAGGGGAAATGGAATGGAGATGAGGGAAGCACGCCCGTCCGTTGCCCCACCAGCTTATCAGGAGTTGTAGGCTATACATGAGTAGAGCATTTTCTGTATCATTCGTTTGTGCTAGATTCCTCTTCTTTGAACTCTACGGTTGTGTTGTAATTGTGTAGCTGACGAAACCAGTCGCCTGGGAGTAATTGCGATGTGAAGTCTGAGGGAAGAGGGAGTATCTTTTTTGGGTAAGTAAGAAGGCGGTAATTACTCCTCTGGCCACTAGGGTTTTTTTACGATCTGACGTTACCTATATATATATGGTAGCATTCCTTACACATCTTCTCATGCACTCTGCTATTTTTTATTATGTTGCAGCTATTTCTCTTCGGCATTGTCTTCGGCAAGTACAGCATCCTCGAATAGCCCTTTTCTGTAGTAACAAATTAGTGTGTGAGAGCGCTGGGGCAGAATTCCACCCGCCTGTTCATGTAGGGATGTCGGTACGATATTCAGATTGGTAGTTGTATTGATAGCATTTTTAAGTTCCTCAAGCAAGCCATCAGGTAACTGCCTAGACATAAGTGGCGGTCATTATCATGCGAAAGAATGAGCTGAGAATACATACTCCTCCGTGGTAAGTAATGCCAGACTCGGCAAGGGAGGCCACCAACGTTGCTGGATCGAAAACGAAGTCTACCGCGACATACAATTGAATGATAGTACCACCTGGTTCTGACAAAGGTAGGGGAACGCACCAACACTATATCCTTGTGGGATACCGGACTTCTTGAAGCTCTCTGGTATAGGCACCTCTTTAACTCCTTCTTCGCCCTCGGCTAGTTCGTACATGGTCTTCTGGGAGAGTGCGATTTGAGCATGATTGGCGGCGATGAAGGTCGCACGCGTGAGTCGGGTAATAGACATGGCACTGATGATTGGAATATAAGTAGTTGCGGATGGCTCTGGATGTCGACCTCGATTATAGTTCAAGATGAGATGATTTCGAAAGGCCGACCTCCTTTGACTCGCCACACTCAGCAATCAATCGATTGACACTTTGCAACTTTACAACTTTGCAAAGTTGCGAAAGTTGCCCAAAGTTTAATCGGACGTTTTGCTGATGTGAGCTTTCAAGTACCCGCCTCACAGGATATTGGTGTTGACGGAACGACGTCGACTCGTCCGTGTGACGTGACATCCTGCGAAGGCTGATGGAATTTTGGAAATCATTTCCGGATCCATCATGATGCTTTTGCGATTTTACTGGTGAGTGGTTCTGTAGATGTATAGACCCTGTACGCCATAACTTACGCCCACAACGTAGACACATGAATAATACTCGTGCCCAGTTCCAATCCTTTTCCCCGCCACTTTGCACAAGCAGCTGATCATGAATGTCGCAGGCTGAGCACTCAAGCGCTCATGCACCAAAGACCCTTCGCCACAAGTTGACAACGCCCGTTTCATGGGTCGAGGCCACCCTCTCAAGGGTATTGTCGTGGATTAAGGGACGGTCGTGAACGAACACATCCATCATCACATCCACCACATCATCCAACCCGTCATCGAAAAAGAAAGTAAACGAAAACTTCCGTTCTCTTTGTCCCCAGTTACCATTGACAGGAAAAAGAAAATCAGCCATCGACAAACGACGCATCCACGCCACGATCCCCATCCACACCGTCACCCACGAAGGTCCCGTCGTCCACCAATCTCAAGTGCACGACCCCGTCCCTATTGAGACGTTGTAAAAGCCCATGGGGCGGTTCCGCAAATGCCATCACAAAGAAGGTCCTTCAAGGACAGAGCTCGCGTCACGTTAATGGAGTTGCTGAGGAGGTCGAGCGGGATCTTAACCTCGGCAAGAACGTGAGTTTTTTTTTTTGTGTGTGTGTGGTTCCGCGGCTTATGACTTGACCGTTTTATGATGTAGACCGCTATGCGTGAGGGTAAAGTCGGAGGAGGAGGACAGACAAAGTTGAGCCAGCAGCCGATGGGTGGTGGTGGTGATACGTTCACGAAGTCTGCGGCGGGGGCTACGACGACTCCCTGCAATTGAGCTTGATGTTAAAATACGTCTAGAGAGAGAAAAATCCAAGTAGCAGTTGTGAATAATTTCGACAGCATCGTAAAGAGCGGAAGTACTCATGGAAGCGAAGAATGAAAGAGGGGGAGAAAAAAAAAGCTACAGTTTAAGACAGGCCGAATAGCCTTAACTTGAATGCAGTGGCACGCTTCCCTCGCGTCGCCAATCCCAGTGCTTGAGGTACCTGGAAATGGAATTAATGGCGGTTTGGGCTGACGATAGCAGAAATAGTACCTGAAGAGTTTTCTTAATCTAATGAGAACTTTGAGGTCCGCTCAACTCATGAGAAAAGTAGAGACGTTGCAATATTTCAGTAGCGAAACTAAAGAAAAAGAGGATCGATTCAAAATGCGAAAGAACAACTTGGTAACATTCAGTAAAATTGAACAACATCATTGAATGCGCTCTTTGTCGGCGTGTTTCTCTTTTTTTTCTTTCAGGTGAGTCAATAGATTTGAAGAGGGAGGAGAGGGTGCTGGCACATATATCCTGATGCTGGCGGAGTAAGCCATTGAGTAACGCGGTGTCTTCTATGTTGTGGCGACGACCTCGCGAGTTTGAGTAGGAGGATAATGCTGGATGGTTGTCAGATGAATTATTCAGAGACATTAATGAATACTGACGTGGTCCGTGTGGTCTTCTGGTAATTCCTCTCTGACAATGACGGGTTGCATGTGGTGTTGAATATGATAAACTGCGATAGATAGGTGGATACGGGATTCGTGCGACCAGCTTGAAGCCGTCCTGTAAAGTGACGAGAAAGGAACGGTTGAGACCGCCCTCTCCGAGCTTGCGGAAGAGCCGACGATCTCTTTGGTCTTGCAGCTCCGTGCCCTAGGAATGATTTTGAAGAGACCAGGGATATTGAAGATGCGGCTTCGCTCTCGGAGGCGACGGTCCTCATTCGTACTGAGTGCATCACATTAGGAGTTAGACAAAGACAAGACAAGATGTAGCACTCCAGGACACTCACAGGAAACGGCCAGAAGTGTAGTGGAAGAGCTCGCTCTCCATATCCTTCATGAGAGGCTCGGGGTCCAGCGTGTTGGCCAGTCAAAGGGATAATGGTGGACTGGTCTTGGTGGTGATGGGGGTCCTCATGAAAGGTGGCTTCAGCGAAGAGAGTGGGGACATGGAGACGAGGAGACTCCAGCCGCAAAGAGTTGTAAGGAGAAGAACACCCAAGGCGTAACATGCTGATATACGGTGGGGGAGAGCATAGATAGGGTTCTTGAACACTTCGCCGATGGTGGTAGCAGCAGACGATGGTGACAAACGTTGAGCAACACGAATTTGATCGACGATCAACGTTGTCCACCATCATCTCCACTGTCACGGTACGCCAACTTTGTGAGCCGACCACTTACCGCATACTCGCCTCGAATGCAGACTCAGATTTCCCTTCACATGCTACCTGCCTCGCGCTTATGGAAACTGGTACGTATCTATCCCGATTTATTCAACTACTTTTTGCTCCTAACCATCGTCTCTCTGCTTAGTTAAACAACGTTGGTTTCATCGTGCTTCGCGAACGTGTTCACCGCCTTAATCCTGGCCCACAGATGGTTTGTAAAATCAGACCTGGGAATGTTGCGAAAACTTACCTGACTCCTTTGTTGCTTGCGTTCACGGTACGTGCCCCATAATGATCGACTTCCTTCGAAGCGCCAGTCATGTTACACTTTTTTTAGCATGTTATTATCTTGTTGGACTCAACTGGTGCGTTTTGGGGATGGACCGAATGACCTCATTAATAACGCGCTCAGAGTCACAGTAAACGATGGGAAATTGGTCTTCGAGTTTCGGGGAGTGTGGAGGGGAGGTCTGTTGTGCCGTTAAACGGGTATGAGCACCCATATATCAAGCGAGTGACCATTCCCTTCTAACTCATGCTGCAAGAAACTAGTTTACTCACTCACGCGTCCCAACTCCCGCGGAAGTCTTGTGCAGATGCTGCCTTTCGGTTTCGCCCTTCTCAGCGCTCCCCAACGCTGCCAACGGTTCACTTTCAGTTGACGATAATCCGGCAGAATCTGACATCTCATGCCCACTGAAATTCATTTCGAAGCTCCACCCAGCGACTCGAGGACGCCAACGTCTTATCGTAACAACCAAGGCTTTGCCCGTCGAAAGCACTAGGTGGACAAAACAACTACCACCGGAGATGTAGCTGCTTTCTGTTCGACCGTGTACTCCCTCTTTTTACGACGGGCTCATTGATCAGGATTTCACAGGATCCGTGACGTGGCGAGGCCCATGCTGCGAGAAACTTTATGATCTTATCGTCTGTCGTCTTCTGCAGGTGCTGCTTTTGCTTGAAGCCGCTGAGATCTTCTCACCGGCTCCTACGGTTGATGAGCTGCAACCTGTGCTCGTGTGAGTTGCAAGAATCCAATAGCCTAACGAGAAGTAGTGTGCGACAGGAAGGAGGACTAGAGCGATGCGAAGTGAGACGAGGGGTTGCTGATGGTCATTGGCAACGACGGCTGTTGTGTGATCGCCCAAGTACCTGTGCTCGTCTTTTGGTTTCCCATGTACTAATGTCACATTTGTTCTGGATTCTTTGTGTTGTTTTCATAGTAAATCTGATGTTGATTCCGGATATGGGATTTGGAATGCTGCCCGTCTTCATGTGAAAACTTGGGTTGTTTTCCTTCCACTTTTCTGTTGCTTACTATGTAAGTTGACGCAAAACCTCGCCAACGTCTGCCAACATCCGATTTCAAGGCCACATCTGTGAGATCTTGTGAGGCTTCTCATTGTCCTACCGTGCGACCATCAAGGAGTGTAGCACCCCTTATGTAATGAAGAACATCCTCAGTTGACTGCGTGAGATGGTCCGGTACCCATGGTGAACGTTGATGCAGATGCCGCACAGCTTCAGCACTCTCACTCGAACTACCATGTCTGATCCCAATCACTCCCGCCAAACTCGTCTGAAGGGCAAGTTCAAGGGGTTGCTTGGTCGACTCACGGGCGCAGACAGTCCACGTAATGAACGCCCTAGCGGTTCGAGGTAAGCGTTTCATAACCCCAATGCCGCCACATAGCATCCTGACGTCGACGTTTACAAGGGCGCTCGTTACAGGGGAGGGGGCATCTCTGGTATGTTGAAAACATGCGAGTAAAGTAATGGGCTCATATCCTTGACCTTTCTAGAACGCATTGCAGGGAGCTCACAAATTTGTTATGAGGGAGCCAAAATTTTATGTGGCTCAAAATGTGAGCCCCATGATGACAGCATTGACCACTGAGATATTAATTAGACATTTTGTCAAGATTGAGGTTCATGAACATGCTATCAGGGGCCAAGATGACACACTCTTGGTTCCCCAGAGACCAAACTCAAGTGCCTTGTTTACAGGTCGCAAGGATGTACTTGAAAAGCTGAAGGATCACTTTTCACCTGCAGATCAGGGTCATAAACACAGAAAGTCATTTCTATTGTTTGGTATGGGAGGCATTGGAAAGACTCAGATTTGTTTGAAGTTTGTTGAAGAGGTGGCTGACAGGTAATCTTTCTTCAACTTGCAATATAATTTCAGATCTCCTAAAACTATATGTAGATTCTCCCACATCTTCTGGATTGATGCATCATCCGAAGATACCATTGATCTTGGTTTAAAGGACTTATGTTCTCATTCTGATGCTAAAGCTGCTGGTGTCTCTGTGTCTTCCAAGTCTGCTCTTATCTGGATCACATCTCTTCAGAGTGAATGGCTGCTGGTGTTTGACAATGCTGATGGTGCACCTGAGGTCATAGAGAAATTTGTCCCATCTGGTTCTAGTGGGAATATTCTGATTACTAGCAGAAGTCAATCTCTTGGATGGGTTACATCTTATGACAACTGTCTTGAAATTGACCAGATGTCTGAGGAGGATGCCCTATTACTTTTGCTCAAAGCCAGCCATCTAACTGAGCAGTCAGAAAATATTCAAAGCATAGCTCAGCAAATTGTAAATGAGCTCTGCTGCTTACCTCTGGCTATTGATCAAGCTGGAGCTTCCATTGAAGCTGGTCTCTGCAGAATTGATAATTATCTTGAGCATCTCTCTCAACATAGGAATAAGCTTATGAACCATCCTTCATTCAGAGGGGCATCACAGTACAACTGTACAGTCTATGAAACATGGGATTTGTCATTTAATGAAATTGAATCAAGGGCAAACAAGCAATCTGACAGCCATGGTAGAGCAGCTGCTCAGGCTGCTATTCTTATTCTTGAAACTGTTGCATTTCTACACCATGAGAATATCATTGAGGCTGCCTTCAGAAAAGCTGCTATAAAATTCTCCAAAGGACATCACAGTATACTGGAACAAAATGTCAAAACATCCATCATCCAATTGCTCCAGCTTGGGGAAGATCAGTCTTGGAATCACTGGTTCTTTCATGAAGGAATTCGAGTTCTTATGTCATTTCTTTGATTAAACAGTGCTCAGCATTTTCAGGAATATATGCCATCCATCCTTTGGTGCATCAATGGAGTAGAAATAGGATGTCAATATCTCAAAAAAAGTGCATGATGCAAGTGTCAAAATTGATTCTTGTAAACTGTATTACAGAGGAAAGAACAGCTGAGAACCTTGCCTTTCACAGGCTTCTTGTACCACACATCAAAACACATTACCAGCTACAAGAGGAAAGTGGCTTGAAAAATGTGTTCAATGATAAAGATTATTACTGGTTCAGTAATGTATTTCAGAACAATGGAATGTGGAAGGATGCAGAGTATCTTTGATATCAAATTGTACAAATGAGGATAAAGAAGTGGGGGGAAAACCATCCCTCAACACTAGCCATCATGGGAAGTCTTGCAGCCACATATTTAAGGCAAGGAAAATATAAGGAGGCTGAAGACATGCTGCTGAAGGTGCTGGAACTGCAAATAAGAATGCCAGGGTTAAAACATCCAAATACTTTGATCAACATGAATAATCTTGCAGTCACATATTCAGTGCAAGGAAAATATAAGGAGGCTGCAAAGCTGCAGCTAAAGGTACTGGATCTGCAAAAAAAAATCCTGGGGCCAAAACATCTAGATACCTTGAGTACTGTGAATAATCTTGCACTCACATATTTAAAGCAAGGAAAATATGAGGAGGCTGAAGAGCTGCAACTGAAGGTACTGAATCTGCATGAAAACGTGCTGGAGCCAGAACATCCAGATACCTTCTACAGCATGGCAAATCTTGCACTCACATATTCAGAGCAAGGAAAATATGAGGAGGCTGGAGAGCTGCAGCTGAAGGCACTGGATCTACGTAAAAAGGTGCTGGGGCCAGAACATCCACATACTTTGTTCAGCATGTCCTATCTTGCAGCAACATATTTGAGCCAAGGAAAATGTGAGGAGGCTGCACAGCTGCAGCTGATAGCCCTGGACCTACATAAAAAGGTGCTGGGGTCAGAACATCCAGATACCTTGGTCAGCATAAATAATCTTGCACTCATATATTCAAAGCAAGGAAAATATGAGAAAGCTGGAGAGCTGCAGCTGAAGGCACTGGATCTACGTAAAAAGGTGCTGGGGCCAGAACATCCACATACTTTGTTCAGCATGTCCTATCTTGCAGCAACATATTTGAGCCAAGGAAAATGTGAGGAGGCTGCACAGCTGCAGCTATAGCCCTGGACCTACATAAAAAGGTGCTGGGGCAGAACATCCAGATACCTTGGTCAGCATAAATAATCTTGCACTCATATATTCAAAGCAAGGAAAATATGAGAAAGCTGGACAGCTGCAGCTGAAGGCCCTGGATCTTCTTAAGAAAGTGCTGGGGCCAGAACATCCACATACCTTAACCAGCATGTCCCATCTTGGAAAGGTATATTCAAACAAGGAAAGATATGAGGAGGCTCAACAGCTGCAGCTGAAAATATTGGATCTATGTAAAAAGGTGCTAGGGCCAGAACATCCAAAAACCTTTTACAGCATGGCAAATCTGGCAGCAACATATTCAGCCCAAGGAAAATATGAGAAGGCTGAACAGCTGCAGCTGATGGCTCTAAATTTGCATAAAAAGGTGCTGGGGCCAGAACATCCACATACCTTGGCCAAAATGTCAAATCTTGCAATAATCTATGCAAATCAAGGAAAACACAATGAAGCTGAAAAGATGTAGATCTAAATTCACACAACCCAGCAGACTGCTCATGCATGAATGGCTGGTGAGGGGTCTAAAACTTATCTAATTGATGTTACTCAATCCAGTTTTTGTTCAGAGCAGCCTCTTACAGACTCTTTTTCTTCCATATATTCTTACACTTGCTGACACTTACATATTCTTAAGATACATCTAGACCATACTGGACAGTTCTAGATATGCATTCCAGCCCTATTCCTTTATGACTCATCTCTATTATTTAGATATATTTCTCTTGACTCATTTCATTGTTCACCCTTGACATTCAATTTTGTGGGGAGTGCAAGTCCACACATAAAAAATTGGGGTATTCCATAAGTTCCTGCTCAATTTCCATGATCTTAGCCTCAAATTGATGGTACTTTCTTCAGTAACCACCACCCAAAGTCATGAGATGCTGTTTTTTTATTATTCACACTTGACATTCAATTTTGTGCAGGATAGAAATCCATGCATTCACCTCACTCTGACATTTTTCTAGTGTCATTTTCCACTAGTGGTATTCTTCCACCATGTTGCTCATGCATCTTCTGCCCATGTGCAAAGTTTTTTACCACCAGTGATACCTAGAGCAGTGAGGTGGCCATCTCACAACTCCTATTTACATGTTGGATCAGACATTAATAGGTAGTATTCATAATTTTCCACTGTAGACCTGACTCCCAGACATCTGTTACCTATTATCACTGGCCTTATTTTCATATCCATCTCATTATCCTCTGCACCCTTTTTCTTCTTCAAGTTAATAGTCAACAGGACACTATCCCCTCTGCAACTTCGTGACAGCCCACCTTCAATATAACCAGCACAACTCTATCATTATTTTCTAAGGTGTCTAAATCATTATCATCCATTATATTTAGGTGACATTATATTATAGCCTATTTATGACTTGTTTATAGGCCATTCATTTATTTGTGGGGGGCTTACATAGATCATTTATGGTCAGCACAAGTCATTCAGTTGTTTTAGAGTTGTATAGGAGACAAATCAATTATGTATGGCCAAAATAAGACTAAAACAAGAGGAAAGTAGAACTGGCCATAGATTGGTCAACCTACAAAAGTTCCAACACAAAGAATACCCAAGGGGGTCTTAGGATTCCAAAGTCTGACTGGGGGTTGGGTAGGTAGGTCAGCCGCAGGCCCAGAAAAAAAATTCTTGGAACCCTTTACAAAATGATCTCAAAACAGGCCTGAAAGGCCATACCTTGCAGGTTTGCAGTGCCAATACACTCCAGAACATGTAGATCAGTCCAAATTTAATGATATTCGGGCTTTATATAATATTTCTTTAATCTTATCTAGTACTTCAAAGTTCACAGTTGAGTGCAACATGGATACCAAGGGAGCGGGAGGTGAAAATGGGGAGATGCTGCCAGTGGTGGCAGACATGGAAAGTATCATCACTGACGACGTGGGATTGGAGAACGACAGCATGAGTATCATCTAAACTTAGCTGAACAGGGAGGCACTCACACAATGTTTAGCGCACTGTTCCTGGGCCGCCATTGGCAACAATTTCAAGTGCCTGCAAATGCAATGTTGGCAACACTGTAACAGCTGCAAACGGTAACTTAGGGTGGAAGAGAGGCCTTCAGATGAAACCAGGCATTCTAAACAGAAGTGTGTTCCAGGCAGATGCTGGCAAGGCCCAAATGCCTTGAATGGATGTCTGTGCAGGATAGTGGTGGACTCCCAATCAGACAGGGTTCTTGAGTGTAAGAAGCTTGGCTGTGAGACACAATGGGTAAGGCTATCTTCCATACGGAAAAGGTTTTAGATCACTCACCTACATTTAAGTATCACCTAGGTTGTGTTTCATTGCAAATTGTTCCACAAAACTGGGTTTGCGAGGCCAGTGAGGAATCTGGGACAAATAGAGGGACAAAGCAAGGACAAAGCGATCATGATGATGATGTCATATTACCACTAGAGGTTGACTTCATCAACAAAACCTCGCTTCTGTATTTTAAATACATTAGTCAGGGTTCTTAGTACAACCTCGGCTTCACCCAACGAAAAAAACTTAGAAAATGTACTAAGTAATTGAACTTGTCCTAAGGCTTCCCATCACCCACCGTTTGACCAAGATTTATTGTATTTTTTGTTTCTTCACAAGAACTCCATTAGATTGAATGAATATCTACTTAGCTTGTCAAAGGAGCCACTGCTCGTCATCCGGCCTTTGGCCGACTCCTTGCAGCCAGTGTTGTCTTGACCTGTTTGACCCCGTCAAGAAAAAGGTCAAGTCAAAGGGTCAGTCAAAAAATGTTAAGGGGTCAATGTCACACAGAAGTCACATTGACCATGATGACATAATGTAGTTCAGGACAACGTAGTACAAGCTGTCATGCCCTCAAAGTCACATCTGTGGAACCACTCTGACATAAATTTCCAGAACAAACACACACATGCTAAAAAATATCATGTCGGCGTGTACATCTGAGCTAAGCAAGCAGTGGATCGTGAAGCTTGCAGAAGGGAAGAGTGCCGGCCTAAGTCAATCCACGATGGGCACTTGTAAGATAGCTCATGTCAACCTTTTTTAGTATATCCAGAAGCTTCAACTGCGAAATCAGAAAAAGGGTTGGTAAGTATGCTATTGAATTCAAGGTAGCTACTTTATACTGAAGACATTTCTCGTACTTCAAAACTGAGTCTACCTTGAGTCTAACAAATCTCTGCAAGTGTAAATATGAGGCACCCTCTCGGCCTGCGCTTTCCATTATCCCACGAAAACTCTTGACCCCCCTTTTTTGACTGACCCTTTGACTGACCCGGTCAGACCTGGGTCAATGACAACACTGCTCGCAGCAGCAAAGAGAGTGTTTGGGCCATGTTTGCAGAAGAGTAGAGTGTTTGGTCCAATATGAAAACATGACCTCCAGGAAGTCGTATTATTTGCGCCATGTTTGCTGAAGAGTGGAGTGTTTGGTCCAATATGAAAATATGACCTCCAGGAAGTCGTATTATTGGCGCCATGTTTGCAGAAGAGTGAGTTGTTTGGATTGCTTAGAAATATGAGGCTGGGAGACCTAGCTAACGCGAGGTGATATATGGGTATGTGCCTGATTACGTTGGTAGGTAGGTCGAGCTCCAAGGGCTTAAAAAAAAAAATCGACCCCGGGTATTTTTTTAAAATCCTAAGACCCCCTTGAGAATACCAAGTATTTATTGTAAAACATATTCAATTTCCCTGATTCCTTTTGCACTGAAAAGCTGAGTTCAAGCAGATCCCGGTGCACCTATATACATAGTTTTTGCGCCAGAACTCAGAGAGCTATCAATCAAATAATGGTGAATAATTTGCCTTTTGAGAGATAATTATAGATTGTCATCATTTCAAATTCTCCGAAATTGTTGAGCAATATTCCTGGCGCCTCCAAAAGAAAAACATTTTTGTCCACAGATGGCCTTCATAATCTTCACCTTCATGAGCAACCTGAATTCTTATGTTGCTGTCAAAAGTATTCTCAACTGCTACTATAGGCTTTTCTCTCTAGATGTAAGTATACAACGTGTATGCATCTCGGATCCCATCCCATCAAGCTCAATTGTTGGCCGTCCGCCATCCCGAGGAATCTATAAACAAAACTAATTCCTCGAAGTACCAAGCGTCGGAGCCCCCGCCGTAGACTTCGTGAACGTGTCACCACCACCACTCATCGGCCGCTGGCTCAACTTTGACTGTCCTCCTCCTGCTCCGACTTTCTCCTCACGCATAGGGGCCTACATCATGAAACGATCAGATAAAAACGCACACAAAGAATAATTCAAGAACTCACGTCCTTGCCAAGGTGAAGATCCCGCTCGAGCTCCTCAGCAACTCCATCAACATGACGCGAACTCTGTCCATGAAGAACCTTCTTCTTGATAGCACTTTGCGGAACTGCCCCATGAGCTTTTTTTACGAACGTCTCAATGGGAACGGGGTCGTGCACTTGAGATTGGTGGACGACGGGAGCTTCGTGGGTGACGGTGTGGATGGGGATCGTGGCGTGGATGCGTCGTTTATCGATGGCTGGCAAAAAAGATTCGTCAATAGTCATTGGGAACAAAGAGAACGGCTTACTTTCTTTTTCGATGACGGGTTGGATGATGTGGTGGACGTGATGATGAATGTGTTCGTTTACAACCGTCCCTTTATCGACGATAATGCGCTCTTTTTCGGCGTGTTTCTTTTCCCGGCGGGTAAGTAAATATAAAGACGGAACAGAAGGCACTGACACATGTATCCTGATGCTGGCGAAGTAAACCATCAAGTAACGCGGTGTCCTCTACGTTGTTGGCGACGACCTCGCGAATTTGAGTAGGAGGATAACGCTGGTTGTTTGTTAGATCAATTGTTCAGAGAAATTGATAGATACTGACGTGATCCGTGTGTTCTTCTGGCAACTCCTCTCTTGCGATGAGGGGTTGCATATGGTGTTGAATATGATGAACTGCGATAGATAGGTTCATTTTTATTGTAGTAGTGAAATCGATGAACTTACTATGACGCTCGTGCTCTTGAACACGAGAAACCTCTTCCGTCTCAATAGTACGCACGACTTCATGAGTAACAGCTGTGCTCAAAAAAATAAGGCCCGGGCCAAGGAAAAGACCAAAGGAAAAACATTACGATTCAGCTCATCCGTAATGTGTTCAATATCTTTCGCATCCTGCGGCAAATCAACAATGCGCCCCATGGCCGGATGATGAGGTTCATGAACAGCTACCGCATTCCAAAAAAACGTCACCACAGGTGGGGGCACAGAATTTGAGTGAGGACGTACCAGTAGTAGTAGTACCCGCCGAATGAAGATGATGCTTTAAAGCACCAGTGCCCGTCCCAGCCGTAGTTCCAGTTCCAGTTCCAAAAAGTCCTCGACGATGAGTCCCCTCGGAATCATACACATCACCCCTCTGAGCCGGAGCAACTCCGCCCGTACCCACAGCACCCTCAGGCCGTCCATCCACAACATCGGTGGTTGCACTCGGGGTAGTCCTTGGAACTTCTTTGCTGGAACGAACGCCAAATAGACCGTTTCCACGCTTTTTGGTGGTGCCCGCGGTACCCGTCAACCCAGCGCCTACAGCAAATGGTGACGCTGCTGCTGCTGCACCGGACTTTGTCCCTGGGTTGCCGCTGGGATGGGTAGAATAGTCCCCCGTAGACGGTGAGGTTGGGTGGGTACCAGCCTGATGATGCATTTCGCTCGGCATAGCAGCCATAGAAGTCCTTGTAGTGGGGTTATCGAGCGATGTTCTGCCAGTAGTCCCAGGCCCAGAACCAGATGGGAGTTTGTTAATAGTTGAGGTTGCAGTCGTACCGCCGGTGGTGCCTACTGTCTCAGGCATCGTCGAGTCGCCCGCCACGGCGGAATTGGGGTTGTGATTGATTTCGTCGCCTGATAACATGTTCTTCACCGCTGATCCGATACCTGGAGGAAGCGTTAATACCAAGTGGTGGGCATTGCGAAAAGGCAGAAGCATACCCATGGTGAAGGAGAAAGGAAAGGAGTGGAGATACTTGCATGTCTGAGGGTATTTATCAATTGAGTTCTGGGACGCGTCATAGACGTGGAGATCGTGGTGCGTTCATCTGAGGGGTTTTTCTTTTTTTTCGTTTCGTGACGGCCAGTCTGCCACAGTGAAGTTTGAAAACAACCCCACAGCTAGAGATGAGCAGTTCGCCGCTTAGAATTACAGTCCAACTTTGACCTCTTTTGAGAAAAGATCGAGGCGCGTAGAGCAAGGAGAACTGGACATCTCAAATCCAGAGATGAAACGCTTGGCGACTCACAGTTGTCAGAGGTTGATCATCGTGCTGACAAGTGAGACGTGCGAAACACGATCGGGAAGGTATTATGAAGCTTTCTCCACAAGTGGTTACACAATCCCGATGGACCAGGTATGAAGGACGCGTCCAGTCGGGAAGGAGGTTGAGGATGCCAGCTAAGATTCTATTTGGCTCTATTTGGCGTATGTTTATCTTTAGATACCCTCCTGCTCCTCCCCACGTATATATGCGTTTCCTTGCGGCTTTCTACGTACCACCCACTCAGAGCTTGAGATATACAATCGTCCTTGCTCTCCCATTTGAACAGCAAGTCCAATGTCCAGCGTGCTCCCGCATTTTTTCGATAAATCGTGTTGGTATATAAAAGAAGACGCGTGAACGGTGGAAGTAGTAAAACGCCTCCCTCCCCATTCCTTTCTTCGAGTAAGCTCTCCCCAGCAAAGAAAGATAATAAATAGATTAGTACACCATCCAAGAATATACATCCACACGCAAATTGAATTACCTACAGTTTTTTTTGCTTCCTTGCCAATTTCGCCTGCCACTCGCTCAACGCGTGAGATATATACAAATCGGCCCTGCTGTCCAATTAGAACAGCAGGTCTTTCCAATGTCCAGCATCCTTCCGTCTTTTTCCGTCGTTCCCGCCCCAGCAAAGAAAGATAATAGTTAGATTAGTACAACCATCCAAGAAATACACCGTCCAGTTACATACATCTAAATTCTACCTCTATCCATTCATCCCCCCCACACATTCCCAAACCCTCCACATCCCCTCCCAAGAAAGTACACCACGCCATTCATCTCTTAACCCCCGTTCTTCTTCCCCTCCTTCCTCTTCCTCCTCCTCAACACCAGGGCTATCGGAATCATGTAACCTCATCAAGAGGGCATGGATAGGTGTATACTCCTCCTCCTCGTCTAGTTCTAGTTGTAATGGAAGAGGGGAACAAGGAACGACGCGGGCAGACCACTCCGCGATGGGGTGCGTCATGTCTAGCTCTATATCTTGCTCTGCGTCAACGTCCTCTTCACGGGACGAATTCGAGTTGGGGTGTGCGTTGAGGCTGTTGCCGGTGGAAGGGGGAGTAGTGGTAGTAGCTTCGCAGTTCCACCGGGTATCCGTGAAAGACAGGGAAGCGGAAAATGTGGTATCGTCCAGCACCACTTTCGTAGACGTAGGTGGAGTCCTGGGAGGGGTATCAACCCCCTTCCCCCATCCGGATCCCCGGGTAGCAACAACATAAGCAGCCGCAAGGCTAAGCGCGTCAGCGGCCCTCGTGCGCGGTGCGAGTATCAGTACTCCCTCTTTGGTGTTCCTGTTTCCCCGTGGTGAATGAGCGGGAGGAGGGGTAGGTGGGAAGGAAGAGTACCGCGGCGGCGGTGGGGAGGGTGGAGTGGTACGCAAAAAAGTACACCCTTCATGGATCTGTGTGTTTGTAAGGAGCGAAACACCATCTGCGCCCTCCCCTGTTCCATCCAGCGTTAACGTCAAGCCACTGCTCGGGCTAGGGCTAGACGGGGACGCGTTATCAACAATCCTAACGATCCTCCCAAACCTCTCCTCCAACCCCTTATCCCAAACACCCATTTCCCGTTCTTCTCCCCGATAAACTTCATCGACGTCATCTTCACTACTATAAGGAGACGACCCATCCAGGTGCGGACAAAAAGCCACCCATACACCGCTCGCAACACGCTGCATGCACATGTCCCTCTCTAACTTCTTTTTCCTGCGTGTAGGTGCGAGGGCATGATAGTGCCGCGTGTGTAGCCTGCGGCGCCGTGGGAGGTGGGAGATGTGCGGTTGGATGGGGCCTGTTCGCGTTGGGGGTGGGCTGGGTTGGGCTGGGGAGTGGTGGTGGTTTGCGATGGGAGACATGGGAAAAGGCACGGGGAGAAAGACGGGTGAGTCCAAGGTCAACTTGGGAGGCGCGAGTTTCTGTTGTTGCGGGCGATGGCGGCGAGGGAGGTGGTTTCGGTGGGGTTGGATAAATCCTTTGTTGGTTATGCACAGTGGTGCTTGTGTGAGCACGAGCATTTCAATCTCGTCTCGTCGGCTTGGATGGATGGATGGATGTTTCGCAGGGCTTGGGATTGGATGAGGGGGTAGAAGAGAGGGTAGATGAAGCAATGAAGCAAGTCGACGTCGAAGCTGCCAGCAGATGAGATGAAAGGAGGAATTGAATGGAAGCACTATAAGTTAGGCAATAGATAAGGCGATAGATAACAGTTGTGAGGTGTCGGAAGCAGAGGAATACGTACGGGGAAAGGCTCCACTGATCCGAGTAGGAACTCGCCATTCAATCGATCATTGCCGTGGCGGCACAACGAGTACCTGCTTCATCGTGTTTCCACATGTGGTTGATGGTCATTGTTGGCCTCGTAGCATTGCTCAATCACGGTCAGCGTCTGTCCACAACCACCATAACCACCATAACCACTACAACAATGTCTCCCACTCCCATAACCCGCGAAACCTTCATCGACCCATCCCATGTTCAAACAGTGCTCACCCAAAAAACGATGTACGTCCTCAAAGACGAGGGGGGCGTCAAAGAGGTGCCTATACCCGAGAGCTTTAGGAAGGTTGGCATTCCCGAGGGGTACAGTGTCGGTGCGTCGCTTATCTTTCCTCATCGATTGTCTGATGCTATGTAATGGACGAACGCCAGATTTCGTATTGGACCCAGTGACGCTGGTCAAAACGTTCGCGAAGCAGGGTATCACCACCGAAGAGTGAGTTGCCCTCCTTTCATCCTGGAGTGTCGACCTCACACGAAACAGTCAAATAAAAAAGGAACTCCTCAAAGACCTCAAAGCCACCATCAACGCATCCGATAACCTCAAGATCGTACCTACATCCGTATACGAAGATGTGCGCTTTCTTCCTTCCTACCTTCTTCCTTCCTTCTTCCTGATGTCTTACAAAATAAAAAAGAAACGCGCCCTATACGAAAACAACTTTGACAACTCTGACGACGACGAAGGGGACGACGAAGAAGAAGAACCAACCGGACCCCCAATCACACGCGAAACATTCATCTCACCCACCCACATCGCCACGGCCCTCAAGCAAAAAACGATGTATGAGCTCGCAGAGGACGGGGAGGGCGTCAAGGAAGTACCTATTCCGAAGAGTGTTAAGAAGGGGGGTGTTATTCCGGAGGGATATAGTGTCGGTGCGTACCTCTCGTTTACCTATGACGAGAAAAGAAAAGATTGATGGGTTGGGGACGGATAGATTTCATCGTGGATCCGTTGACGATCGTCAAGTCACTTGCGAAGCAGGGGTTGGTTACTGAGGGTCAATTATCAGAAGAACTCCTAAAAGACCTCAAAGAACCCATCAACGCATCGGATAATTTGAAGATCGTACCGACGAGCGTGTATGAAGCCAAACTTGCTGCGCTGGAAGAGTCGCTTGAGAATGATGAGGATGATGATGATGAGGAGGTGGGGGAGGAGTGGGTGGATGAGGAGTGATGTGGATTTGCGAGGTGTAGAAAGAAAGAATTTAGGAAGAGAAAGAAAGGGATTAGTTGTTTATGTACTTTTATGTAGAAATTATTTGTGTTATGTACGAGTTCTGATCTGGAGAAGTCCAGCGCCTTTCGTGGCCGGGAAAAGCGGAAAGGCTCGGTGCGGTGTAGTTGGTGAGTCCAAAAATAAACAGGACCAACTTTCAACACAACAAAGTCAAGTCTTGCAGTGCGTTCTCTTCCTACTCAACTGCCATAGGCCGGGCGCATTTTTTCTACCCGAAATATCAGACAAAGACAAGGGAACAGCTGGGTCAGCGTGGTTGGACAATCTCGATTTGGACACACCCGATCACCCACTTGAACGACGCATGTAGCGGAAACAGCGCAAGATGGCGCCTTCAATTCTACATCGACCCGACTCGAGTAGTCAACCTTGGCTTAACAGCTACAGCCCTGGGGTGTTCGCCTGACAAAAATGAACCCTGCAGGTACTATTTGAGCTCGATTTGAACACCGACCGACTCGGAGCTTTGAGCTTCAAGTTCGTACTCTCGTCAACAAATGGAACTCTTAACAGTCAAAGAGATTTATGACGGAAGGTATTCCGGAGGGGCTACAGTGTCAGTGCGTGGCGTTGCTCTTTTTTTTTTTTAAAAAAAAAAAAGAGATCGAGTCTCATTCCGTATCGATACACGTCGCTGCGACGATGATCGTCAATGAAGAGTACGTTATGTTCTCCCTTTTCATCTTGTGCTCACCACCAGTAATAACAACAAAGCCAATAACTTGAACCAGAGGAAGAACCTCCTCAAGCTGCTCGCCATCAACTCATCCGAAAACCTCAAGGCTCAAGATCGCACTACGTCCGTACGTTGTCCTTAATCTTAGCCTTTTGTCCGGGACTGGAGATTCTAACCCACAATATAATCATAAAAAAGACGAAGTACTCGAAACGAAGACGAAGAAGGGGGGACGTCCAGCCTGGACGTCCAAACGCCTTTACCATTCTAAGCTTCATACACCCAAACACGGCAATGGTGCTCCGAGTCAGCCAACAGACAATGTATGCACTTGCTGAGGACGAGGAAGGCGTCAAAGAGGCATCCCGGGCGGGATTGTGCCATGGAAACCACGTGTCAACCCGTGTGTCATACTACTCACCTCGGACCATCTTGTCCCCCAATTTTACTGATCGGCCACGACGAAAACCAGTATCGGAGCTTGTGGAAAACGTGTCTATAGCTATCCGAGTCGCTCGAATGGCTCTCGAGCATCCAATTCTCGCTCGACGTGTATGCATAGGCTTGCATCTTGGTGGGCTCCAGGCTCTCATCTTTAGTAGATACGAAACCCTAGAGCTTAAAGGAAAGTAGCGCAAGGCATCTCGGACTCTGGCTACAATTGCGAATTGGGCCTGGAACTCAACGTTTGGAACACCCATTCATCCAGCGGTACTTGTTGGCTGGAACTCATCCGGTCACAGTGACCTCGCTCAAAGGAAACATCTATCCGGTATGAGGCTTCGACTTCGTCGTGTCAATTTATCACACCTACAAGGATAAGGTGGGTGTTTCCCTGCTCATTAAAACCTCATTTGATCGAAGAACTTGTGTACATTTGGGGGATAATACCTTATCTCCTTCATTCCGGAACTTGGAACGCATCCGAGTCATTTCTCATTCTCAAACGCCATACTTACTCAGAACACTGCTGTTCAAATTCAGTGCAAGTTCCGTCCCCTCCGAAGTCTCCGCTTCCGTTAGGCTAGGGACGAGACGACCGACCCTGCGTCAAACGCCCCGATAATTATTTAAATCAGGGTCTGGGCGGCATCCCACGCTCATGACTTGCACAATTTAAAAGCTGGCGCCTTTCCCCAAGTTCCCATCTCATCCTTCAATCCCGATCCCGCCTGCTTGAACTTGACAGCACGATGCCCCAACCCATCACGCGCGAAACATTCATCGACCTCGCTCGCGCGGAAGCGACGGCGCTCACCCAGGAATCTATGTACGACGAGGATGTCGAACAAGTGCCTATCCCGGAGAGTTTTAGGAAGTTTGGAGTTCCGCGGGGGTATAGTGTTGGTGCGTTGTCCTTTATACTCACAGATGCATAGGGTTTTTTTGGATCTAATTGTCTTGTTATGAATGGTAGACTTTGCTCTGGATCCGGCGTTGTTGGTAGCGTTTCTTGCGAAACGGGGAATCGTGAACGAAGAGTGAGTAGCTCGTCATGCTTCATTTCGCTGCGTCGTCAACAACGAGAATACTTACAGCCAAATACCACACGACCTTTTACGAGACCTCAAAGACACCAACAACGCAACTGAAAACCTCAAAATTGTACCAACGTGCGTATATGACGACGTAAGTAACGCTCTCACTTTTTCCCTAGGATACACGCGAGCTCATCCTATCAATAGAAAAGAGCCAGGGTGGACGCCGCGCTCGAGAGAGCGCCTGATAATTCATTCGGTTCCGTAAAGTCGCTGTGTTTATATATCAGCCGAGAATTGACAAAGGGGTCGGAGAGTTCGGCTACATCTCAGTGAGTGGAAGCCTAGATGTGCTGCCTGTGGGGTACAAGAGCTAATTTTTCGGTACAGAAATTCACAGCGAAGCCGGCTCTGTCTAGGGAGGTCGCGCGCCGTGACGAGAAAGAGGGTGCTGATACGGGAGAAAAGGAGGAGGGTGATACACAGAGGAAAGCTATGATGCTCAGGAGGCGTCATTACTATGAGAACCATTCATTCAAAAATTCGAGTTAGAAGAGCCACCTGGGTCTAGAATCGAACAAGGGGAATTTTAGCCAACGGGAGAGAGGAAGGGCGTCATTACTTCGCTTGTCATGACTGAGATCTCCAGAAGCTGAATCTGTGATGACACCTGGATGGAGAATGAAAAGGCTTACGTCCCAACGTATGGCTTGGTCCCGAATCGAGCAGAAATGTTCCCTGACTCGCGCGTGCAACAAGTAAAATAATGCACGCCCCCCCGAGGTGCGTGGCTGCGCCTTGTGATGATGCAAACCAGTGAATGACCTGGTTCTCATTCGAACAAGAACCCCTCCGCATGCAAACTTCATGATGGGCAGCTGCCGCTTACGCCGCCAGGCCTGATAGCATGCAAAGCCGGGTGGAAGTGATCTTTGAACCTGCAGGGTACACAATATCAATTGCAAGCGAGAGTATGAATTAGCACCAGGTGCTGTTCCCTAATGAACAAACACCGGAAGGCCCGCGGGCATTAGATCAGATATACTCCTCTGGAAAGATAGGACTCCGATGGTTTCAGTGGCGCCAGGGAAGGAATAAGCGAGAGTGGGGTAAAATGTTCAAGTAGAAATCATGAGGAATGTCGGGATCGCTTCTCAGGCCACCGACGTTTCCTAATCTTCCCCGGTCGCCATATTCACGGACGCTGAAATCTATAAAATGTGTATTCCTCAGGAAGGACTGAGAGATTCAAGGTGCTGTTGTTTGGAGGAAATGAGCAGAGTGAGGGGAGTTTGATGCGGTTCGGAGACGCCACTTTGTGTCGTGAGGTTTTTTCCACCCAGTGGCTCGCTACCTTCAAAAGAGAGGCGGTATGGTAGATGATAATTCTAGAGGAATACAAGTTAGACATGTAGAGCCATTAGTGAATGTCGACTTTCTTACGTGTAGTACTTCGCTGTACCTATCGTTCCGGAGAAATTTTAGCTCGATAAGCCGCATGCAGATGGATCGTCCGAGATGAATTGCTACCTGGAGCGTAGGCGTCCATTTCGAGTACCCGGTGGTTGCTTGTTCAAACGTGCATGTCGCGCTAAGTGGAAATCCAAAATACTAGTTTCAGTATTTCTTGGCCATCTGAAGCCAGCCCGAGGTTTTGTCTCAACTCTGTCAGAAGACTTGAAGGGCCAGAGGGGCAGGGAATCTAGAACGCCTGAATGCTAAGTACTAGGAAAGCGTTGAACGGCTCGCAAACAGACGTCAACCACAATAATGTTCAAACTCCGATTGTACTCGAGCACAACTGCGGACTGCCAACTAGTACTGCGAGTCCATCTCAGACCCCTCTCGAATCCCCGCCATGGACGACGCAACTCCAGAGACTATCTACGATCCAGCTAGTCAAGATACGCAGCATTCTAATCAACCAGAGACCTTCCAACCTCCAAAACGGGTTCAGCGGCCCAAAACTTACGTGGAAGGTATCTCGCTTTACTTCAAGCTCATGTACAAACGGCGAAACATGGTCAAAATGCCAGCCTTCTCGACGGAATCTTTCCCACTCTTTCTGCACAGCGTGCTTGCCTGTCTCTTTTACATCATCACATTCAGGAGATCTGCTTGGTACCGCTTGTCCGCGGAGTTTCTACAACAACGCGTTGAGACGACTTTTCCTCTTCTGAAAGCAGCGGTTCAGTCTATAGCTCAGTCTGGGGGAGACTTTTCGGCGCAATTAATGAAGGATCAATTCTCGCAGCTGGGAACGCGCTCAAGTCAAGAATACTACGTCGATGAATGGAACGCCATCGAACTTACGTCTCTGGATGAACATTGGACCCACTGCCTTCCTCAATTCAAGACTACAGGTCTGTGGTATGCTCTGAGTATCGCGGGTGTTATACTTGTGATAGCTTCTCTGTGCGTATAATTCCACATCACCGTGAACATTGTATTCAAACACGATTTTAATCATCAAGAATCAATCTTCTGGAAGTAAAACCACCCCTCGGAGTGTGCATCGTCGTCGCGGGTATGAACTACATGGTGACCTCGTTTTCATACCATGATAGATTTCGTTTTCTTTATCCCACCTACCGGGGCTTCGAGTGGGTAAACGTAAGCTCATGGTCGCCCCTCTCTCATTAATACACTGCATCTGAGTAACACCTAGGCGTTAAGTCCTCGACCGAGCGTTGGCATATGGTGGGAAATTGAGTTGATGGTGATGCCTTCGGTGTGGCATGCAAGGTTAGCGTTGACCTTGCACTTCAACAAAGAGTGCTGATTGTTATTGCATTAGTCACTATATGCTATTATTGCTGCTTCTCCTCTGCCACAAATTCTTCAGATCCGTATCAGAAAGTCGTGTATGGTTCCTTTTGGCGGGGTTCTTTTACATCTTTGGGATGTCGCATGCATCCTACATCCTGCTCACCTCGGACCGGCACCGCTTGGCTGCCGAAAAATCCTGGGAGACGCGTATTGATGGTTGGGTCTTTGAGCAGCAATACGCAATTTCTACTCCATCACCTAAATGATTAGAAATAGAGGCAATGTAGGCGTTCCAAAATTGTGTCACTTCTTGTACAGAAACGATAGATTTCTACCGTTTCATTCCAGATTCTTTGATTTTGGAACAAAATGCGTGTGAAAAAGATGAAGCATTCGAAATCGACGATGATAATTTGATGATAATGAAGAAGCTCGAAGGAAAAAACGAAGAACCTGGACTCCCAATCGCCTTTGCCACCTTATGCTTCAAGTTTCATACACCCGGACAAGTCACAACTTCGGCAGCCAACGAACAGACAATGAATGCGCTTGCTGAGGACGGGGAAGGCGTCAACTTGAAGGAGGAATTCCACCTATTGGCGGGATTGTGCAATGGAAGCCGCATGTCAACCCCGTGTGTCATATTCACCTCGGACCATCTTGTCCCCAATTTTACTGATCGACCAGGACACACCGAGGGCAAGACAGCATCGGAGCTTATGGAAAACGTGTCTATAGCTATCCGGCTCTCGAACAATATGCATCCTGCGGGTCAAGGCATTCGAAGCTGACTCTCCCTAGATACCTAAACTTTAGATAAGAAACCCTAGAGCTGAAAGAAAAATCTCGGATTCTGACTACTTATGCAAATTGGGACTGGAAGTCGACGTTTGGGACACCTGTTCAGTGTTACTTGTTGGCTGGAACTCGTCCGGTCACAGTGAACCTAGGGAACTTGAACCTCGCTCAACCGATATGAGGCTTCGACTTCATCGTGCCGATTATCACACCTACGATAAGGTGGGTTTATCCGTGCTCATCAAAACCTCATTTGATCAAAGAGCTTGTGAATTTAAAAGGATAATTTTGGCCATCGCGAGAGGGGAAGCGCGTCCTTACTTCGCTTGAGTTACGACTGAGACCTCCAGAAGCCAAATTAATGATGATACTTAAATGGAAAATGAAAAGGCTTGAGCTCCAACTTAGTTGTCCTGGTCCTGAATCGAGAATGGATGTTTCCCGACGCGCGTGTGCAACAAGCAAATCATGCACGCCGCCCTCAAGGTGCGTGGATGCGCCTTGTACCACCAGGGTCTGATGATGATACAAAACCCGCCCGGCACTCAGAGTGATGAGTTCGGTGTAGACTAATCGGTAGCGAAGGTCCACAAGGAACGCACCGGTTCTGAATCTAGGGAGGTCCAGTATATGACAAAATATGCGACTGAGGAGAACATGAGTAAAGAAGCTCGAAGTAAGTAGGACATCGAAATTACGAGAGTATACTTACTTTCGTCGTGTGCTAATCCCGCATCGAACGGGAGACTTTCGGCCTTTTGTTAGGTCGAACGCGGCGGTGCGCTTCGTGGCACCACATCATCACTTCCGGTACCTATTATCTTCACGTTATCCGTTGCATCAATCACATTGAACGCGCACCTGAGCGATCCCCAAAAATCTACGCCAAATGTTTTCAATCGCATGCAAATTCATTTTTTCCCAGAGTGAGAGGCACTGTTTTCATTGTGTCTGCCAGTCCTCAATATCTGTGAGTGCAAATTCAACGATGCTACCCTTTATTTATGTATCTGGAGACGCACGTACTGGAAAATATGTCCTAATACAAGCGAAACCTGGTTCTTATTCAAACAAGCACCCTCCGCAAGCAAACTTCATAATGGGCAGCTGCCCCTTACGCCGCCATGTTTGATAGTATGCAAGACCGGGTACGTGGAATTGTGATCTGGCTACACAATATCAATTGCAAGTGGGAGTGTCAATTAGCACCAGGCGCTGTTCCCTAATTGACACACACCGCAAGGCCCGGCGCATAGATCAGATATACTCCTCAGGACAGGAAGAATAGGACTGTGACTCTGGTGGGAAGGAATAACTTGGAAGAGCGGGGTAAGATGTTTGAAGTGAAAATCATGGGGAATGCCGGAATCGCTTCTCAGGTCAACCGGTCAGGGACGTTTCGCAATCTCCCCCAGGCACGATATTCAAACGCGGAAATCTAGAAAATTTGTGTTTCCTGCATTCCTCAGGAAGGACTGAGAGATTACTAATGGCGCGGTGGCGTTGTTTGGGAGGAAATGAGCAGAGCGAGGGGAGTTTGATGTGGTTCGGAGACTTCACTGTGTCATGAGGTTTAGTGGTTTGCTATCCTCAAAAGGGGGACGGTATGGTAGATGATAGATCTAAAGGAATAGGAGTTAGACATGTAGAGTCATGAATGCCAGTGTCGACTTTCTTACGTGTACTTTGTTTGCTGTACCTATCGTTCCGAAGAAATTTTAGCTTGATTAGCCGCATGCAGATGGATCGTCCAAGAGGAATTGCTACATGGAGCTTAGGCATCCCTTTCGAGTGCCCGGGCCCTTCGTTGCTTTCTCAAACTTGTCAGGTCGCGCTAGTAAGTCAGTGGCAATCCAAAATAGTTGTAAGTAGTACTATTTGTTGACCATCTGAAGCCGGCCCTACAGTTAGGGCAGTCAAATGGGTCCATCACTGATGGGCCAGCGGTGTGTGACAGGCGCCCATCAACAGCGGGCCAGCGGACTCGGCCGAGCTGTCAAGAATTCGGCCTTGGGAATGACTGGGCCGAGACTCTAAAATAGGCCATGCGACATGGGTGGGCCGCACGAACAGAGCCCCATAGAGGATGGATCGGCCCACTTTGCCTCTGGCGCCCATGGGTTGCGCCCAATTGCACAGATCCCATTGTTGCGCCCATCGTTCTTTCAGGCAGTTAACCAGAGTGCTGCCTCGTTAGTACCACTGTGGGGGACCACACAGGAGAAAGTTAAATAGATATATTATTAACCTGTTGTATGTGAAGTAAGTATTTAAATGTGTTGACAGCAGCCTCGTTGTTGCGCCTGCAGGCAACAACAGGTGAATTTTTCGCCATGGATGGGTGGCATGAAAAAAAGCCCCTCATACAATGGGTCAGCCCACTTTGGCAGAGGTTTATGGCACCCATGCACTGCGCCCATTGGTCTCATTGGCGAGTCCCAACCTGTGCAATTATTTTGCACTCCACGAGAGGCACAATTCTTTTGCGCTCCATGGGGGGCACAATTATTTTGTGCTCTAGAGGTGCAATTATTTTGTGCTCCATGAGAGGTGCAATTATTTTGCGCTCCAGGGCGCAATTACTTGCACTTTATGGGGGAGCAATTCTTTTGCACTCTAGAGGTGCAATTATTTCAAGCTCCATGAGAGGTGCAATTCTTTTGCAGTCCAGGGCGCAATTATTTGTGCTCCAGGGTGCAATTACTTGCGCTCTATGGGGGCGCAATTATTTTGCACTCTAGAGGTGCAATTATTTCAAGCTCCATGAGAGGCGCAATTCTTTTGTGCTCCACAGGGGGTGCAATTCTTTTGCACTCCAGGGCGCAATTATTTGTGCTCCAGGGCGCAATTACTTGCGCTCTATGGGGGCACAATTATTTTGCGCTCTAGAGGTGCAATTATTTCAAGCTCCATGAGAGGCGCAATTCTTTTGCGCTCCACAGGGGGCGCAATTCTTTTGCACTCCAGGGTGCAATTATTTGTGCTCCAGGGCGCAATTAGTTTGCGCTCTAGAGGTGCAATTCTTTTGTGCTCCATTGGGGGCGCAATTCTTTTGTACTCCAGGGCGCAATTATTTTTGCTCCAGGGCGCAATTACTTGCGCTCTATGGGGGCGCAATTATTTTGCACTCTAGAGGTGCAATTATTTTAAGCTCCATGAGAGGCGCAATTCTTTTGCACTCCATGGGGGGTGCAATTCTTCTGCACTCCAGGGCGCAATTATTTGTGCTCCAGGGCGCAATTACTTGCGCTCTATGGGGGTGCAATTATTTTGCCCTCTAGAGGTGCAATTATTTCAAGCTCCATGAGAGGCGTAATTCTTTTGTGCTCCAGGGCGCAATTATTTGTGCTCCAGGGCACAATTACTTTTGCGCTCTAGAGGTGCAATTATTTCAAGCTCCATGAGAGACACAATTCTTTTGTGCTCCATGGGGGGTGCAATTCTTTTGCGCTCCAGGGTGCAATTATTTGTGCTCCAGAGCGCAATTATTCTGAGCTCTACAGGGGGTGCAATTATCTCAAGCTCCACAAGGGGTGAAATTATCTGTATTCCATGGGGGGGACAATTATTTTGAGTTCCATAAGGGATGCAATTCTTTTGCACTCCACAGGGGGCACAATTCTTTCAAGTGCCACTGTATGTACCTTGTGCTTTGATAGGGTTACAAATATTCTGTGTCCAGCATTGTTTCAATGTCAGAGTGCGCCCAATGTGAAATGGGCACGAAATGTCATGTCAGAGTGCACCCAATGTGAATGCACATCAAATGTGTGCACTAAGTATGCATCTGCACCTGTTATTTTTCAGTGTGTATTTCCACCCATTATTCTTTTGCATGAAATGTTGAGTGCGCCCAATGTGAATGGGCATGTGAGTGGGCGCCAAGTCACTATATTCCCATGGCATTTATTTTGCACAAAAAATATGCGCCCCCCCAATTGTAGTAAATGCGTGGACCAAAGTAGTTTGTAGCTGCCCTGCTGAATGACATCATGTGCCCCACTGAAACAATTTTTTTGCGCCAAATGATGTTTGGACTTTGTCAAAATTTGGCCATGTCCAGTATATTTTCCAGCTCAGGGTGTGGGGGAAGAAGCTTGAATGTACAAATTTAGTATCATTAGAATTGTATAAATGTCCTCTATCGATCTATACCTATTAGAAAAGCACCAGTAGTTGTGTAAATATTTTATGGCAGCAAAAGACTTGAAAGATGTTGGAAGGGCCAAGCAAACAAAGGCAAACATTCCGATAATTCTACAAGTTCATGCTACAAAACATGGGGGAAGAAGCTTGGATGCCCAAACAAGCTGGAATCATAATTTAGATGCAATTCAGCATCTACTGATACCATTTTTTAGAGCAACGGTTGTTTGTGGCCAACTGAATTCAATACTCAGCTGTTTTGTCTAGGCTGTCACGCTCTCACAAGTGTGATTTTTCTGTCAAGCATGTTGCGTTGATTATTGTCCAGAGCTTTGCAGTGCTCTTCTTCGTTTCTTAAGGCTCAGCCAAAAGTTACAGAGAAAGATAACTATATATTGGATAAAAGTAGCTGTAGGTTACTGGCTGAGAGCCATCTTGCAAATCTATGGAATCCATCCCGAAAATTCATGAAATCCATCCACCATTCCAGGAATTCCATCTTCAATTCCTGTAGATTAAACCAGGAAGTGTACTTCTGGAGCCCAGAGCCCAGCCTATATCCTGTACCATCCAAGAGAGTGAAATATGGGGCATTTGGGAGGCACCAATGTGATTTGGGAGTGACCTGGAGGGTGGGGGAGAATGGGAAGGCAGTAAAAAATGCGAAATATGAGAGAGCATGGGGAGTATCATCACCTACCCATGTCTGGACACCTTAGAAAGTCAGGATAGGACCATAAAATGTTTTGGAAATGGGAGGAGAATGGGATGGCAGAGAAAAATGCGAAATAGGAGAGAGCATGAGAGGTATCATCACCTACCCATGTCTGGACACCTTAGAAAGTCAGAATAGAACACATTGAGCGCACTCTGATGGGCGCACTCTGACATNTGGTGCACATTCNCATTGGGCGCTCTCCAAATACATACTGAAAAACAACAAGTGCAGATGCACACTTGTTGCAGGTATATACTAACTTGGCACCCACTCACATTTGGCACACCTTCACATTGGGCTCATATTTCATTTGGTGCACATTCACATTGGGCACACTCTGACATTTCGTGTGCATTCACATTGGGCACACTCCGATATTTCATGTGTATTCACATTGGGCGCACTCTGACATTTCATGAAGAAAAATAATAGGCGCAAATACACACTTGGCGCCCACTCATGTTTGGTGGAAATCCACATGGCAAAATTGGTGCACAAAATAATGGGCACAGATACACATTGGAATATAATGGGCGCAGATACACACTCGGTATTGACAGTTATGGTGCCCACCTGAAGCACCAATGGGCATGACAATCTGACACTGGCAGTGTCTTGGTGCCCACTCACATTTGTATTCACTACACAATGCTGGACACAGGCTATTTGTGACCCTGTCAACAGCACAAGGTACATACAGTGGCACTTGAAAGAATTGTGCCCCCTGTGGAGTGTACATCCCTCATGGAGCTCGAAATAATTGCACCCCCCATGGAATGCAAATAATTTCGCCCCTCGTGGAGCTTGAGATAATTGCACCCCCTGTAGAGCTCAGAATAATTGCGCCCCCATGCAGTGCAAAAGAATTGCGCCTCTCATGGAGCTTGAAATAATTGCACCTCTAGAGCACAAAATAATTGCGCCCCATAGAGTGCAAAATAATTGCTCCCCCATAGAGCACAAGTAATTGCGCCCTGGAGCGCAAAAGAATTACGCCTCGTGCCCTCTGTAGAGCTCAAAATAATTGTGCTTCCCTGGAGCACAAAAGAATTGCTAGAGCACAAAATAATTGCGCCCCATAGAGTGCAAAATAATTGCTCCCCCATAGAGCACAAGTAATTGCGCCCTGGAGCGCAAAAGAATTGTGCCTCGTGCCCTCTGTAGAGCTCAAAATAATTGTGCTTCCCTGGAGCACAAAAGAATTGCTAGAGCACAAAATAATTGTGCCACATAGAGTGCAAAATAATTGCTCCCCCATAGAGCACAAGTAATTGCGCCCTGGAGCGCAAAAGAATTGCGCCTCGTGCCCTCTGTAGAGCTCAAAATAATTGTGCTTCCCTGGAGCACAAAAGAATTGCGCCTGTTGTGGAGCTCGAAATATTTGCGCCTCTACAGCACAAAATAATTGCACCCCCCATAGAGTGCAAATAATTGTGCCCCTTGTGGAGCTCAAAATAATTGTGCCTGTAGAGCGCAAAATAATTGCACAGGTTAGGACTCACCAATGAGACCAATGGGTGTAGTGCATCAGTGCCATAAATCCCTGCCAAAGTGGGCCAGGCATTGACTACAATTGGGGGGGCACATATTTTTTGTGCAAAATAAATGCCATAGGAACATAGTGACTTGGCGCCCATTCACATACACATTCACATTGGGCACACTTGACATTTCATGCAAAAAGATAATGGGTGGAAATACAACTGGAGAATAACAGACACAGATGCATACTTAGTGCAGGTACAAGTGATTTGGCACCCACTCACATTTGGTGAACATTCACATTGGGTGCACTGACATTTTGTGTGCATTCACATTGAGCGCACTCTGACATCTGGTGCCCATTCACATTGGGCACACTCTGACAATTGGTGCCCATTCACATTGGGCGCACTTTTCATGCATTCACATTGGGTACACTCTGATGGGCACACTCTGACATTTGGTGCCCATTCACATTCCAACATTTCATGCATTCACATTGGGCGCACTCTGATATTTCAGGCACATTCATGTTGGGTGCACTCTGATGGGCGTACTCTGACAGTTGGTTCACATTTACATTGGGTGCACTTTTCATGCATTCACATTGGGCACACTGACATTTTGTGCAGAAAAATAATCACTGACATTTTGTGCCCATTCACATTCCAACATTTCATACATTCACATTGGGCACACTGATATTTTGTGCACATTCACATTGGGTGCACTCTGATGGGCACACTCTGGCATTTGGTTCACATTTACATTGGGCGCACTGACATTTGGTGCCCATTCACATTGGGCGCACTTTGATGGGCGCACTCTGACCTTTGGTGCACATTCACATTGGGCACAGCACACTCTGACATTGAAACAATGCTGGATACAGACTATTTGTGACCCTATCAACAGCACAAGGTACATACAGTAGTACTTGAAAGAATTGTGCGCCCTGTGGAGCACAAAATAATTGCACCCCCTGTGGAGTGCAAAAGAATTGCATCCCTTATGGAGCTCAAAATAATTGTCCCCCCCATGGAATGCAAATAATTTCGCCCCTCATGGAGCTCGGAGCTTGAGATAATTGCGCCCCCTGTAGCACTCAGAATAATTGCGCCCCCATGGAGCACAAAAGAATTGCGCCTCTTGTGGAGCTTGAAATAATTGCACCTCTAGAGCACAAATAATTGCACCCCCATAGAGTGCAAATAATTGCGCCCCTTGCAGAGCTCAAAATAATTTCACCTGTAGAGCGCAAAATAATAATGGCATTGGTGCAAAGTGTGGGTTATTTTCAATAGGAGCGCCCATTATTGGCAGGCGCCCACCTGTTCGGCCCAGCCATCACTATGGATGATTTGTTGAGATGTCGGCCGAGTCCGCTGGCCCCATATGGTATGAAGCATTGTCAAGTTCGGTTGGTCCATTTGGTAAGGGCTAGGGTCACTGTCATATGTGGGCCCTAAGTTTTTTCTCGATTCTGTCAGAAGACTGAAAGGGCCAGAGGGGCAGGGAGATCAAATTTCAATCGTGGAAATCTTACATCTAAAACGCCTGTATGCTAGAAAGCGTTCCGACCCAGTGCCGACTCGCAAATATTGCGCAGAAAGACGTCAACCGTAATAATGTTCAGACTCCGATCGAACTCTAACCAGCACAACTGCGAGCCTCTGACTGCAAGTCCATCTCACTCTCGAATCCCCGCCATGGACGACGCAACTTTTGAAACTGTCTATGATCCAGCTAGTCAAGATACGCAGCATAGTAATCAACTAAAGACCTTCAAACCTCCGAAACGGGTTCAGCGGCCCAAAACTTGCGTGGAAGGCATCTTGCTTTACTTCAAGCTCATGTACAAACGGCGAAACATGGTCAGAATGCCAGCCATCTCGACGGAGTCTTTCCCTCTCTTCCTGAACAGTGTGCTTGCCTGTCTCTTTTACATCATCACATTCAGGAGATCTGCTTGGTATCGCTTGTCCGCGGAGTTTTTACAACAACGCGTTGAGGCAACTTTTCCTCTTCTGAAAGTGGCGGTTCAGTCTGCGGCTCAGTCTGGGGACTTTTCGGCAGAATCAATGAAGTATCAAATGTCGCAATTGGGAACGCGCTCAAGTGAAGAATACTACGTCGACGAATGGAACGCCATTGAATTTACGTCTTTGGACGATCATTGGACCCACTTCCTTCCTCAGTTCAACATTTCAGGTCCGCGGGATGTTCTGAGTTATGCAGGTGTTATGCTTGTGATGGTTTCTCTGTGCGTATAATTCCACATCACCCTGAACATTGTACTCAAACACGATCTCAATCATCAAGAATATTCTCCACCATTCTGGAAGTAAGGCCACCCCTTGGAGTGTGCATCTTCGCCACGGGTATGAACTACCTCATGACCTCGGTTGCATACGTGGAGAAGTTTGGTGATCTCCATTATTGGACCTACCAGGGCTTCGAGTGGGTAAACGTAAGCTCATTGCCGCCCCCCTCTCATCGACACACTGCATCTGAATAACACCTAGGCGTTAAGTCCTAGACCGAGCGTTGGCATATGGTGGGAAATTGAGTTGATGGTGATGCCCTCGGTGTGGCACGCAAGGTTAACGTTAGCCTTGTACTTCAACAACGAGTGCTGATTATTATTGCAACAGTCACTATATGCTATTATTCTTGCTCCTCCTCTCCTTCAAATTCTTCAGATTCGTATCAGAAAGTCATGTGTGGTACTATGTAGCGGGGTTGCTTTACGTCTTTGGAATGGCGCATTCACAGTACATCACATTCACCTCGAGCCGGAACCACAAGGCTTTGGAAGCATCCTGGAAGACGCGTATTGATGGTTGGGTTTTTGAGCAGCAATATGGAATTTCGACGAGCAGGGATACATGTTTAGAAATAGAGGCAATGTAGGCGTTTCCAGAAAATCTGGCTTGCTTCGTACGAGTTGTGTATTGCTCAGGCTAAGGGATGATTACGATGCCATTCATGAAGGGTATATATAATCTGCACTACTTGCAAGACCGACTGATCTACCCATGCATTCTTACCCTGCAAACGTGACGTAAAGCTGTGGACGGGCACTTACTGACGTGTTTTGTGTTGTTGTTGAACGTTGAATCACTTCAACGTATTGATCAGGCCATAAGTGCAGCGCCAGGTGGGTATTCCAGGCTCTCCTTGCGCTCCATTACCGTTTAAAGGCTCCACCAGCGTTCAAGGGACTCGGGGAGAAAATCTTAGTGGCACCGCGCAGGAGTCACCGGAATTCGCCATCGTCATCATATCCTCTAGGCTCTGAGGCGATACGATACTTAGAACTCACTCATCTTGAACTATAATCGAGGGGTCGACATCCAGAACTATCCGCTACATTCCAATTATCAGTGCCATGTCTATTACCCCACTCACACGCGCGACCTTCATCGCTGCCAACCATGTTCAAGTCGCACTCTCCCAGAAGACCATGTACGAACTAGTCGAGGGCGAAGAAGGAGTTAAAGAGGTGCCTATACCAGAGAGCTTCAAGAAGTCCGGTATCCCACAAGGATATACTGTTGGTGCGTTCCCATCATGCCTTTATCAGAACCAAGGTGGTAATTCCGACTATCTGATTGTATGTTGCGATAGACTTCGTTTTAGATCCAGCAACGGTGGTGGCCTCCCTTGCCAAGTCTGGCATTACCACAGAGGAGTATGTACTCCTGACACATTCTTTCGCATGATAATAACCGCTATGTCTAGGCAGTTACCTGATGGCTTGCTCGAGGGATTTAAAGATGTCATCAATGCATCTACCAATCTGAATATCATACCAACATCCGTACATGAACAGGCGGGTGGAATTTTACCCTGTCGCACTCAGACACTAATTTGTTTCTCCAGAAAAGAGCTATTGAGGATGCTTCACTCGCCAAAGACGATGCCGAAGAGAAATAGCTGGTACGAAGCGGGATGGAATTCTTTGAATAAGTACAGCGCACGGAGGATTTTTCTACGTGTATGAACATTTTCAATTCCTGCTAGCCAATGTAGAACTAAATCTCTTCGCCTTCGTGCAATTCATCCCCGGGCCAAATCTCGTTCCGAAGTCAAATCACATTCTCCGCACCAACAACCGACTTAGACGAACTATGAATCTTGAATTTTAAGGCCCTGAATGAAGCCGACTTCCGCGTCCGTCGCAACGTCATCAGCACAACCGCCTGCTCGTTTTCCGAGATCTCAGATGACGGTAGCCCCTCTGGTAAATTCTATCGTCGGCCTGCAATAAGGCCGCTCAAGAAACTCGCGGCGAAAAACTCCACAACCTATGTATCTACATAGATATCGATGCCTTCACTCAACACTCGTCCCAAATTTTCAAAATTCAGCTGCCTCTAACATGGACTCCAAACATTTGTAGCCAATTTCCAAGGCAGCCATGTTGGCAACGGATCGGAAACATGGTGGTCGCCTTCCCTCTTTTCAAATTGGGCACCTTTACAAAGCTTGGCAATGGTGATCAGCCTTGTAGGCTTCCGCCAAAATTTGAAATTCCCCCGGTTTCAGCTTTTGGTAAAGATCTGCCCAACGTGGTCTTTCATGCGAGGTATAAAAGCAGCCATGGGTCCATCACCGATTTCTTTGGCTGGCCCCATACTCACATTGCGTTCACATACCCTTCCTTTACCTATTCACATCCACCATGCGCTGGTCGCTCTTGTCCCTCGTTGCTCTACTCGCCCTGCTCATTGCGGACGTCACCGCACTCCCAATGCCTCAAGATGGCTCTTCGGATCTGGTTCTGGAACGCCGGGCTGCCACTAAACCAAAGAAGGCGACGAAAGCCAAGCTGAGCGCGTTGAAGCTGTTGAGGGCGTCTACCTTCAAGAAGTCTAGCTCAACGTATCGGAATGCTGCGCTGAAGAGCAAGAATCACATGTTTTCAGTGGGTCGGAAGTCTGGGAGGATTACTAAAACCAAGCCACCCAAGAAGATGCCCAAGGGCTGGGATGCTGGTGCGTGTTTGTGTATTGGTATTAACGGATTGGTTTTCAAACTGGTTTTCAAATTTTTGCAGACCATATTTTTGAGGCGCAAACTATGAAGCATGCCGCTCAGAAGGCCGGGCACTCCAGAATGTTGGTTCTGCTTCAGCTCTACTCGATTATGCTTTACAGCGTTCATCACCTTCTAGCTCTCTCGCACCAGCATTAAAGGCCATTAAAGATCGCATCAACCATCCAGATAACATGGCGTTCCTTGATCCTGCGACTAACAAGGCTGTGAGTAGTTTGATCGGCTCCCTCTTTGCGACCATTCCTAATCATTTTTTTTGGGCGTTGATAGAAGGGGAAGGCGCACACCGCGGTGCAGTCAGGCAAAACGCCAGCAAACGACCGTAATGTTGCGGACTATCTTAAGCACACGTCGGATGCAGGGAAAGCTACTGCAGCTGATGTGGACCAGATCTTGAAGACGCATGGGATTACGGGCATTAATGTTTCAAAGGAGCACAAGAAGGTGTTAAAGGCGCATGGGGTGAAGAGACGCGAGTACAGTGATGTGGATCTGGATTGAGGATAGGGTACTGAGCCCAAATAAGATGTTGACGTCTTGAATAACGAACGGCCACGATTGGCGGGAGCACGTACCAGCGGAGGGAAACAGCTGCAAGAACATTTGAGTTTCGTCATGGCTAAACAGAAGCGGTTCGATGCTGACAGGCTGTAGACGCGTTGTTGAACCTAGTATAAACCTGAAGTCGGACCTTACATACATACACAACTCGGCGTCTGGGCATGGCCAACATTGCGCTAACTGCGGTCAAGGACACTCCAGCCACAATTCGAGGTTGATTCGAGGCAGCAGTTGCGCACCAGCGGAAGATGACTTCGGATGACAGGGACAGTGTTGTCAAGAGCATTACTTCCCTAGGAATCCAGGATGGGTTGATTGTCATGGCTTTGCGTCTTCCAATCTATCGAGCCAAATTACGCCACTGTCCGGGCCTGAGAATAATCAGTTTCAGTTTAGTCAAGAAGACGTATCATGCATCCAACCACATGAACGCGCAACTGGAAAACTTGAGATCAGCCGCGTCGCTCAACTTGAGTTATAGAGGTCCGGGCTTACACAAGGAAAAGATCTCATGCAGGGTTCGATATGTTGTCGATATGCGCCAGTGGCCATGTGCAAATCTTGCCTCCCTTACATAATCAATCCGAACGGCCTTCATTCTGACCAAATTCTGACAGCAAACCGACCTTTTGTTGTCCCTCGCTCACCGAAATGAGATGGACAACTGCAGCCCTCTAAAGGGCATTCGAACGGATTTTCATGGACAAGAGAAAGAAAAAAGCTGTTCAGCAGGTCTCGCAGCCGGTCGACTTCCCCTCAGCCTTCTGTCTCTGGACAAGAGAATCGGGGTAGAGAACTACCTCCGGTTCAACACACCATCGCATCGCCGGGACATCAAGCGATAGACCCCGTCACTGGCACTTCAGCTGCTCCAAGCCAGCAAGGCATTTTCCACGCATCGTTGTCCCATGGATAAAGCGCTCAACCCAGCACGCAGATCATCACACACCAGCCCAGTTATCGAGATAGCAGCCATACTCCTCAAGAAGTCTATCTGGATTTGCAGTAGCACACGGTTTGACGCTTTCAAAGCGTATGGTACTTACTCGCTAAATTGATGGGCGTTCATAGATCAACACAACACCCCGACTCAAGATAGTGCTGGCTCGGTTAGTCCTACAACCTCATGGTACGAGTACTCGACATTCATCGCCCAATTGTGGTTGCTTACTCACAGCTTAAACCCCTTCTCAAGGAATCGTCGACAACCTTTCCGAGACACAAGCCGACCCAGAAAAACCAACCCTTAGTGCTCTATCGACTGTTAGAGACTACGCCTCCAGATAAAAGAGGTGCGTAGCTATTCTTCACAACGTTGCCTTACTGACTACGGATACCAGGAAGTAAAAGGCAACATCAATGCGGTCGAACAGCGGATCCTATCAACGGCGGATCAACTTCACGCCCTGGAGCAAGCGCTGGCGGGCTGGGTACCGAATAGCGCGGAGAAAAATCAAGGAGTACAAGTATATAAAACGCAAGCATGCCTTTTCATCTGGGCTGACATTGACGAGTAGACGACTGTGCAGGACGATGTAAGTTGGCAAGCCCCCCAAGCTCAACACTAGCAAAAGAGTGCACGAACTTAACCGAGCTCAAGAAGCAGTCGCTTATCAGAAAGATTGCGGTTCATGAGGAAGATAAGGGGAAGATTGCGAATATTTTCGAACGCATCAATCGAGACCGGGAGCAACTTGTGGTGCGTTTTTGTGCAATTCTTGCCTTTGTTTCTATTCCATCGCTCATCCCATTCGTTTAGGTGGTGGCCGGTCTCCGATCATATATGCAATTCAGGGGGACGTCGCGGTGTGCTTTCCCGCCATTTCGAATTCGATTCCGCGCTTATTTCCGTGACAAAATTTACTCCTGGGGCGGCTTAAAGCTTCGCATACCGCTGACGACAAATTCAAACTAGGGGGTAGACAATAGCAGTTGCTGCGTCGTGCAGTCTGCACGCCCGGAACCCGCGTTGATATATCAGCCAAGATCGCGACATGGGCTAACGATGATCCCCCGAAAAGCCAGAGTGTATTCTGGCTCTATGGTCAGGCCGGATCAGGGAAGAGCACCATCGCCTACATCATCGCCCGCCGTCTCGAGTTTACTAGCGACGCGGATGACACGATCGTTTTGCTCACGTCAAATCGAGGAGACGAGAGACGTAACCTGCATGGGGCAACACATTAAGGCCAATAGCAGCTGCTCCCTCATTCGCACCATCGTGGAAACGGCCTCAATCCGCAGACCCATCAAAGTCACTGCATTTCCTTCGACGCTCTCGAAGAGATAGCGGTTCGGAGTTTTTGCGCGAATTGATTGACGGCACCAACAAACATCACTTACGGGGTCTCAAGTTCTTCGCTACCAGTCGACCAGACCCGAAGCTCGTCTACCGTGTGGAGTCTTTTGAGGGCAAGCAGCTCTATCGTCTCGAACAAGTGTCAATAGAGGAAGCTGAGGCCGACATCAAGACTTACTCGAACGCATGCACATTTTTAATTCCACTAGCGAGTGTAGAACTAAATGTCTTCACCCGGGCCAATTCTCGTTCCAAACTCAATCATATTATCAGCACCAACAAGCGATCAAGCTCTGATCGATGGAGACGAACTATGTTTTATTGAATCTTGAGGCCTTAATTGAAGCCGACTTCCGGGAGCTTCCGGGTCCGTCGCAACCTGTCGCAACATCATCAGCGGCGGTGCTCAGCCACGACCGCCTCAGCCTGCTCGTTTTCCGAGATCTCGGATGACGGTAGCTTCTGGTAAATCCTATCATCGGCCTGCAAAGGCCGCTCAGGAAACTCACGGAAATCAAACCTTTGCATGTAGATGTTGATGCCTTCACTCAATACTCGTCCCAAATTTTCAATCTAGCATGAAGTCTAAACATTTGTAGCCAGTTTCCAAAGCAGCCCTACGCAGCCATGTTGGCAACGGATCAGGAACAAAGGTCACCTTCTCTCTTTTCCATTTCGGCACCTTTAATGGCAAAGCGTGGGCCAGTGGCAACTCTTGGCAATGGACTGTTCCTCAGGCCTCAACCCCGATGTCTTCTGATGTCTTACATACTTAGCCTTGAAACCAGCAGGCAGACAGCGACAAGCTGTGAGAAGTTGGTGAGAAGAGTATCCATAGCCTCCAGGCTTCGGCCGAAATCTGAAACTCGGTTCCAGCGTTTGGTAAAATTTTTGCCCAACCTGGTCTTTCATACAAGGTATAAAAGAGCCATGGATCCCTCGCCGATTTCTTTGGCTGGCCCCATCCTCACATTGCGTTCACATACCTTTCATTTATCTATCGACATCCCCCACGCGCTGGTCGCTCTTCTCCCTCGCTGCCCTACTCGCCGTACTCATTGCGGACGTAACCGCACTCCCAACGCCCCAAGAGGGCTCTACGGATCTGGTTCTCGAACGCCGGGCTGCCACTAGACCAAAGGTCGCTAAAGGAAAGGCCGCTGGATCAAAGGCGTCGACGAAAGTCCCGGGCAAGATGACTGCAGGTAGTTTCAAGAAGTCTAGCTCAACGTATCGGAATGCTGCGATGCAGGGCAAGAACCCCTTGTTTACAGTGAAGTCTGGGAGGATTACTAAAAACAAGCCACCCAAGACAATGCCCAAAGGCAAGGATGCTGGTGCGTGTTTGTGTGTTAGTATAAGGATTGGTCTTCACATTGGTTTTCATATTTTCGCAGACCATATTTTCGAGGCGCAAACTATGAAGCATGCCTCTCAGAAGGCCGGGCACTCCCTAACGTTGGTTCTGCTTCAGTTCTACCCATTCATGCTTTCGAGCGTTCATCACCTTCCAGGACACTTGCAGCAGCATTAAAGCTCATTAAAGACCGTATCAACTCTCCAAAGAACATGGCGTTCCTCGATCCTGCGACCAACAAGGCTGTGAGTAGTTTGATCGGCTCCCGCTCTGGGTCCATTCCTAATCAATTTTGTTCGGGCGTTGATAGAAGGGGAAAGCGCACACTGATGTGCAGGCAGGCAGAACGCCTGCACAAAATAAAAATGTTGCGGACTATCTTACAGTGCTTTGCACTGCCGTCTGCACAACGGAATTTGGAAATTATGTTTGTACGTGTTGTATCGTGACTGCCACAAATCGGAGAGAAACCGACCACTTCATCCAACAAGGCCTGAAATCTCTTGTGCTGAGAGATGATGCCCACCATGCCAAATGCTAATTCGCGCGCGCATCGCATCTGATACCTATGGCACCACAAAAGTTGGGTGTGAGAGATTCAAAATTCCCAACGTGGTTCTAATGCGTGACAATGTGTGACGGACATACAAAACCAAATAGAGTTTTCGAAATTTCGTTGTGCAGATAGTCTCGACACCAGCCGTTACGGTGATATTACTAGGGTAGAGATATATGTGGTTTGTAATAGTTACCGTAACGTCTGGAAAGACTTCACCGTGATTGAACACAGAAGATTTTCAAGCTCCGCTGACTTCTATAACGGGAACAATGTCCGACGCGATAAACGCGTCCTCGTTATCACCCTCAATGAGCACTCGAAAGCGACCTCGATCACACGAAAACGATGAGAATATCCCTCCCACGACTCCCGTAAATGCGAAACCTATGAAATTCATCGACTGCTCTGCTCCCAAGAAGCCTCGTTTGTCCGCCAAAAATGGGCGCCATTTCACCCCACAGGATATTCAAAACATGCGGGAATCGTATGCCCAGCAAGCTCCGACACGGGTTATGAAGGAAAAGGAACAGCAAGCTGCTGCTGCTGCGCGAGGGGCTGAAATAGAGGCTGGACAAGCGACAGACCGAGTTGAACAGGCCTGGAGTCTCCTACGCCCTCTCTTCCCCTCCATGCACGACTTCTTACGCAAACTACTCACTACGCGTCATCCTGTCCGATCTTCTCAAGTATCCAATCTACTTACCTTTCATGGACACGACCTCTTGAATCTCATACGTGACCGACATCCTTCTGTTGCAAATGATTGGGCTCTCAGCACGGCAAGGCAGCTCGTGTCATCGGAGTGCGACTCTTTATCCCAGCGTTTCAAGCCTGCCCCAGGGACATCAGTCTCTGACATCTTACACAGGTTCTCTTTGCGAGAGGTTCTCTCTGATGCTGAGATTCTTGCACCCACACTCTTCCAGATACTCCAACAGGCTTGTGGAATGCTATCCACATCACAAGATCAGCCTTCTCGCAAACACCCAGATCTTGTAAGTTCAATACTTCGCTTTTTACTTTCTTTCTCATAAACATATCCCCCAGGTTCTCGCCACCACGCTATGTATGCTTGCAAAAGCACGAAATGATCACGCTACTCACTTTTCTTTTGGTTTTTAAAGAAAGCATCCCATACTTTACGGCGACAGCTTTTTGTGCAAACGAACATGGACAATTTGTTGTGCAAAATCATCAAATTTACTCTCACCTGATCCACCATAAGTGCCGTGAGTGGCGAGACTACAATGTTGATATCCTTTTCATCCAGAAGGAGTGGAAGAGAAAAACATAATGTCTTCCCACTTCCTGTTCCGACGTCAACGATAACGTCTTCACCGCAAAGAATTGCAAGTGCAGTATCAAGTTGCCATTTGAAAGGCTGCTTGCCGTAAATTTGGCTGGCTTTTTCTGCCAGCACATTTAGGTCAACGTCTTCTGGCTTGTATTTTCGGACTATCGACATGCAGGACGAGAGAGACGTGATTCACCGTTGTTTCAGTTCAATATCAATTGCATTGGAGTTGATTAAAGGTGATTTTCGTTAGTAACAAAGTCTTTGCTCCTTTCCTATTTGTATTTTTCGATACAAAAAGTCAATAGGAGGTACTTTACTGAAATTCGGCTGATTCTGGTGGATCTACGAAGCAAAATAGTAGAGTGCATAAGAAGGTGTGTGGGGAATGCTACCATATATAGGTAATGTCGGAGCTTAAAAAAGCCCTATGCTAAATCATGATGAAGTCCTACCAGTCGCCATAGGAGTAATTACCGCCTTCCTACTTACCCAAAAAAGAAACACCCTCTCCCTCAGATTTTACATCGCGATTACTCCGAGGCGACTGGTTTCGAGTCTATTGTGCAGACGGCAATGCAAAGCACTGTAAGCACACACCGGCTCAGCAGCGGCTGCAGGGAGATCTACTGCACGTGATGTGGAAAGATCTTGAAGAACAATGGGATTAAGGGCGTTAATGTTGCAAAGGAGCACAACAAGGTGTTAAAGGCGAATGGGGTGAAGAGACGCGAGTACAGTGATGTGGATTTGGATTGAGAATAAGTAGGGTAAATATTGAGCCCAAACAAGATGTTGACGTCTTGAATAACAAACGGCCGTGTGATGGGAGCACGTACCAGGGGAGGGAAACAACTGCGAGAACATTTTAGTTTGGTCATGGCTAAACATAAGCGATTCGATGCTGACAGGCTGTAGACGCGTTGCCGAACCTATGAAGTCGGACCTTACATACATACACAAAACCCGGCGTCTGGACATGGTCAACTTTGATCGCCAAGGACACCCCAGTCACGATTTAAGGTCGCAGTTGCGCAACAGCGAAAGATGACGTCTTCCAATCTATCCAGCCAAATTACGCCAGCCGAGAACAATCAGTTTTCAGTTTAGGTAAAAAGAAACGCATCATGTTTAGTCAAAAAGAAACGTATCATGCATCCCGAGCCACACGAATGCGCAAATGGAAAACTTGAGATCAGCTACAGCCGCGTCGAAAAGATATCATGCAATATCCAATGGTGGAACTGGCCTCCAAAGCCTCAGATGTAAACGTACTGCTCTCTATTGAAACAGTGCCAATGAATCAAGTGATAGGACAATGGTACTGAAAATTTAAAGATCCCTCTAGCTTTAGCAAAAGTGCTTGTAGCGAAGAAGTAATGACACACATCTAGATTCCTAATCATAAACCCCGCTGCCTCCACACAAGGTAGCCCAAACAATCACTTCTTTTTCTTCGGCTTTTTCTTTTTCACTCCCCCTACAGATGGTCCAGCTGATGGCGTGACGCTCGAAATGACGCCCTGCATGGGGCTCGCACGACCAAGAGCATCGGGTGGTGGAGAAGCGGCAGCGACAGGCGGCGGCGGTGGAGGCTCTTGTACCTTCCTCTGCTGGTTTTGCATCTTCTGCATCAGTGAAAGATTCAACGCCTCGAATCGATTGAGGAAGATGGATGAATATGTTTTGAATTTGATACACTGTAGCCAATGTTCAATCAAAATCTACAAAAATGAGAAAGTATGAACTTACTGTCGTGTTATCTGTGATTTTGAGCACTAACTTCCCCTCTGACGCTTTCCATTTTACACAATACCGTGTCTTTAGGTCGATGAAAAATCGTGATATCAGCGACGATTTGGCCTGGTTTGAGGATTACTCACGTCATTAGGAGATTTTTCATACAAAGCCTCAGCTGCATCCTGGTATTCTTGCCAGGAATGGAGGTAGACCATAGTGCATCGAGGGCCACGCTGCACGCTCGCCAACCGTGATGGTGATGAAGATAGGTCACAGCTGAGTCACATGCGTGATTCCTGCCTAATGCGTCGATCCCGATAATTCCGTTGACCATCAAAATGGACGATGTCAAAGTTGTTCCGGCTCAGTTGATTTTCCTCTCTCCGCGTTTTTGTGTCTCCGTCCCCGCTGCAGAGATTGCACAGACGCTCTTTCTTTCATACCATCACCACCATCGCAAAAGATCTCTTCATAACTATCAACAATGACGACGGAACACAAGCCTAAACGTGAGTTTATCACTTGTTCTACAATGCACATACACATCGACTGACCGGCCCTCCAACTTCTTCGCCGCAGCTCTCCCATTCATCGCGAACTTTGCAGCCGGGGCCATAGCCGGAATATCCGAGATCCTAACGTTCTATCCTCTTGGTGAGTATCCTGGTGATCTTTGCAATTTTTCACTCACACGACCATTCTCCCTCAGATGTTGTGCGTGTACCATGTTACTCTGCCGCCAGATCTATTCATGCTAACAAATTCGACTAGGTTAAAACTCGCATGCAGCTAGAGACCGGAAAGTCAAAGCATGGGCTTGTAGGAACATTTACCAACATCATCAAGGAGGAGGGGTACGTCCGACACCAACTGCGTGCCTTGAATTTGGCTTATCATGATCTATCCTCTTTTCTTATCAAGCGCTGGTCGTTTATACCGAGGTATGTGTCTTTTCTTCATTCCTAACAGGCCTTCTGACCATTCACCTTTGCAGGGCTGGTTCCTCCATTGCTTCTGGAGGCTCCCAAACGCGCGGTCAAATTGTACGTGTCTTTGCCTTCCACACATGTGTGCACATATCAGCCAAACTATTCGCGCCCCATACTGTCTCTCACGATGTCAAGACAACTTGAATGAGGCCCTGACATCGGCTTGCCTTCTGGCTGTCAGACCACGAGGACATTGGCCCTTCCCTTCCTCGAACCACATTGAATGCGTGTCCAGCACTGACCTTGTCTTTTCCTCTCAGTGCTGCCAATGACTTTTGGGGCAAGACATACCTAGATCTTAGCGGTGAATCCAAGATGACCCAATCGCTGTCTATCCTCACTGGATGCAGTGCCGGAGCTACAGTACGTTCTCCCCCTCATCCTTCTTCATCTCTCTGACGCCCCCTCAGGAAAGTTTCGTCGTCGTGCCATTTGAACTGGTGAAAATCAAGTAAGTTCAGCTTAACCCGCTCCTCGGTAATATCTCACATCAAGCAGGCTTCAAGACAAGACGAGCACGTTCAAGGGGCCGATGGATGTGGTTAAGCAGATCGTGAGGAAGGAAGGGTTGTTGGGCTTATACGCCGGCATGGAATCGACGTTCTGGAGGTCAGTCCCTTGGTCCCTCTCACTTACCATATCCTTTCCTTACTGATGTTAATCTTCAGACATCTGTACTGGAACGGAGGATACTTTGGGTGTATCCACCAAGTCCGAGAGATACTTCCCGCAGCCCGGGTATGCAAATTCTGATCTGCACATGCGGAGGATAGCCTTCTTACCCTTAGCCGTAGACACCTGAATCACAACTTATGAACAACTTTATCGCTGGCGCCGTTGGTGGGTTCGCTGGTACTGTACTGAACACACCGTAAGCACCCTCTCATTGATTCATTCTGGCAACCCCACTAACTGCTCTTCTTTCTCCCTAGGTTCGACGTAGGCACCCCTCTCCCTTCCCACCCCTACCTTTCTCATCCTACTAACCTAGGTCGTGAAATCACGAATCCAAGGATCCCCGCGAGTCCCAGGGGTGATACCAAAATACAACTGGACCTACCCCGCCCTCGTCACCATCGCGCGCGAAGAGGGGTTCGCGGCGCTCTATAAGGGTTTCGTGCCCAAGGTGTTGAGGCTGGCGCCCGGGGGAGGGGTGTTGTTGCTCGTTGTGGAGTTCACGTTGGGGGTATTTAGAAAAGGTGCGTTTTTTTAGGATTTTTTGGAAGTGATGGGTGTTGATCTGGCGTGGATTTAGCCCTTGGACCGCCGTATGTTTAGAATGTTCATGGTATACCTATGTAGATTGGATGGAACTTGTTTATTGGCTGTATGTCTTGTCTACATGACGTTGGCCGTGGATCCTCAAAACCGGATATTTAGAAGTGTGTTGTGGCGTCAGCGGCTGGAGCCGGACGAGAAATCGCGATGCGCTCTCAAACGAGTGGCAAAACGTGCCAAATTTGTAGTATAAACAGTTGCCAGAGAGGAGCAAATTGTTCTTTTCTTGGCAACGAGTTAACCTCTCCTACATCCTACATGCTAATTTACAAATACAAGAACCACGTATTCCCGGCGCGTCAAATGCCAAACTCATATAATACATACATCGTGGAATTCATTATCGTCAATGTCATGCGACGAACCTCGTGACATTTTCATTTATTTCGGTGGCGGGGTGACCTGAGAAGACGTCCTAGAATTGGAACCACTTTGACGCATGAGAGGAACTATGTGGGATCCGGCATCCCCGCTTATCACGTCTCCCTCGACGAAATTAGAATTGTGAAAAAGCGGCAGCGCAGCCCCTGGAGCCATAATTGAATCAGAGGGGGTGTTTCCGCCGGAAAAAGGTGGTGGTAACTGATCTAGTGACGGGGTCGGCGGAAGCGACGCAGGGGGTATATCCGCATAGGACAAAGTTCGCGATGGAGCGTGCAGCGAATGCGGACCGAGGTGACTAGAAAATGGGGTGGAAGCGCCAGTGGTAGGAGATGAGAGCGCGGCACCATATGTTGGCGGCGGCACGCTAGGAACCACGATCTCCCTTTGTGTTTGGTCCATTGGGTCATGGGGGAAAAACCTTTCCACGAAGTTTGATGGGCCTATCATCTCTGGCCTTAAACTGCGCTCGAGGCGGTCGCGGAGAGCGCTTTTCTTTCGTCGTCTGATAATGCTGAAGGCGAGGCCAAGGAAGAGAAGGGCCAATACGCCGACACTCCCGCCGACCGCCCCTCCGAATGTTGCAATATTGTTGTTGTTTTTCCTGGACGAAGAAAAAAATTAGTGGGTAAGGCGCGGAAGGGTTTGACGTAGGACCTACGGTCGTGCAGAAGAGGCGGCTTGTGTTTGTTCTATTGGCGCAGAAGCGTTGTTTGTGGAATTTGTTGTCGTATACACCAGATAATCAAACAAGAAGGCTGATCCTAGGCCTATTTCTACGGTGAGAGCGTGGGGGCCCTCTGTTAGGCCTTCTTCTTTGAATACAGAAACGTTCGAACGGAAGCCTGTGCCACCTTGTGTTCCCGTTGACACAAAATTCGGATATAATGTTTGATCCAGGGTAAATGAGAGGTTCATCGTAGTCGGAGCCATCGTCGAGTTTGACGCTGCAAGCGGCTGGATACCGAATAGATATACAGCAGAGCCTGAGGCAAGTTAGAGCAAGGAGAGAAGAAGTCATGCCACGGACCACTAAAATCATACTTAAGAGTCACTTCTAAATCGCCCAGTCCCACATCGTCGGCGGCTTTTGGGACACCTGTAGGCTGAGAGAGGGATGGTGCGGATGCGACAGCATTGGGATACGGCGGTAGGAGGTGAAGCCCTTCATGATATGAGTTGATGACTGAAGGACTCAGACAAACTGTGCAATTTTCTGATGTCGAGTACCATGCGTCAGCCGGCGAATATACTATAGATGGGTCGATATCGTCGATCGTGACGTTCCATTGTGCTGCAACCATGCTATGCCCGTTTAACCAGCAGTACAGTAAAATTGTAACCTCCAGCCGAGTGATGCGCGGCCTGAGCCCGGCCGCTAGTTGCGCACTTGTCGGATGTCATTCTATGCATGCAAAGATAAATAAACCAGACTCACAACATGACTAACGAGCTCGAGGAAGAAGAGGGAAACAGAAGAGGGAAAACGCTCTCCTCAATGTCCTGAACCCAGTATGTTGCGAAACAGGCTGATCTTGGGTAATCAATGACGTGGGCGCCGTGAGAGAAGCACCTGAGCAAAGGAATTAAGAAGATAGATCGCAGCTATCCGTCTGTTCGCCAAACCTGTTGTGGTATGAATCGATCGTCAATCTCTCCGGCTGAGGAGTGGCGAGTACTTACCGGAGGTCGTGGAACAATCGTGGGAGATTTCCAGTCAACCAATTCTGTATGTACGTCGATTCATCAGTTTTCGACAGCTGCCGTCCACTGGCTTCGCTTTCGGTGACATTGTGGTACTTATGATCGAAGTGCGGTCTGGCTGGTCAGTGATAGTCACATGACTTATGTAAATTACTAAGCTGTAAATTCAAATTTGACCTTCAAAAAGTCGACGACCTTGCGACGACCATAGGTACGCGTTTGCTAAGCCTGCGGATGATTCGCCTCCTTTCATGCCACTCACAGCTTGATTACTACCAGTCTTCCCAAGGCCTAGGGATTGTGAGCTGGAATCTTCTTGTCTCACTCATTCTACCAACAGGTTTATTCTCCTCCACAACTTTCATAACAACGCGATGCACTTCATAACAGTTGAACTCTAAATTTCAGCCGTTTACCTTTCTATCAGGTCTCTATGGCCGGTTCAGTATGGGAACTTCCTGTGCGGTTGAAACTTGTTGACAACAGCCTTAACACCTTATTCACCCCGTTCCTGTGTTTGCCACGCATTCAAGCTCTTGGTGATCAAGTAGGCACTGCAAAGGTTCTCAAGTGAAATACACCTGAAATCCTCAATCTCGGGTTGAATTCTGGGGGAGAATTTGTCGAACCTTCAGGTGCGAAGAACCCTATTCTTGTTCCGAGTTCGAACCAACTAACTTCAAGCATTCAGCAGGCGAAGTTCACTTCGCTGGCGCCTACTGGCACATTTGTAGATAACCGTGCCTGAACATTTGCCAGTGCAGGCCAGTGGCCCGGTGGCATGTTATAAGGCTTGGCGTGAAGGCGATGTCCTTTCGAAACACTACCTTAGCGCGAATTCCTTTGCCACGAGCTTGCTTGATAATGCAAAGGACTCGCATAACATGAGGCCGTTCCCCTTTTGCTGACCCAGCATGGACCGAATGAAGTTTTCGCTTTTCGTGTCACTGCTGTCGCTTGCCCAGGCATACATTATTGACGACCGTGACTCCTTGATATCTTATTCAAACTCACCTGCGTGGCGGCGATTTTCCGACCCGGCTGCTTACGGGGGAACAACGTGAGCTCCGCATTGTTGTCGCCGTCTTTTCTGATCTACCCTTATCACTTTCTATAGCACAGGTAGGGCTGTTTTTATAGGCTCCAATTTTTGTTACGACCCTTTTGCGCACAGGTAGCACATGCTTGACATTGCAGAATTGTCAATTTAGTTTAAAATTCTTGGGTACGCTTCTTCAGTGTCAAGTCGAAAACACATACCAGATGTCAAACATTATTTGTAGGGTCTGGAGTCAGCCTCACGGGATCTATCATAACCTTGGACCCAATACCTCTGGTAGCCACGGTTACGATAGACGGTTTAGCGATGGGAAGCATCTCAATCCCCGACAAGAGCCCCGCGGCCTTTGTCTACAGCTACCAACAGTTGGCTTATGGTTTTCATACCATGCGAGTGGTGTTTTTATCGAACAACGAAACCAGTAACTACTTTCGCCTTGACTATGTGACAGTGAACGAGACCACGCCCACCCCAACACCAGTGCACACACCGTCGAGAACCATCAACTCCATTTTTTCAACATCCACAGAGACGTCTGCGAATCACCCAGTAATCTTACTCCAACAGATCCGACAGATCTCGAAGTAGGTAGCCCATTTTGTCCTCAGCTTCAAATTTCACGATTATCATTCTTGACATCCAGGAAGACGTCCTCAACGTCCACAAAGACATCGTCAACCTCTAAGAAGATGACTCCTACGTCCGTGAAGACATCTTCCACTTCTAAAAAGACGTCTTCCACATCCGCAAAGTCATCGTCAACATCCAAGAAAACGTCCACAAAGACATCTTCGACTTCTAGGAAAACGTCTTCCACATCCGCAAAGCCGTTGGCCGCGTCCTCAAAGACGTCTTCGACATCAAAGAAACCGTCCTCTACGTCCACAAAGACATCCTCCACTGTTAAGAAGACGTCTTCCACGTCCGTAAAGACGTCGTCAACGTCCAAGAAAACATCTTTGACGTCCACGAAGATAGCTTCAACATCCAAAAAAACGTCCTCAACGACCGTGAAGACGTCGACCACTACAACTGCAACTAAAACCTCCACTGCCATCACGACTGCAACTATGACTGCGACTAAATCCGCAACTACGACTGCAACTAGATCTGCAACTTTGACTGCAACTACGACTGCAACTAGATCTGCAACTTTGACTGCAACTACGACTGCAACTAGATCTGCGACTACGACTGCGACCACATCTTCAACGAGGACGGCAACTACTACTGCAACCACTACTGCAATAACCACTTCAACTGCGAATGCAACTTTGACCGAAACTACGACCGCAACTACGACCGCGACTACGGATGCGGTTATGGAGGACACCACCGATGCAACTACGACGGCAACCTCACTTCCACAAGTCTTACCGGTCTCGAAGTGAGTGGCCCATTTTGTCCTGCTCTTATAACTTCACGGCTATACACAAAGAGATACCCAGGGGCGCTGTAGTCGGTGGAGTCATAGGGGGTGTAGTGCTCCTAATTCTCGCAGGTCTCTTGTCGCTCGTCGTCTTGAGATGGCGACGACAACGACGAGCCAGCATCAACCAGCCGTTACCAGATACTAGCACCGGGAAAATGGCAGCTACTCACACCGAACGATTGCAGACACCAACACGGAACAATTACCCGATACTAACACAGGCCCATTACCAGATACTCGTCATCTAGTGTGAGAGTTGGGCACTTTGCGATCACAAAGGGAAAGGTCAGAGGTCCGGAAGATATCGTTCAGCTCGAACCCCGTCTGTCTCATTACACACCGTTGCTCGTTGAAAACGCTTATGCACGCTTGTTTCTTTTCGGTTCATCTTAATCGAGGTTCTCCTTTTCCCAGCAGCATTCCCGAACGATCTAGCCGCGTCCATGTCCAGGTAGAAACGTGGGTCTTCCAAATCGTGCATTCACAATAAGCTCGATTTCACCCTTCTCGCTACTCTTTTTCCACCCCTCGCCTTCCACCGAGTCCCAATCCGCCGAGGCCTCTGATTATGGCCCTCAAGACTCCGGACTGCATCGAATTTGTTCAAGCCCCTGACGAAGACAAAAGCAGTGGCACGATTATTGTATCGTTGAACGCCGCTATGCATTGAATTGATTAATTTATAGAACAAATGCTGAACGCAAATTAGGCGTTAAAGGTCGACTGACGTCATCAGGGTTTCTATTGTTTTCCATGAAATTTCTCGGTGACATATGGAATGCCTTGTGAAGTGAGTAGTTCCCGAACGTTGGCTTTTATTGTTATATGTTCATCATCTAGCAGATTCCGGCGCAGGAACGCTTTGACAATAAGACTCCGACAGTTTGTATTTAGATATCTAATCCGAGTCCTCCGGAGCACTAGATTCAAGGTAAATGTCGAGTTTAAAAGGGAGCACCATAAAACGACAGATATCCAGGCTGCTCCGCGTCGTACTAAATATCTTTTGAACTCACTGTTCTTCACATCCTCCCGAAATTTCTCTTATGGATTCCTTTGCCACCCTCGCCATCTTCTTCGCCTCCGTCTCCGGCTCCAGTGATATCCCAACCAATGCCGATGACGGTGGCAGCGGGAACAACGCGTACTGCGTCGTTGCTTGAGAGTTTTATCCGTCCACAATGCGGGATAACGACTCATGTATGTTCATCACCGTTTTTCAAGGACACTCATCTAATTCAATACTCTCCACATTAGAATTATGCCCTAGTTCGACGACATTCAATGACTCGTTCAATGATTTCAATCATCACACCTCATTCACCTCAGCCATCGTTCACACAACAAACACTTTGATTCATTCGGGATTCAACTTTTGATTTCTTATTTGACGTTGGAAGGATTCGTTAGCCACGCATCGCGCGTGCTTCATAATATCATTATCTGGGTTTTGTTAGCACTGCACTGTTGTTTCGTTTTTTTTACCGCACTCGTAGGATTTGAAGAATATTGCATATGTGTTTGTTCATTTTGTGCTCATGAAATAATACCAACACAAGACTATATCTGCCTCAGTTACGAAAATACGAATACACTTTTTGTGTGCTTGAAGTGCTAGGCATGGATCCACTGGATACTAATTGAAACTTAATTTACTTTAGATAGAGCTCGAGCCATAACGGAAATCTTTCAGAGTCTAAGAATAACGGAAAATCCCACTAACAATTTTGGGCCTCAAACGACTGATCCTGCCAAAGAAACCAAAGACCTTGGATGCGCTTGATCAATGTCAATGGGAAGCCCTGCCTCCCTCCAAGCCTCGTATCCACCAATCATGTCTGTTGCGTTAAGCAACCCGAGCTGTTGCAGAGAATATGCTGCCAAGCTAGAATTGAAGAATGTAATTAAATCGTCATCATCATCGAATCCCAACAGCCTCACCTCGACGCGTAGCCTTCCTGACAAAATACAATTATTCTTAGATCGAACCTATCTGCGATGGCGAGCCGAGAGTCTGCCCTGGGATCGAACCTCCACTCCAGAACATTGCGTTCAATAATGAGGGATCCGTATATCCCACCTTGCATCTCCCGTTGAGCAGCGGTGCGTATGTCGACCAGAAACGTCGGCGCGTTGACTTTACTTTCTCGAAGTTCGTCAAAAGCTTGCATTGGCGTTATCCGCTCAAGTTTTGAGCGAGCCTCTGTGAGGATTTGACCTATTCTCCTCGATCCTGGAGGCGGAAGAAGTGGATCAACCGGCTCCCGAGCCGACTTGCGTACCACATCCCAGAGCGCCGCTTCGTCGTACATTGATGCGCCGATATCGCTGATAGTCGCGACCCATTGATTTCCTTCATTGAAAGACGTGATTATTCTCCCTATAAATTTAGAACTTGCGAGAAGCTGTGCGCGATGGACGTAGTCCTCCGATGACCCACGGATGATCAGGGTGTTAGGGATAGAGCTGATGGACTGCGCCGTGCTAGCTACTGCAAAAAGATGCGGATTTGAGTTCAGCATGAGTTGACGCGATATTTCACTGGTGACCGCTCGGATGAAGTCCTCGTCGTCGTTTGTTGACATGGTCAGCGAAACGCCGACTCGCACGCCTGTTTGAAAAAAGTAAGTGTCGATGAAATTAACCGACGTGTGTGATCGGAAATGTGAGGGAAGTCCCACCATCGAGACTCTCGGCTTTGTTGATAATGCGCACGGCTAGCCCTAGCGCGACTTCATGACGAACATCTGCGAGCGTGCGTCGCCTAGGGGTGGAAATCGCAAGTGCGGCGCCTCCTTTCGCAGATGCTGGATCGGTTGTGCTTGGCGATTCTGAGCGGCTTGTGAATGTCGAAGAGCGTATGCCCCGATACCCTATCATTTTTGTTTTCCGCAAGTTCTATTGCAAAATATTAGATTGCTTGGTCAAGGAAAGAGCTCGGGAGAGAACAGGGTAGAAGCCAAAAGTTGTTTGTGTTTGTACGCCGACTCCAGTAAACCGGTGTCAAGCACCGAAGTTCCTGCAGAAGTATAGTAAATAATTGTGGTACAGAGATGTATGGACTTTATACGTTGGGCCTCCACTTTTAGTTTTAGATACAAAAGTTGTCCATCGACATCAGTGCCCGGACGCGAAGTTCCTGACCTCAATTGATCGAGTTGTCAAACATTTCTTTCGAACTGCGACAGCCTGTCAAAAGAGTGAATGCACGCAGGCTGCGGGAGTTACGGTGTCTGGTATTGAGAGATAAGGCCTGGAAGATAAAAATATACGTGCAAGGAATCAAAGCTTGGGCGGATCTTCTCTAACAACAGCTGTCACTCCCCGAACAATTGCCAAATGTCCATTTGGATGAAGGTAGTAGGCATTTTGAAGTTTCGACAACGAGCTACGTTCCAACTTTAGCATAACGATGTGGGCAGCACCTCAACATGGTAATGAGCGGAAACTCTACCAATCCAATTTTCAAAAAACCTGGAGGATATACAATACGAAATGGTGATAAGGATTTGATAAAATGATTAAATAATGTGAAAACGCAGTCTGTCCAGTCTGTCCCCTCCCAACCTGCTCGCAATCATGCACGCGGAGCGTAACAATAAGGATGAGCATGCCACCTCCAAGTCTCGATCATCATTTGCCTTGGCCTTGGCCTTGCGTCGTTGTTTGGACAGGCTGAGTAATGCTGATGACGGTAGGTAGGCCGGTGCTGACCACGGTGGGCAATGCCGTGGCTTGAGGATTTGAACCCGACGACGAGACTGGTGAGCCTCCCTCCTGGGTAGCACCAGCAGCACCCGTTTGACTTGTACCCTGTGGGTTATGAGTAGAGGATGTTGTAACTGGCAACACTGAGGTCTTATGCTTCTTCGACCCGCCAACAGCACCACCCACAACCGCCGCAATGATCACCACAGCTGCCACCACAGCGATGATTATGACGCCCTTCTTCGTACGGTAGAATGGGGTTGGGGCTGGAGTGATGCTGACTTCCCGCGAGGGCAATTGGGCCTCGACGTCGCGTACGTTGCGTGGTGGTGGGGTTACTGATGGAGTGACCTTCTCCTGCAGGAGATCGGGGTTATACCCTCCCTAGAAGGACATTCGAGCAGCATGAGCACACAATTGTCATGAGAACACAGGGTGTTCAATTGAATCGCACCTGGATTTGCTTCTTCGTCGCCGCTGGCGCCGCTGCCAGCAGAGTTTCGTCATACGTGGCCTGGTGCCCTTGTGTTGATGAAGGCATGGTTGAAAACCAGTTTTAACGCCGCCTGAGCGTGAGGAAGAGGAGGGAAGGATGAGATAAAAGCTTTGGCGCTGGGAAGCGGGGGTGGACAGCCTCACGATGGCTTGCGGGCTGCATGATATTTGTGCACTTTTTGGTAATGGTCAGGCACCGTCAACCCATGATGGATGTCAATTCACACGCGGCTGCACCCTCAATTTTATTTGGCACCAAATAGTCAGGACTCAGCTTTGCTTCAAATTTTCTTACAAGAACCAGTTCAACGTCAGGATTAAGGCGAGTCTCGTATTTTGTCGCGATTTTAGCCTTATCATGCTAACTTTCAAAAATTTAAAGATCAAAGACAAGCTTTACTGTATGTGCCCGGACAAAGCACCCAAAATGATGAATGTACGTCGTATTCAACCCCTATGTAGCTTTGCAGATTGACAACAGAGTCAGCAGAACAGCAGCAGAACATATAGTACAGAAAACAGCATGATAAATGGCAAGACATTCCTCGATGGTCAAACGGAATCCATTCAATCATCGTGATGGGAGGTTATCTTCGTTGCCAACCAGAAACCCCGAAGACCCGAAAGAAAAAGACAACATAAAACCCAGGTAAATTGTTCACGAAATACGAAGGCGCCAAAGTAGCACGACTCTCCGAGCACGATGGATTCCCCGGCTAGGAAGGGGAAATCGTGGATGTGACCGTAGTTGACGAAGCTGTCGTTTGCGTATGGAACGGTGATGTCGTCGCACTGGGCGGGCCCTCATTTTTCTCACTCTTCCTCGCCGCTCTCCCTCCCACTACCCCTCCTACCACCGCACCGATCACCGCCAGAACCACCAGTCCAATAAGCGCTATTCCGCTTTTCGTCTGCCAGAATGGCGATAACCTCGACGACATGGCCAATCTTTGTTCATACGGTCGACCGGTATTGCGAGACCTGCTTGCATAGCGCAAATGTGGACCATAATTAGGCTGTTCGTTTCGGTACGAAGCAGGGAGTAGAGAGGATGAGGGTATAGGAGTAGATATCGCGTATTTGTGTTGGTTGTTGTGGCGTATGGTTATCGTCGAAAGGGGAGCCAAGGAGTGTGATGAAAAACCAATTCCATCGTGAGCGGCCTTCTTACTAACCGAGTAGGAATAGTGCTAACTGAAGGAGTCCGCTTACCTCTATGGACTCGGGATCAGGTTCTTCATTCGCAGCCCGCGACGATACCATGAGGGGGGGTATAAGGAGGCTGACGGTAGTTGGGCAGAAGGAAGATGGACCGGCAACAAGACTAACTGAATTTATTTATTGCAGCGTGTGCAAGGTTTGGGGGTTTGGACCCTGAAGCAGGGCACCTCTATAATGAGTAATGGACCCCCTATCGGTGCACCTACCTTTGCTTCGGGCTTAAATCGCCCCACGCCCTTCTTGGACAAGTGGTAGCGAAGGAGTCTAAGAGAAGACTAGATCAAAGAAATCAACGTGTTCGACTCAATAATCGGTGGATTTAAAAGATACGGCTGCAGTTAACAGTTCCCTCGAATCAAAATACCTTCCCGCGATACTTCAATGGACGTACTTAATTCCTTCAGGCATGGATGAAAACAGGCCGCTCATTGACGTCGAAAAGCGGGGAGAGTTGTAAAAAGGTCACCTTGTGGTAACCTGAATCACAGGCGGCGGAACTTTTACGTCGGTGAATTGTGAAGAAGAGATTATCCGAAGCTCGAAGATGCTGCAAATTTTTAGGGCGTTGAGGAAGTAAAGGAGGATTATTTACAAGTTCCATGCCCGTAGTATGTAATCCTTTTCTTAGTTTCTCGGGGGGCGCCAAAAGATACGGCAACCATCGGCAACCGTGAACGATTGACAAGTCGATGTGAATCTATGTGGATGCGGTCAGTTAGCTGTCACTGCAAGTCGCGCTCTTTTAATTTTGAAGCTTGAAACGGACTTTAGAGAGGAATAAGCTGGTCGCGTGGACGACAAACAAGCCTGCGCCATATCAGAAATTCCGGAGCAGCCTCCAGGCAAGCCCAGCCTTCGAAAGACAAAGCAATAGAAGTTACCTGAGAAGAACCATAAGTACTTGTGTGTAGGGCACGCGATGTGTTTCCGCTATATCCGCCGTTACGGTCATCTGAATGAATGAGACCAGCGAGTCTCGAGGAGGGAAGCCTTGGGTTTGGGTTTGGACGTCGGCAGATCGTGGATATGTACTTCCTGCCAACAGCCGTTGCGAGGGGCAGCAAGGGAAATCCCTGTGCCTAATCTGATCTTCGTTTTCGCCATCCCTGGAACTTGAGCAAAGGAGGCATTATTCCCCACCAAGAACTTTGTCGGTGTTGTAGATTATGCCTTAGCGTCGCCGCAATTATGGCAGTCGAAAGCTCTCTTGAATTTTAAAAAATCATGATCAACGACCACAGAAAGAAAAAGGACTTAGCTGGCCCACGCCCACAAGCTGCTTCATCATTGATAAACAAATCCCTTAGACCCCAAGCATCGGGAATGTCAGCTCTGATAATATTTTGAAGGTTGATGACACATCACTGTTACAAAAGTTCTTTCTTGGAAAATTCATTGTCCTGCTTTTCGGGATTCAAGAGAACCATCCTTTTGGCTGATCCACCTCTTCATCCTTCAACTCCCCATCTCTCTTCTTCCTAAGAATTTCTAATATCCCCTTCACACCTTCCACATCCCCGACACTTGCCTTCCCATCATTCCAGTCCACGACTATAGGCCATTTCAGAGCGTTCGAGTTCTTCTGTCCTAACTCAACAATTCCTGAAACCGTATCTGGACGCTCCGTTGCTGATGGGTGAGTAGAGAGAAACACCAACGACGGTGAAGCGGCTTTGGACGGAAGGTAAGACAAGATTGTCTTTAATTGATCCGTCGTCGGAGTCGACTCTATCACTTCGAGATTGAACTCGAGTGGAGGCGCAGAGGGTTTGTCTGCTGGGAATGGGCCCGAAACGGAGGCTCGAAGGATGTTCAAGGCCTTGATGGACGGGGGCGACGACGGGTGATGGCTGGAGGTTGTCATGAGGTCATTAGTCTTACGTACCCGGCTGGGCCTGAGCTTTCAACTGCTTACAAGATAGAGATCTCGGGCTGTAAATCGTTCAGATATCACGCTTATTGTGAATTTGAAGGGCACATTCACTGACCAGCTTTCTCTTGAAGGAGTTGAACATTTTGCCAAGGTCACGGTTCTGGTCAAGAAGTAATTTGTTTGGCTCGGAGGAGTTTGGCAAGCATGAGCCAAAAATAGTTTTGCACCCGTTGGTTGATGACCAACAAGCTCCTCAAACAGTGGACAATCGGGCACTTGAGCAAATTCATTGACAGATTGTTCGACGAACAAATAATTTTTGCTTATTGTTTGAACTGGAGACAGATATTGTGAACAAATCCTTTAATTGAATTGAAATAAAGGATCTGTCCTCAGTATCTATCAGATACACAAACAATACTAAGCAAAAATGATTCATTTGTCCTAGGATACGTCCTGCACTTCGCTCAGGTGCCCGATACATCCTTGTTTCAGGTGAAGTCACTTGACTCTTGAGCGGCGAGCCATCCATCATTCAAATGCTTATCATAGTACGACCTGAAACGATGGACAGCGGCTGCAGGGGTAACGGAATAATTAAGTACACAGATTGTCAACACCGAGGAAGATTGGAACTGCGGAGTAGAAGAGGTGGGAGTAAATTACTTATCAGGACACCCATCGCAAAAAGGCTAATTTATTCAACACAATGTCCATCCTCTTTGGAACGGTCGTCCGTGTAGGTCACCAGTTTCGCTGGCCACCTCCAGCAATTGTATAATGAGGTGGCGGGCTCTCCGTAGTCATGTTATCGCGTTCGTTATCTCTATGACCGCTCGTACTCGCCAGCCTAACCTGGGAGTCATCATCATTGGTTATGATCAATCGTGACTGCCCTTCTTTCGTATTTGGAGGAGGGGAAGCGTTCGCCGACGTAGAACGCAAAACGGCTGCAACCTCTTGTGCAAGCGACTGTATATCAATACCCGCAGCTGCTCCTCGATCTGACCGCGAAGAAGTTGAGGCGACGTCTGACGAATCAACGTTCCGGGGCGTTTCGATTGCGCTCAAACTTCCATTCTGCTGGACATGACCTTGCATAGCCAGTGTCCCGCTCCGGCCAGCGACCGGCCGACGGACGGGAACAAGGGGGTTAGAATTTCTGCTGTCAAATTGTCGCATGGGCATCAAGGGTGATGACGTTGAAGCTATAGCCGACATGTTTCCATCAGATTCAAGGCGGTGGACTGTGTTCAAGCTCTTGGATGGTGACAGCGTGCCAGGATCGTCGGCGGTCATGGTGGTGTATGGGCGCTCCCTGTACTGATACCCAAGCTCTTGCGTGACCATGGGCGAGGGCTCACGCCTTACCGGTGTGCGGTTACCATTGCTATAGGTGCGCCAACAGATGGCAAGGAGGACAATGAGAATTATGCCCCCCATCACACCGCCTACCGCGCCGCCGACTATAACTCCGACATTCTTCGAGGAAGATGACTTTGAAGTCGGGGTTGGAGTGGTTGAACTCGTGGTAGATGCAGATACTGTGACAGTGACAGAGCTTGCTGGTGGACTGGTGAAGGGCGGAGTGCTGGGAGCTGCTGTTGCAAAAGCCCCTGATCCTTGGAGTGCTACTGTGAAGACAGGCTGGGAATTTCGTGTTATTCGGGATGTGTGAGAGAGGGCTGCTCGCTTACTGCGGGTGTGCCTGAGACTGCCTTCGCAGCGGCCTGGAATTGCTGGAACATCGAAATGCTAGGCGTATTTATCACACTGCAAATCGATGGGATGATTAGGCGAGGAGAGATATTGAAGCAAGGAGTGGAGCTGCTCACCCAACCATCCCAGCAGCGCAATGAGACTGTGGTCTTGTTACTTGACAAAAGTACCATATGGCTAATGTATAATTAGGGCGCTGTGAATACAATCCCGGAACCCAAGGGAGACGTACGAGCGCTGACGTTGGTGATCTGCAAAGTCCATGTGGGTGGTGGTATCGCTGTATTGTTTGTCCCAGCCCCGCCACTGTTGAATCCGCCGGGAAGGGCAACGCAAGGGTTTTCGAATGTGCTTTGGGTAACTGTGTGAACGCTGGCTATACAGTGTCAAGCGAAGGAGTGAGAGAAAGATAACTATATCATTTGCTTACGCTCCAGAAAAAACGAAGATGACGGTATCGTTCAGTTGGACTGAGAGTGTCGCGGGGTCGAAGAAGCTGCCTTGCAGACCTGTGGTCACCTATATCCAGTCATCAGCTCAATCTGCCACGCCTATGGTCTGAAATTCCGTACCGTATGGCTAGTCTGCCCCACAACGCAGAGAAAGAAAAGCGCCGGTGCCAAGATGACCCTTGTCGCAGACAGCTTGGCGAGAACCATCATGGTACAATGCTTGGCCTTCGACGTTGAGGGAAGGTTCGAGGGGTGTGAAGCCGCCGGGGGGATGGTGTGCTTAAGTTTCATAATCATTCCTTGAGAAACCTGCTGTCAGCTGTCAATCGGGATTCGGTGCGGACTCAAACCAGAACAAACGAGCCGTCCGAGCGGCGCTATAAAAAGGCTACGCACCAGATGTTGACAATAACCACCACCGGATCAAACCTTCGGCATGAACATGAGGAGTAGTTTCACCTCCGCTTGAAAGCAAGTCTCTTCTAAATGGTCTCGCAGCCTTAGACGGAATTGTGAAGTTGACAAGGCGAGGCTGATCCGACGCTTGTTTGAATGTTTATCGCGTCGTCCTCGGCCCAGGTCTGCAAGCGCATTGACAACAATCGCACCTTGGTTTCCGTCTTCAAACCTTGCCGGAGGGCCCAGAGGGGCAACCAAGCTTGAACATTATTCCGTTCTCCACTCCTCCAGGACTAGAGAGCGAAGGGAGAATAAAATCCGTTCACTGTTGTAAACCACCCACGCAATTCCCATCCTGTTGATCGCAACATCTCGAAGTTGCATAGTGGTGTTGATGTAGAGTGAGGAGAAAATCGAACTCGTTTATCGTCGCTCAACTTCCGCGCGATTCGGCCGCAGCACATTTTTTGTCCCATTCTGACGAGATAGTTCACGGATAATCGCCACCCGCGTCCTTGGCACGCTGCTTCCGATGGTCTATGCTCAAATAGTCGCGGCCTAGCAAGAGAAAATATCCGGCCAGCAACACAAGATGATCCTGAAGCGTTTCGTTCAGAGAGTCGATGTTGTTCTGGCAAGATGGGAGGGTTTCAAGGAATGGCGTTGGACTGCGGAGCCTTGCATATCGAGGTTTCTTGAGCACGAAGGGGAATGGACATCCCTAAGTGTTTCTTGGGGCATCCAGAACCTTGCCCCAAGCAGGTTGGGGCGGTTGAGAAGTGCGATGGTGAGCCCAACGCACGCAACTATAGTTGTGGGTTGGCAATACTCTCGGAGGGCAATGATGATCTCGATTACAGAGTCAAGCGATCAGAAGGCAAGGTTGAGGACCTCGAGGTGGAAATGGGGAGGTGTGTAGTCTTGCGGGAGCGCTCGTCCTCTAAGAAAACACAAGTAGTGGCTTTTCGTGAGTTCTTACGACCCAGGTGCTGAATGGTATTTAAAGAAATGCACCCACCCACAATAGAAAGCCTAATCTATCCACGGTCTTGGTTCACCGTGCAAGGGTGGTATTTTTAGAAACGCTCACGATAATAATAACACTGGAGACCGGAATTTTGAGTTTCATCTTCGCTGTTTGGGCAGACCAGACTTGCGTTGTATGTTTTGAGTCTCTTCGGATCGTGGAATATTAAGCGTCTGGCTCTGGGGAATTCTTCAATTTCTTGCCGCGAAATTTGTTGTTGATGTCATGCCAATCGGACCGCATGCCATGTTTGTAAACTTTGCAATGGGCGCTCAGAGGTTGTCAAAAAATAGTCAACGTATTCTAATTGACGCCCCGGCTCTATAAAAACGTATTCAGCTTAGCAGGAGTGTAGCAAACCTCAATAGAGCAGGGAATGACGGATGAGGGCAAGAGCAAGAAGATCAAGCAAATGAAATAAAACTCCGACATCGGGCACGTGGCGTTGGTTCTTGATTTACGACGGCGACAACGAACATCCCCCCTCCCCTCCCTCACCGCTCTTTCCTCTCAAACGATCCAGGGAGCAATATTGGATCCCTGACGACCTCTGTGAGTACTAATACTGGAAAGATCCGTCCTTTCTGAACGGAAATTCAGCTTTTATTAATTTCATCAAGAACACGCCATGCCCTCGTTCCTGTCCAAGGTTTTCGGACGTAAAAAGGACGACAAGGACAGTTCACCACGTTCCCCAGGTCAGGTCGATCTTCTAGGTGGAAAATTTGAGGCGGTATCCCCCACAGTCTCGCCCAGTGCTCTCGACTTTCCAGATTACTCTGGCAAGACTAACGGACATGGGAAGGAGAAGGCAGACTCTCCCTTTGGGCTTTTTAAAGTCAAATCGCGTCCCTCCTCTCCAGAAACGAAACATAAGAAGCTTGACGATCTCCCTCATCTTTCCCTGAACCTCACGGTGGCAAAGCAGGATACATCTTCCCGCATATTTAGGGCGGAATCACTAGGTTTATTAACGGACGCGGTTATTGGTGAGAGGCGGTTGACCCCAGTAGAAGCCCTTGTGTTGGTGAAAGCATGCTCGCATGCCATCACTCTCCATGGTACGAGTTGGTCGTTGATCCGTCGTCATGCATCTCATTTTATTCAGGTCTCGAAACCCTTGGCATCATGCACCCTCACTGGTACTCTGCATCTCCCGATGTTCAACGCAGGCTAATCTCGTTGTTCATCCTCTCTTTATCCTCGCACTCCCCCTCCCCCTCTCCATTTGCATCTGAAGTTAATTCTACGCGGTCCTCTCACGACGTTGCAGCCGTCCTTCGATGGGGGCTTCGCCACCTCAAGTTGGAGGGGAATACTTTCGGAACCGATGAAGGCTGGTACAAGTCGTTTTTTGACGAGGAGCGTGCGGCGGACTATCCAATCAGCGCCTTTACAGACAAATTGGTTCCTAAACTTCCTAAAGCCCACCTTGAGCTGCTGACTGCCACTCTCGAAGTTCTATCTTCCCTGGCTGCACATGCCGAGGCGAATGGCACATCTGGTAGCAAGCTCTCAAAGTTGTTTGGGCTTTGGCTCCTAACTGCACAACGGGTGGAAGGGAATGATGATTGGCTGACCTTCTACGAACGCTGGGAACGTACTGGTCGCATGCTTGAACATCTATTCTTTGCTCGCATCAGGTGTGTTCCCATTTTCACCCTAATTTCCGTCGTCTAATCAGCACAGAGATGAATCTGTTGATCAACGCATGCCCATTCGTCTGCTCGAACTCATTCGTCAGTATCCCTACACAAAGGGTTTGTCATCCCCGACTACGGATCTCCAACTATTACCACGACCGCGATTTACCACGCGGCTTTACGACGCACTCTTTGTCCGAATCGAGACTGAGCTTCCCAGCGAGAAGTTCAGGCCCCAATCTAGGATTCACCCCTTGCAACTCGTCGCCGATGCCTTTTCCATTACAGTTGACGAAGGGGAGTACATAGGCCTATGGGAGAAGATTATTACAGCTTCCAAGAATGGGAGCAATCCCTCGCCTCTGAGCACTGTTTTGGCTGACGAGACTATCCGCTTCCTTTCCCTTGTACCCAGGACGGATCTCAAGGCGGAGAAGGAATTCAACTCTCCAACGATCAGCCTCATCTCGCCTTCCTCCTCAACAAGAAGGCGCTCTTTCTTATTTGACGATCAAGGGAAATCGCCCGTTGCCAATGGAAATCCTACTAACGGCCATGCGAAGCCCATTACGGATCCATCCCCTCTCTCCCCGGCCAGCAGCACCGATTGGTTCCAGTTCTCTTCTTCTGGATTCGTTGATGTCAGCCCAAGAAGTCCGCTCGCTTCCACCCTCTTTGACCAGGATGTCGAGAAGACAACCCCAGCACCCTCCGCTCCCCCGTCCAGGAAACCCAGTAACAAACGAACCAGAGCGACACCGGTCTCGCCTGCAAGTCCTGGGAGGAAGAGTTTGGATGTCCCACGGTCCTCAATCACAGAGTCCCCTGAGTCCCCTCCTGCAGTGCCCAAAGAAGTACGGATAGAAGAGCCCCCTAAGCTTTTGTCTAAAGCTGCTTTGGTAAAGTTGGTCCAAGTTGACGAGGCGTTCGTCGATTTCTGGAGCGACGCCCTTCTCGATCCAATCTCAGCTACATGGCCTGCTTTCGTGATTTGCAAGCTCAAGCAGTCTCTCGTCCCTGAGCTGATCTATGGCACTGAGGAGAAGAAGACTCTACAATGGCTGGTGCTCGAACAAGCATATCAACTCAAGCCACCCCCCATCCCTGTCTCCCCTTCCGCTGACGAACCAGTCCAAAGGAGATCCGCCTCTCCCACGCAATCCGTCAACGGGAAGAGACGATTCAGCTTCTGGTCCACCTCTCGAACTTCAACCTCGTCCATCAGCTCACTCAAGAACAGGAGTAAGCAGCAGGATAAAGGCCCGAAGGTTGGCGAGATGGGCGAGGTCCTCGAGGAAGAAGATCCAAAGGAGAAACAGAAGCGGGAGTCGACGGTTCGGGTCAGGGTTCCATCACCTAAGCCGAAAAAGTCGGTCGACATTGCGAGGAAACCGGTCCCTCCAATTGGGGATGTCGTTGCTTCCACGAAGGAGGCACAGGTGCCAAAGGAGGCCAAGGATAATGGAGAGGGCAATGTGAGGATCGTCGCTCCTGTTGCTGTTGCCGCTGTAGCAGCAGGCGTTTTGGGTGTTGCTGCCGGTTCCCTCGAGGCTGCACAGACGAAAGAGACAGGGGACTCTGCCGAAGTAGCTCACGTTGAGGAAGCTTCAGCTGACGACGTCCCTGCTGTTGAAGTCATTGGGCCCGCCTTAACTAACGCACAAACTGACGTCGTCGAAACCAATGGCGATGTTGTATCATCAGAAGCTGAGCAAACCCCAGCCAACGATGAATCCTCACCTTCGGCTGCCCCGATCGTTGCCGCACCTGTTGACAACGCTAATCCTGTTGAAGAGGTCGTTGAGGAATCTAAGACTGATCTAGTAGCTCCAGTTGTTCAAGAACCTGCTTCGTCTGAGGAAGTTGCACAACCTACTGTTGCGCTTGAAGAAACTTCGACACCTCTGGAGGAAGCAGCCGCTGTGGAGGAGACATCTGTTGTGGAGGAGACATCTGTTGTGGAACAAGTTTCTACCTTAGAGGCGGCTGCAACTGAGGAGGCTCCCATCGTGGAAGAAGCACCTATTGTCGAGGAGACTCCCATTGTCGAGAAAGCACCTCTTGTGGAGGAAGCTCCCGTCGTCGAGGAAGCTCTCATTGCACAGGAAGCTCCGGTTGTGGAGGAAGCCCTTGTTGTGGATGAAGCACTTGCCGTGGAGGAAGAACCCGCTGTGGAGGAAGTCCTCGTTGCAGAGGAAGTTCCTGTTGTGTCGGAAGCACCTGTGGAAGAAGCAGCTGTTGTGGAAGAGGCAGCTGTTGTGGAGAAAGTTTCCATTATCGAGGAAGCTCCCGTGGTGGAGGAAACTCCTATTGTGGAGGCGCCAGCTGTCGAGGCTCCTGCCATTGAAGAGGCGACTGCGGCTGAGGAAGATGTTATTGAGGTTTCTCTTGCCGAAGAGGCACCTGCCGCCACGAAAGAACCTTCTATTGACTCCCTCCCGGTTGTTGAAGAGGTGGTAGAGGAGAAAGCGGTTGAAGCTCGTTCCGCCGAAGATGTCCCCGTCGTTCAGGCGGAACCTGTTGTTACGGATACCCCAGCTGCAGAAGAAACCTCAGTCGTGGAACTACCATCGGCTGACGTTGACGGAACTCCAGTTATTCCATCAGCGCCAGCCAAAGACTCAGCTGATGTCCAGGAGGCGGTCACTGCTGAAGAGCAAGCTACCATTGAAGAGCCGACTGCAGTTGAGACACCTGCCGTCGAAGAGACCATTGTTGTGGAAGCATCCCCCGTTATTGAGAGTGATGCTGTTCTGGAGGAACCAGCTGTCGTTGAGGAATCTGCTGCCGTTGAGGAACCAGTGGTGGTTGAGAAACCAGCCATTGCCGAGAAGTCGATCATTGCCGAGGAATCGTCTACTGCTGAGCCAACACTCGTTGAAGAACCAGCCGTTTTTAAGGCGGCCACCATTGAGGAACCAACCATCACTAGCGAACCAGCCGTTGTCGAGGAACCGGCTGTTGAGGAACCAGCCGCCGTTGAGGAGCCAACAGTCGAGCAACAGGCCATCGCTGGTGAACCAGCAGTTGTCGAGGAATCAACAACCGAGGAATCAGTCCTTCCTCAGGAGAAATCGGCCGCTATTGACCAGCCAGTTGAAGCACCAACACCCCCAGATGCAGAACCAACAGTACCCCTCGAGGCAGGAGAAGAAACGCCCATTGAGACTTTTGCACCGGCTGAGACTTCAGCACCTGCCGAAGAACCATTACTCGTTGAGGAGACAGTTGTTGTGGAGGATGCAACCCCCATCGAGGAACCAGTCCCCGTCCAGGAAGAAGCCGTAGAGGATCCTGCCTGCATGGAGGTACAAGCTGTAGTGGATGAACAAACACCCCACGTTGAGGACGCAGCTATTGCCGCTGTGCCAACATTGGAGGAAGAATCCCCAGTCAATGAAACGCCCGCTTCGGAAGCGACTGTCGTCGTGGAGGAAACCCTTGTCGCTGATGCACCACCCGTCGCTGACGGAACCTCTGTTGATGATGCGCCAGTGGAAGAGGAATCAACAATTGAGGAGCCCGCTGTCATTGACGCACCAGTTATCGAGGAAGTGCCTGTTGTTTCGGAAGTGCCCATTTTGAACGTTGAGGAAGCAGTCCCCGCCAACGACCTGAGTGATAAAGACATTTCCGAACCGCTTCCAGAACCTGCTGCTGAGGAAACCTCGGTTTCTGATGAGGTCACCGCTGAACCCACCAAAGAAACCATCGCAGCCGAAGAGCCTCTTGCGGATGTCTCCGACGTATCTGATGCTGTTGCGACTGATGTTCCTCACGCCCAAGACGAAGAGGGAGTACACGAAATTGCCGAGCCCATTTTAGCACCAGTTGTCGAGGTTGAGGCGCAGGCCACAGACTCCGTGGTCGAGGATTTACCAACAGAACAGTCTGAGGATCTGACAGTGAAGGCTGAAGAGACACCGGCCGCTCCTGAGATCGTCGATCTTTTGGAGTCAACACTTGGACCTGAGGTTGCGATAAATGAACCTGTAGCTTTGGATTCCGTCGTTGAGGATAGGCCCACGGTTGAGGATGTGGCAGCCGACGATACAGTCACAGCCGGTAACGGCCATCCTGCGAATGGAAATGGCCATCATGTTGCAGACGATGTGGATGTAAAGGTGTCTGTTGAAGGTACGTTGCCCTTTATTAGAATCTTGGATTCCATCGCTGATTCGTGACAAACAGAGCCAGTTGTTGACCCTCCCGCGGACGCGCCCTCCTCCGATGATGCTTAATGATCCTGATACAACCATGGTGTTGTCTACACTCCTGGTAAGTTGTCGCTCATCAATGCTTCTACAGCGATCTTATCATCAACACAGACCTACGTTCCTTTTTATCTCACAGGTCATCAATGTCAACTTCCTCCCAGTCTCTAATGGACGACGAGAAATACCCTTAATTAACCACGAGTCTCCATACGTTCATGATGCTTCGCTCTCCTTCTTTTAAAGATCTATCTCCATCGTTTTCCTAATTCTATCACTCATGCCTACCTATTAACCAGCTGCAGTCTATTCTTTTTCGTTTTAGTCACATGTATTCTCTCTCCTCATTGTTCGGCATCATGACCTGCATTCTCACTCATTTCGGATTATCATTTCGCTCTCTTCGTTCTACCCCTCCACTCCCGCTTTCTCGATTACATCTGTCTACATGCACTATCTTTCCCCAATTTATCATTCATCTATCCTAACGCGCGACATGTTTCTATGACCAAAATTTGAGAACAGCCGAACGCAACACGATGACCCTTTTTTCCCCAACACTCAGCCCAATCACAAGTACTATGCCTACTTCTTTGCGGGTTTCGAAGAAGCGGGAATATCAGCAGGAACCGGTGTCGCCTCCTTTGCGGGTTTCGAGGAAGCGGGTTTTTCAGCAGGGACCGGTGTCGCCTCAATGTTCCAGTAACTCTCTGCGTATTCGTTGATTGCGCGATCAGAGCTGAACTTGCCCATCTAAGGAGGAACCGAAGCGTCAACGATGAAAATAAAGTGGGACAAGAAGAGAGCGAACCTTGGCCGTTGTCTTGATCGATTTTTTGGTCCATTCCTCCTTATCAAGGTAGGCCTCATCAACCATCGCAAGAGCGGCAATGTCTATCGAAAAGTCAGTACGAACTCATCAAAGGCACGCTGAGGAGTCAGGACGAACAAGAATCGAAATCGTCGGTGAGGAGATAGTAGTCCCCTTGTCTGATCGTGTTCAAGAGTCTAATGTTCAACGTAAGGATTGGTCAAATGGTCAAGTTGCTGTAGGTACGCACGGTTCGTAAACACCATCGCCACCAAAGAGCCCTCCGGATATCTGGTCGAGAACTTGGGCCAAGGCTGGGCATTTCTGTTCAATAGGTACAGGGTGATAGACATGTTGATAGCGTAAATCCTCAACAGCACTGTAGTGGAAAGGTGAGAAATCATACGAGTGATGCGAGAGATCAACACTCACGGGGTCAAGTGTCCAAAGAAGACTACATAGTTCTTGCGTCAGTTGAGGCAACAATTGGCGAATGTCGCTACTTACAGACGTTGCTCTCTCCGACCTGTTGTCAAAGACCACGTAATCAGGACCAAATGTACAACGCAGGGCAAAGAATACTAACCTCTTCGGCGATCTCAATATTCGCTCCGTCTAATTGAACGGGTAGCCACGTCAGCAAGACGCCACAACACCACGCTTACCACTTACCAACAGTTCCAAGGAGTAGGCCACCGTTGAGGCAGAACTTCATGTTGGAGGTTCCTGACGCCTCGGTGCCTGCGGTCGAGATGTGCTGACTGATATCCGAGGCAGGGATGAGAACCTCTGCGAGGGAGACAGAGTAATCGGGAAGGAAGTAGAGTTGAAGGTATTCATTGGTCTCCGGGTCCGCATTGATTACTCGAGCTACATTGACGATGAGGCGAATGGTCTATTTCTTGTTAGTCAAGGTGATATTAGAAAGATAAATGAGAACCGACCAATTTCGCGATGTAGTCTGTTAATGGTTAGTGAGATAGAAATCACTTGCATAGCCAGACATGGCACTTACAGGCAGGAGCAGCTTTGCCGGCGAAGAAGACGACTTTTCTGTTGGCCTTGGCTCTCTCCGCAGGCTTCAAACTCTTCAAGGTGAGATATCTCTGAACGGATGTCGGTGATCGCATGTTAGTTGTCAACAATTGGACTTACGTGGATAACTCCAAGAATGTTCAAAGTTTGACGCTGTTCCAGGGTAAGGATAGTGATAGTCGATCAAGGAGGGTATATACCTTGTACTCATGCAGACGCTGGAACGAGGTCAGCTGCACAAACCGTTTGTCAAGGAACCTCGCATAAATACCTTAATTTGAACATCGTACATGGCATCTGTGCGAACTTTAAGACCAAGGGTCACTTCGACGTGGTGGGCCAATCGTTCCTTGTTGCGTTGTTTGATTGCAGCCCACTCGGCACGGAAGGTCTTGCTTTCGGCGTAAGGAAGCAATCCTTCCAACTTGGTGAGTTCCTTCAACCAGGCACCCGGGCTCAGCTGGAGGGTCTTCGAAATGAGCGCGCTCAGCTCGGGATTGCACTGGAGTGACAAATGAATTCCGGTGAGGACTGAGAAGTTACTTGAAAACCGTACCTGATCGAGCCACCTGCGAGGCGTAACTAAGTCGGAGTGGTTGGTTGAGCAATCTTTCAGAGAAAAGCTAGGACCCTACTCACTTCCGTTCGTAACATTCCCGAACCTAACATGCTCCATGGGTATTCCGGCAATCGATAGGGTAAAATGACTCACTTGCTAATGCCCTCGAACTCGACGAAGTCCTTCAAGATCGTCGTCCTAACGAGTTCACTGTGCAGCTGACCCCCGTTTGTTAGTTACCGCCATTTGGCGTGACAGGGACTCATTCACCTCAGCGACACCGTTCACTTTACGACTCCCTGTAACACACATGAACTGAGTAAGCAGCATAAACAAACAAACAAAATACATACCAACGCAGGCCAAGAACGCCATTCGAACCTGTTTGGGTGTGCCCTCTGAAAAGGTGTCAAAAAAGCTATGTTATGAACACGAATTCGATGTTACCTTCGATCAAGGACATCCTAGCAAGCCTATCTCTATCTCCGGGGTATTTCTTTTCAACAGCTAAGGAGATTTAAGCATACAAAACTGTGTATGGAGCCGGATGACTGACCTTGCAAGAAGAACCTGAAAGATGCGACACCAGTTGTGAGCTCCAGATGAATGTACACAAAGAAGACCATACAGGTTCTGTCAGATGAAGTCAGCTTAGGACGATAAAAGACCTAACTTCAAGCACTTACGATGTCATAGATGATTTGCAGGTGCCTACAGATGCTTAGTTTAGCATGCGTTTATCTTCAACGAAGGAACACTAACCTTGGCAAGACGTGCTCCAGCAACGGAACGGGCCACTTCTCCAACGCCTCCTACAGTTGAAAGTTAGATTCGATGGTGATGCAACGTATGACCTGAACTAACAGGCAACACCGTGTGGTTGGTGTAGAAGAAGGTGTTAGTTACGATCTCCCATGCTTGGTTCCAATGGAGATCCTCATCATCAATGAGAATGCGCATCAACTCCGGGATGGCAAGAGTTGGATGGGTCTGGGCAAGTGAACGTTAGCGATGCCAAAAAGCTATGTATGAGAAGAATAAACTCACGTCATTGAGCTGGATTGCGACATCTAACAAGGACGTGAGTACAGAGTCGGTCAGAGAAACCATTGACCTACGGTCTGAGAATTCTTTGATGGGTTTGCCAGTGTTTTTGAAACGGCGGAGAATGTCGGCCAGACTGGCGGCAGTCCAAAAGCTAGATGATCAAAGAGTATGTGAACGATCGCAGGAGCCAACGAAGAGAAAACGTACTATTGCTGCTTCAAGCGTAACTCTTTTCCGACTTGACGAAATCATGAGCATAGGTTCTTGTCTCAAAACGTTACACGTACAGGAACTGTCGAAGAGCAACAAAGGGGTGAGTACCGAATCAGATTGTCATATAAGAGGACGTACGTATGGTCGTTGGGATAGAGTACGGATGTGATGGCATCGGCACTGTTGGACGCCTCAACTGCTCCCTCGTAGTTTCCAGCTTGGCAGAATATCAGAAAGAGATTTGGAAAACACATGATGATGAGCGTCTTCACCATTAAAAGAGTTCAAATCGAAACCACGCTTGGGCTTGCTCTCCCAAAGCCTCAGATTGTTTGTCGTTTTGGTTCCATATCCGGGGATCATAACATCATACGCAACGGCGAGGACCTCTTGGCCACCTTGCCATATGGCACGTCCGCTTCCATCCGCCATGCGGTCCGCATTACCGTAGAAGCGAACTTGATAGGTGACATCAAGACGCGGGAGCTTTAGAGGTGTGTGAGGACATAGGGGGGAGAGAAGAAGAAGGACGGAAAACATACCTCCCAAGGGTTCTGGTTCTCCAGCCACGGATCGGGAGCCTAGGGCGACAATTCAGTGGATGTATGCGCCTCTACAGAACCATCGCCGCACCTCAAGTTGTTCACCATCCTGGGAAATGAGCTGCTGGAAGATTCCATATTTGTACCTCAAGCCGTAGCCCCAGACTGGGAGTTCCTATCACCGCAAGTTGAGTAATGAAAGTAATCTAAGATGAAAGATCGACACGGCGAAACGGACCTGTGATGCGGAGGAGTCCAAGTAACATGCAGCAAGGCGACCAAGACCACCATTTCCCAGAGCAGCATCACGTTCTTTTTCGAGGAGATCCTCCATGTTAAAGCCGAGATTCTTGAGACCGTCCTTGTATAGGTCCTTGAGACCCAAGTTGAGAAGCTATCGTCGTCCTATGTCAGGCAACATCACTCAAGAACATATAACCTAGACTTACAGCATTGTCGAGCGTGCGGCCCATGAGGAACTCGAGCGAGAGATAATAAGCGCGCTTGGGTGCTTTTCTTGTATAGTTCATCTGCGTCTCATTCCAATTGACCTGACGAAGTGTATTCAGAACTCGCGCAAGGGGGCTTCGGAAAGTCACTCACGAGCAGGTCATCCCTGACGGAGAGTGCTGAAGCCTGATAGGCACCAAAATCGTCTATATATACGCGTCATTGAGTGTTCTCTCAAAAAGTCAGGGGGGTCGTGGTCACTCACCCAAATTGTATGGCTGGCGAGCCAAGGAAGTCTGAACGTGATTGACGACCGACCTCGTCACATCGCTGATACCTAAGTTATGAATGGTAAATCTGGTTCAATCACGGAAGGAACCGCGTACTCACCCTTGTCGACACTACGCATCCCATCCCTCCAAGCCTTTTCGTCGCCCTTGGGCCACTTTTCTTTCCCAGTTTCATCGGTCTCGGGGATGAAACCTGCGCAAAACGACGCGAATGAGCCCTCTGGTCACTCATGACGTTCACAACGCGTCACTTACCAGTCAACGTTCGTACATGGCGACGCGGTCTGACGACTTTGCCAATCGACTTGGGATCGATGGTCGAAGTCATTGTGGGGACAATGTGGTAGGAAGAAAGAGAGGTGGGGGGAAAGGATCAAGAGTGGGTTATAAATGATGGTTATCTAGCCTTTTTCTCGCTTGTCCCAAAGCAATGACAGGTTTTGGTGACGTCATCCATTGCGCAACGACATTCCCGTTTAGGAAATCCCACCATCCCAACGTGCCTCACAAGTTGTGAATGGAACGCCCTTATGATCGACGCTTTTTGAGCGATATTAAATTTTCTGGAACTCTTTACAACCGTATAACTTTTCAGGTGGTGCGGAGATTGAGGAACGCAGGGTCGCGTTGAATGAAGGCTTTACTGGCGACGCTGAGGGTAGGTCTGGGGTATGTCATGAGATTATAGATTGAACCCAGGGTGAAAGTTCATATACATTCGGTACGTCCGTTCCGCGTTTCTCTAGTGAAAAATTATCGCTTGGAATGCGCCGACCGATCGTAGAACATGTCAGTGCGGTGTCGCCGCGGACATCATTGAGGCCACCTAAGGGATCTACAAGAAGCCCAGTCTCCTACCCCGTGTCCCTTAGTGCACCTATGAAAGATGTAAAAAGGGATGAGCGCAATGCAAGATCAACGAGAATGACATTTCGCACCTCTAGTTTCACTGTGTTTGATCTTTGAAGTACGAATCGCAAATGTGTATATATGAGTGCGGATTAGGAGCGAAAAAACACTGCTTGATAAATGAGAAAGTAAATCAAACCGCCTTTATGATTTTTTCACACCAACCTTCCCCAATTGTCCCACTAAATGCGAATTCGTCGAGTCCCCACCGCTTCCACCATATCCGAGCCGTCGTCCATTGAGTCATCTTCGCAGGGATCACTGACAGTGTCCTCCTCATCCTCTTCGTCTTCTTCTTCATCCATCTCGGCATCCGACCAGCTCGCATCATCAACACCGGCTCTGATCGCCCAGCCCGAGTCGACGTCCAAAACCATAGCAAGGGTCTCATCCTCAAACTCCTCAGAGTCATCGGACTCTACGTCCGTCGCCTCATAATAGTCAAGATCCACAATAGGTCTTTCGGTATCTTGCTCACCCTCCCTATCACCCTCACCCTCTTCACCAACCCCTTCTACCCCCTCTGCCCCTTCCTCGTCCTCTTCCTCAAACGTCAAAGGCTCCTTCAACCTCTCCGCATCCCCCTTCCCCATCCTCGTAGTCCAAATCCCCGTAACCTCCTGCATAGTCTCCCAACGCGCAAAATCCACAGGAAAAAGCAACGCATCCTCCAAAAGCCCCTCAACAAACTCCGACCCATCCAAATCATCTTCATCAAGCATAATCTTCCGTCCAAGGTGGATTCTCCACTTATGCCCCACCTTCATCGCGGGCCCGGAAAACTCATCAAAGAGTTCCTGGTCTGCCCATGCGAATATCCCATCTTCAGGTGTGAATTCTAGACTGAAAGTCTCGACCATGAGTCGCGTAGCGCCCCTTTTGAGGAGGTGAGTAAAGTCGGCCTTGGAATACCCATGTGGGGTTTTCTTGAACCTGATGGCGTCGCAGAGGGGAGTATCACCCCTAGGGACTAAGCTGCGGTCGAGAGCTACAGCATGAGAGTCTGTGGCATTCGATTCTTCGTATAATTCCTATTGAGTCAAACATAAGCGCCCGGCCTTCGTAGGACAATTTGACCAGGAACAACTACTGACCGGCACCCATACATGCTCAGTCGCACAGAAATGACAAGCCCTTCAACGACCTCCCCAGCACACCTCACACATCTAGGAACGCCCGCATCGTCAATCGGCTCTTGTAGCTCATCCTCCTCATCCGTTTCTCCATCATCATACTCATCAGTGTCTCGGTCATCCCGAGTGGAAACGTCCTCGTCGCCTGCGTCCGGGTCCATAGCTAGAAGTACATCCTCTTCCTTTGTAGATTTCCCTTTCTGCGCGAGAAGAGCGCTTAGAAGGGCTGTTTTAAGTCGAGCATTTTCGGCTTCCTGAGCATCTATTTTCTTACCACATTGGGTATGTGAGCGCAGGAAGAAAGAGTGAGAGGGGGTGTAATACCTTCTTTTGAGCCTTGATTTTGCTTTGTAGGCGCTCAGAGTCGACCATTGCACTGTGAGGGGAATGACTGAGTCATGGTGCCACGCTCGATCAAAAGTGCCAGCTTCCTAACACCCACAAGTTAAATTCAAGTTCGCTACGATGTTGAATGGTACTAACGTTTTACTTGCATTTCGTCTTGACTTTCTTGAGGCGATACCATACATGGTGGTGTGAGTGTGCAAGGAATAATTCTTGTTGACATTAGGACCCTGACCCGAATCCGAAATACTCGGAGACCTTTTGATTCCTACAACGCCATTTTCTCAAAATTACTAGATACCCTACGAACATTCCAACAGAGGGTACATGGGAACGAAAAAACACAACGAAGTAACTTATGACAATAACATAAACCCAAATCCCCTCGAAGGCAAGCCTAGTTCAAGAGAACCCGAACCCGATTATGAGAAGAACCCCTGCGTCGTGAGGTATTGCCGATGTTCCGTCCTATGAGTAGCGACCCGTTTGTCGACGGATGAGCGCCAGATGGGTGTTGCAATCTATAGCCCGGAACGTTAGTATCCTGAAAGAGGGAGAGAAAAGTGGAATAGAAGCATACATAAGCAACCATATCAAAAATGCCGTCCAAGAACCAGTTATTCCTCGGGGTAGCACCGCGAGTGGAGGCGTGGAACAAACTCGTGATAAGATCTCCCGTTATATGTGCTTGTCCGCTCTCCACACCTGCAAAAAAGGAAAGTACGTCAGGTTAGATGGCAAAAGAAATGGTATGAAGGAAACACACCCTTGTACAAAGCCAACGCTGCCTGGTCAGCAGTAAGCCCATCATCCGCGCTCTCTATGTCCTTGACGATCTGCGGCTTCGTTTTGTTCTCCTCGTCATACCCCGGTGTGAACATGGTGGGGGGAAAGAAGATGTGTACACTGATTCCGTATAACATAAGTTCGGATTGGAGTGTATCCGCAAGGCCTGCAATGATTGATGAGATAAACTCGCAAGGACGGAGAAGGGGGGAAACATACCTCGTAAAGCATGCTTAGCAGGAGAATACGACGCCCAACCCAAGAAAGACATATACCCAAGCGTAGAAGACACCAACGCAATCCTCCCTTTTTTCTCCTGTTTCGCCATCATCTTCGCAGCTGCCTAGCAACATTCCCTTCAACAACAAAACGAAACCAAAAACCTTAGCAAAAACCAACTCACCCACGCAGTCCAAGCCTGCACCCAATACCCCGCCGTCATCCCATTCACCAAATCCTCCTCCGTCATCTCCACGAAGAACATGGGCTTCGAAGCGCCCGCACACGCAAACACGGCATCAGGCGCCTCACCACCATGTGCCGCGCATACTTCTTCCAGCGCAGCTATCGACGCTGCGGCTGTATCAAGGGAGTGCGAGTACCCTTTCAGTAGCTGGGAAGGGCTGACGCGGACTTCCTGCCAGTCATTGAGTGAGATGATTATCAGGGTATAAAAGGTAGACGTACTTCGAGCTCGGTCAGAGCCTTGTCGATTCTTCCTTGGTTCCGTGCGACAATGGAGACGTGGGCGCCTTTTTTGGTGAGTATTATGGCTAAGGAAAGTCCGAGACCTGTGCTCCCGCCTGTGATGTAGACGCGCTGAGTGATACCTAGTCAACGTTGGGTTTGTCATGGGTTTTTTGGAGGGCGTACCTTGCCATCTGGGTTCCACTTTTTCGAGAAACCGAACATCCTTTTTGGCGTCGAATCAAGAGGAGGAGGAGGAGGGTGGTGGGATTGGAGAAGAAAGAAAGAGGGTGGTTTATGTACGTTTCAGCAGTGACGTCGACGTCGGAGATTGGAAGGTGCATTCAAAATTTGATGCATTGATGATCATCGATCAATGACTTTTCCTTACCAGCTCTGGACGAACAGTTCTTGATACTGTTTCTACGCCTCCGTAAGCCGAGAGTGTAGAGTGGGTACTAAGTGGGAAAATCAGTCTGGATGAGGCTGGCCTTCGTATGTTTTTCTGTCTAGACTTTTCATACTCTTACCCCATGGCATGTTTTCAATTCGTAGCTATAGATCACAAACGTGAAAAAGGTTCTCAACATAGTCATGGCCTTTAGCTGAACTTCATTGAGCTAAGCCGAACATTACTCTGTTCTAACAACATGAAATACATCCCAACTTTTTTTGTCTGGCGACTAAAAGCTGTCATCTTTGAAATGTGGCATCAGAATGGACGAACAACCAATGAACAGCTTCAAACAAAAGAGTGCTCGACGAGTACTATCGTCAGTCGAAATCCTTATCGCTCTGCCGGACAGTCGAGCCCAATCACGGACTTCCGAGTTAACTCAGATCGATGCTGCAGGTGATAAGTCGGTCCCATGGACAGGAGTCACCAAAGACAGGCTTTGCGGCCCTTTTGCTGTTTCCGTATAATGTCTGGGGACATAAACCCACTCTATTTTGCGAGGTGCGTCTAATTTGATCGTTTTTGAAGAGTGGGTGAGCGCTCAGTACTCAGTTTTTGCAAGGGCGGTCACAACTGGAGAGGCAAGAAGAGGCTTGGTTACAACTTAAAACGCCGTTTCGTCCAGGAGAAAGTCCCGAAAGAGATGCCATTCACAGCGGTTCTTGCGATTGATTTTAGGACCGACTATCGATGGGTGTTGCGAGGGTATCCTTGAACGCCTCTCTTCCGAAACCCCAGGATATGCATATATATGCATGTACATTTAGATCGCAATAGCCTACTTGAGAAGCTGTCAGATTCGCTGCTCTCATCTGTTCTCAAAAGGACTGATGATACAATTGCACAAATCTATCAATTCGGTATTGAGAAAGACATGATTTAAAAAGGGCTACATTGCCTCTATATCTAGGCCTTGATCCCTGTTGGGTGATGGCGCGGGAATTCCGTATTGCTGTTCGAAGACCCAACCACCGATACGTGTCTTCCAGGATTTTTCAATGGCCATGAACTCCCGTTTCGTAGTGAGCTTGATGTGGGTTGCATGCCAGATCCCACAGGCGAGAATGAACCCCGCCAAGATATACCATACGTAACTTTTTGATATGGATTTGAAGGCGCCGGAGGTGTAGAGGATGATTGTGAAGACCGTACTGTAAAGATAATCTGTTCTCTGTTTTCTGGGAACCACGATCAACGCTTGCATTACCTGGCGTACCACACAAAAGGCATCACCATCAACTCGATTTCCCACCAAACACCAAAGCTCGGTTTGGGGCTCAACGCCTGGATGTTATTCAGACCAATGGATGAGAGGCAAGAGGGCGACTTTGAGCTCACGTTTACCCACTCAAATCCTTGGTAGGAAGATTCCAGAAGAGCAAACCTTTTGGAATATGAAGTGGACGTTAACAAGTAATTGATTCCCATGGCGAGGACGCATAATCCAGGTGGTTCGGATTTGCCCCTTTTGAGCACGATGGTTCCATAAGCAAGCCTTAGTCCATTCGCAACTTAATACAAAGCGAACGGCGATGCGGAGATGATACGCACGTAGTAATACCAATTGCCATCATAATCTCTAGTCTATTCCACAAAGTTGCCTTGTAAGGATGGAAGCGGTCCCAATGTTCATCCAGAGATGCGCTAAATTCAACGATATTCCATTCATCAACGTAGTCTTCTTCATTTGAGCGCGTTCCCAGCAGTGAAAGTTGAGTCTTCATTAACGTTTCCGAAAAGCCCTCAGAGCAAGCCGCTGACTGAACCGTTGCCTTCAGAAGAGGAAGAGTCGCCTCCACGCGTTGCTGTAAAAGTTCTACGGACAAGCGATACCAAGCAGTTTGCCTGAACGTGACGATGTAAAAGAGACAAGCAAGCAAGCTGCGCAGAAAGAGCGGGAAGGACGCCGTCGAGATGCGTGGCATTTTAACCATATTTCGCCGTTCGTACAAGAGTTTGAAATAAAGCTTGATACTATCCATGCGAGTTTTGGGTCGGGGAATCCTTTTTGGAGGTTGGCAGATAGCTGGTTGATTCAGATGCTGCGTATCAGCAGACATAGGCTTATTTGATGAAGACATTTGGCTAGGGGGTTCCACAGTTTCCGGATTTGCGTTGTCCATGTCGGGGATCAATTGGCGGCCTAAGTTGAACGGAAATGAGGGAACCCTAAACTGAATCGGAGTTCAAACCCAGATTTCGGGCTGCCAATCATTTGGCACAACCTGTTGAAGAACGCCCCCTCCCACAGCAATCCTCTTTCGTACCTCAAAGCCGCCCAGCGCCATCGACGACCAACTCGAGCTTCATCGCCCCGTTCTACGACCCGCATCTCTCTGATGGCAACTGAACCCCAGTCTGATTCTTCGGACAAGTATGAACTTGAAGAGTCTGGGTACATACTTCCATGATCTGGGTTCTCCAATGAACTGGCTGACATCAACTGAACCTAGAGAGCCGCAACTTCGCAGACACAGTGGAATTATGGAGCGTCTCAAAGTTTGTTACAATCTGTTGTTCGACCGGCGAAACATAGTGAACCTACCAGTCATCACCGTAAAACTATTCTGCATCGTTCTGCAATGCACCGCCGTTCTTCTTTTGTGTATCATCTCGCTCGGAGCCACCGCTCGGTATCGCCGTGCTACGAAACTACTGCAGCGACACGTTAAAGAGACTCTCCCTGTGTTAAAAGAAACTGTCTTGGCCTTGGCACCTTCTCAACCCTTCTCGGAACTTGAATTCACTCTCTTCCCTCTCGGCGGACTTCAGAGCTTTGATGGCAAATCCGACTATGATGAACAGGCTTTCGACGCGCCTTCTCTTGACAAACGATGGAGGCGATTCCACTTTGAAAAGCTAATCTGCTGGGTTTTCGGGCCGATCCGAACGGCGCATCTTCAAATGGCGTTGATATTTTGTCTGTGCGTAGCATGTTTCCCTCCCGTCGCCGAGAACATTCAAATTCAAAGTTGATGCATTCAAGGGTCTCTATTTATCTTGTCTTGTTCGAAACTTCCATAGGATTAGTTCCATGTGCGTTCCTCTTCACCTGTTCATTCAACTGCATGTACACCTCGATTGCGTACACCGACAAATTTTGGGAGATGAACCACACATACAAGGGTATAGAATGGGCAGAAGTGGGTCCTCCTTTTCCTATCATAAATATGCGAATGACTCCAATTAACCGCCAGTCACTAAGTCCAAAACCAAGTGCAGGGGTGTGGTGGGAGGTCGAATTGATAGCGATGCCTGCTGTTTGGACGATATGGTAACATCTTCGCAACAGCTGCTTTTTGGAGAGGCGAACACTCACAACTTGAATCACAGGATGTACTTCGGACTCGCCTACGTGCTCTGCTTTGACCCGGAAGAGGATCAGCTCCCATTAAGAGATTACTTGTTATGGATCTTGATCTCGTTGCTTTTCGTCTTTGGCATTCTCCACGGCAGCTACATTTTACTTGTCACCAAACGGGACAACGAGGTCATTGAAAAATCCTGGCACGCGCGTATGAACGGATGGGTCTTTGAGCAACAATACGTCGCTTTTGCAGTCTCGGAAGGCGTCATGGATCAGGGGCTTCAAGTTGAGGTGATGTAACTGCCCAAGTTTCAGAATAACTTGAGGATCCGAAGAAGTTGTGTATTCAAATAAATTTTATTCGTTATTTTGCAGCGGAGAGGGAGTACTCGAATACATTCGTCATACGACAACCCGGTCACCTCAATATTTGATATTATTTACTAGTCTGCCCTAGCGCGCTCATGATAGTCGTCGCCAGAAAATCATGTCTTGTATGTTCTGTTGTAGGTGCAGATCTTCTTAGGAAATCAGTTCAAGGACCCTGCGAGAGTGAAGTAAGTCATGCTTTGGAGGACAGTGGTTTGGAGGTGGCAGTGCCTGTCATAGCAGTGGGGTTGTGAAGGTTATCAGCGTAATCGCTTCTACTTCAACAACAACCATGTCCATTCCGTCCTGGCTTAGGAAACTAGAATCAAAAGTTCTGCCCCCGATTTCAACTCTCGACATTCCAGATGCATCGCGCATCGGTACGATGATCAAGGATATAGAGGGAAATGACAGCGCTCCCTCCCCCGTACATGGATTTCGAGGCGGTCCAACAGGTCAGTTTCCCTTCACTTGCGGCGTATGCGGAAGCTGGACACCTTCAATCCAATTTCGATGATAGCTGAGCCAGGTGTAAACCTTTCTGGACCGAAACCCGCACCCGGAGGATCCAATGATTCCATAATAAACTCATCTTCTAGGTCTACCTGGGAGGACGGGGTCACTACCTTTCCAATCAAAAAAGGAGGGGTATGGAACGGAGACGCGACAGTAACTAATCAGGCGGGTGACAACATTCATAACTCCACTCCTTACGTTGCTACGCCTGTCAGAAAGTCTCCGGAGAGCCGATTGAGCACACAACTTACTGCCAATCCTACCAGTCCTAAAGATAATTCCTTCTTTATCGCAAAGAGTGATTTGTTTGATGGAAGGTACGTGCTTGCAACAATCGAAGCAACGAATCAGTGTGTTAAAATCGATTCGTTTAACCTCAAAGCGAGAATGGGGCGTCACTGGAAGAATGGGTTCAGGTTTCATGCAGTCCCACTCGTGCCGACATAGTTCCAAGAGGTTCATCTGATACGTACGAAGAACCTCACCGAGAACTTCTCGAAACCCGAGCCGCTTTGAAATCCGCAAATAGCTCCCTGACGATTTTGGACCATAATTACAAGAAGCTGTGGGCCACGCAGGAGGAGGAGTTGCGGAAAGCTCAGGCTGAAATACAGCACCTTCTCGAACGCAACCGTCACCTGAACAAGGAACTCGCGACTGTGAAGCTGATGCCTAAAGTCGATTTGGCGTCAAGAATAGAAAATCTCAAGTTCCCAGAGTGCCCTGACCGAGTTGAACCTTCGACTGTTCAATTGAGCCAAAAGGTCATTGATCTGAATGAGGAGATATTCCAGTTTGCTGCGACCGTGGGGGAAATGATGGTCCCTCGCGGAGGAATGCACGCTGTATCGTCAGAGGAAATGGCCAGTGCATTTCAAAAATCCAGAAAGCTATTGGGGTCACAGATGACCATCGTGCTAGCCGCGGAAGCCCAGAATCGCCACAAGAATGTCAACCCTATGCTCGCTCAGGTTGTGTTGCAAATTGCAATCACAAGGTGGTGCGCAAATCTGATTTCCATCTGGAAACCATGGGATGAAAAAGTAGACGAAGTTTTGAATGATGTTTACTCAGGCATTCGTAAACTAGGTAAGTCGACGCTCTGCCGTCGTGGTTACATACAATCTGATGGAGGCAACATTAACTTCAGGAAATCAACGTATAAGTGGGACATGGCGCTCGCTCACTCGATCGCAATGGCACTCTCCAAATCAAGACTGGGTCACCAACTTTACGGATGACTTATCGTGTATCTTCCACACCGCGGGGTGGACAACGAGAAATCAAGACGAAGAATATCAATTTGAAAAGCGACTTCCAGCAATTTTGAAGTTTGTTCATGACATCCGGGTGGCCCTCGGTGAAGATGTTATCAGCGCTGATATAGAAATCGCCGTAATTGAACCTGGTACTCCGTTCAGTTCAAAATTGATGAAGAATAATTATGACGACGGGAAAGATGGATCTATTAGTGGCACAACGGGCATGGGTCTGAGGAGGATTGTGATGGAGAACACATCCGGCGGGTTCGTTCCCCATTCTAAAACAAGTTCCTTTCCACGTCCAAGAGTCATTCTCGAAGGGACGTTCAGAGAGATAGTGAATCATTAATGCCAATTTTGAAGTGATGGCTTGGCAAGAGACCTGTGAGTGCGCGAGACGAGATAACCATAAGAACCCACCAGACATATAGTCGCTAGATGCGAAAAACCTCTTTGTGGCACGCGCGTCCCTAGCAGTTGCGCACTCTAAAATCCGGCTCGAAACTTCCCCCAATACAGGACACACGACTGATCCTCCATCGCTCGAAGACTCGAAGTGCAGCAAACGCGGTCCAACATCTCCTGCTCAAGTTTCCTGGACCGCAGTCCGTTGGATACCTCACCTCGCAACGAAATAAGGTGACAATCCACGCACTTTCCTCGTGCCGGCCATCTGCTTGAATGAACGAAAGTCCAGTTCATGAGAGCCTGGAGGGAAATGTGATCTCGGAGGGGTGAGCGTAGATACGCTCCGGCGACGTTTCAAAAGGTGCTAATGCTGGTGACAACGTTGATGGCACGTTTATATGCGATAGAATGAAGGCCGGTATCTGCGAAGGGGAGGGAAGATAAATGACGTTAATTGTATGATTTTGATGTAGTGTGGTGATTGAAGCACACCTCCATCCACTACTACCCGATCGGAGTTTGTGCTACTTTCACGGAATGGACATCAAGGGACCGTCAAAGCGGAGAAGAAGGTCTTTTGTCGGGTGGATCGGTTGGGAGCCTCGGGATGTTTTGTGTTGATGTTGTTGTTGAGTATGGCAACAGGGAGTGGTCAGCTTCGTTTTCGCGGCAAACACCGTTGTTTGCCCACCTGCCGAGTTGCGTGCCGGACATAACTATTACAAAATACCATTTTCCCACAATAATTACCTTACTTGAGCTCGTAAAATGTTGAGCACTAACAGTTCTGAGAGTGCGTCGGAGATGGTAAGTACACAATCTCCTGTCTATTTGCTTTTTAAATTTGTTTGTTATCTTTATGTTATGATACTTCTGCCATGTAAATTGTTCTCTACCAACACTGTCCAGCTTTCAGCCAGTCACATTATGCTGTTCAAAAAATTAGTCAAAATTCGAAATTCTTTTTCAGCCACTGTGCAAAGTTGAAGAATGGTGAAACAAACTTCAGAAGTTAAGATTGAAGAAAGTAATTTGATTCTCTTCACCACAAATCTGCAGCACTCCTCATGCTGAATAAAACAGTAAAAAAAGCTATTTTTCAACTAAAATGCCTTTAGTATCATTGAAATTCTGTGGGGTAAGTTATTGTAAGTCCTGTGATAATTACAAGTACTCAGAAGGGAATAAATCTTCTAGTACATTTTCAAATCACTGATTTTCCCAGGTGTTATACTTTGAATGAGGTATTTTTTATTTACTCTGTGAATATGGAGGGTAAAGACATGACTGTAATGGAGAATTAGCATTAGCAAGAAAGGACAGTAGCTCATCAATTAATTCCTGGAATACAAGAAAATATGTAGAGTGAACATCCTAGTCAGAGATTGAAATATACATACCCATAGTCCTTAAATTTGAGTTGCAGTAGTCAAAAGATTTTCTCAGCTACCTTGCCACCAATTTGAAAATTTTCAAAGTCTGCAGATAGAACCATGAGATGAAAAAAATTCCAATGCATTTTTTACTAATCCTTTGACCTGGATTGAACCTCTTAGAGTTGGATAGATTGCAACAGGCTGAAAGCTGGGTAACATCAGTAAAAACAATTCAGAAGGTTAAGTACCATGATACAGAGCTGACAAACAAATTTCCAAACCAAATAGGCAGGAAATGGTCGGAAAGCTTGCATGTAGTATTTCGAAAAAGTGATACATCGTTCTTTGTTGAACTTGATACCAGCCGGCAGGTATCAGTCAAGACTATCATGAGTGATGACTATAAATCATACGGTGGACATCTACTATTAGCTCGGAGAACGAGATATATAGTGGATATGGTGGATATTTACTGTGAGTGAAATTCTAAGAAATCCATCGCTGTATCTCATTTTTAAAAGAATGGTGGATATTTACTGACTAGTCAAAATCTGTGTGTGGCTGTGCGTGCCCACCATGCCCTTCCATTTCTAACATTGACGGTGGGTATTAACTGACCAGTCAAAATTTGTGTGTGATGGTGGGTGTCCACTGTGCCCTTCTATTTTTAAAGGTGACAGTGGATATTTACTGACCAGTCAAATTTTGTGTATGACAGTGGGTGCCCACCGTGCCCTTCTATTTTTTGAAGTTGATGGTGGATATTTACTGTCCGGTCAAAATTTGTGTGTGACAGTGAGTGCCCACCGTGCACTTCTATTTTTGAGGTTGATGGTGGATATTTACTGTCCGGTCAAATTTTGTGCATGACGGTGGGAGTCCACCATCTCTTTCTGATTCTAAAGTTGACGGTGGATATTTACTGTCCAGTCAAAATTTATGTGTGATGGTGGCTGCCCACCATGCCCTTCTATTTTTGAAGTTGACGGTGGATATTTACTGACCAGTCAAATTTTGTGTGTGATGGTGGGTGCCCACCGTGCCCTTCTATTTTTGAAGTTGATGGTGGATATTTACTGTCCAGTCAAATTTTGTGCATGATGGTGGGTGCCCACCAGCCCTTCTATTTTTGAAGTTGATGGTGGATATTTACTGTCCGGTCAAAATTTGTGTGTGACAGTGAGTGCCCACCGTGCACTTCTATTTTTGAGGTTGATGGTGGATATTTACTGTCCGGTCAAATTTTGTGCATGACGGTGGGAGTCCACCATCTCTTTCTGATTCTAAAGTTGATGGTGGATATTTACTGTCCAGTCAAAATTTATGTGGCGGTGGCTGCTCACCATGCCCTTCTATTTCTTAAATTTGACAGTGGATATTTACTGTCCGGTCAAATTTTATGCGTGATGGTGGGTGCCCACCATACCCTTCTATTTTTAAATTTGATGGTGGATATTTACTGTCCAGTCAAAATTTGTGCATGACGGTGGGTGCGCACCGTGCCCTTCTATTTCTAAAATTAACAGTGGATATTTACTGTTCAGTCAAAATTTGTATGTGAGGGTGGGTACCCACCATACCCTCCTATTCTTGAATGGACAAATTTTAATTTAGAGGACAAAAATTCTACGCTACAACCCCTGCATCCACCTCATATTCCTGCTCTCCCAGAAATCCTGGAACGGAAACACCTTGTAGTTGCAAATATTCAGTCATCCGTGCAATCTGTAATAACCTTAAACGATTATGGCATCCCTCTGTACCCCATTTCAAGGCGAAGAGGTCATCTAGTGTCACCATGCCAATGAACTTGTATGCCTCAGCAAAGAAGCTGCGCAAACGAGGGGGGATGGTATCACACTTCAGATCCTCGCGGATGGTCACGTTGGGGTGTGACAATCCCACAGACCATGTTTTGAACCAAAAAAAATCGAAGAGCGCAAGTTCGATACTGCATCCACAATCCAAATGGCCCTCTGCAGCACGACACGTATAATCCTTCCTGTATCCAACCCCCTCGATCGATATAACTGTGTCATGCTTGGCGAAGCTATCCTCTGTGCGGTAGCGCCCGTGGTGACGGCAAATTTGATACGTACGCTCAAGGATGTAGAGGCTTAGTTCTCGACTGGTGGTGCCAGCTCGAGGCGCAAGGTCAACAATCTCACGGATCTTGCGCTTTAGGGATGGTTCGATGGCAGTCCCACTGGTGAGATAGCGATCAATTGCGGCCTCAGCAGCATCTACGCAAACAGATCACTTATGTTGTCAGATGTGTATGATCATACGCCAACAACACACCTTGCAACTTCGCCTGTTCCTCAGGCGACATTTCAATCCATTGTTCTCGTACGGCAAGAGCCTCTGTTGGTTTCTTATCACCATTATCCACCTTACCGACCTTCTCACCCTTCCCCTTCTTTGCCTTCTGTGTACCCTTCATCTTCTTCTTCGGTGGTGGCTCCACGTTCGATACTCCGAGTCGAAATGCAAATAACGCCTGCTCGTCGACTTCCCTCAACTCATCCTCTGCCAAGTGAAACAGCCCCTTCCATTTACCAGCTTCTACTACCCCCACCCCCTTCGTCGTCATTTGATCTTGAGTGAGTTGCAAGACCTCTCTAAGGGCTGACGACCGACAATCCACCTGAACACTGTTCAAGAACTCCTTGTACTGCTTCTCCGCTTGCTCCAACTTATCACGAGCTTCGCCCATTGAGTGCGTGGCCTCCTTTAACATTCGGTCAGCAGAAAGCTTATCATAAGTTGCGGGAATTCCTTTCCCCATCCCCCAATCATTTAGAAGACCCTCTAGACGGTGTAATTCAGACCGATGAGAAGCTGCAGTCGCCTCGTATCCATCTAAAACAGATATGTATTCCCTGTAGACGCCCGAGGGATCGTTCATCAGCTGCTTCTCTGAAAGCTCCAGAAGTTTGCGGAACTCTCGCTCGAGATCCAGTGAGACTTCATTCCCAGTATCCTGGTGCATGTTGACGTCGCTCATTCCCATAGGTGCAACAGACTCGGGAATCACAGGTCCAGAAGCCAAAGCAGGTGGTGGGACTTCGTGGGTATCAATGTTCATGGCATCGGGGGAAATAGGAGGTATAGAGGCGTCGAAAGATGGAGAAGTGTCCATATTTCCCTGTGACGATGGAAACATGGAGCAAGGGACATGAACGGAAGCAGGTGGGAGTGGGATGGTGGATGAAGCGTTGTTTGCTGTGTTCAGAGCAGGTGGATCAGAGACAATTTGAGCGCCAGGCGCAATGACTGGGACTTGTTGGGCCATCACTAAAGCTGCCTCCTTGAGTGCGTGAATTTGAACTAGCTCTTCATGCTCTTTCAATGCCTTGGCGTGCGCTTCCTCTGCCTTCTCAAATGCGACTGGAAAACACAATTATTATCTGGATACAATAGAGAGTCATGCCAACATACATTTAGTAGCACCTGCCCTGCGCTTTTTCTTCAACAACTTGAGGTTTTCCAAGTGATCCTCTGCTGAAGTCACGGCATGCGCAGCTTCGACAACTTTCCTCCTCGCCAAATTTTCTACATGAAACGTAAGTCATTAAATTAATCATTGCAAGGAAAGAGCTCATACCTTCTTCCAAAAGTGCTTCTGCGTTGTTGCTGTTCATGGCTGGGGATCTAAATTGGGGTCGCGTCTGTGAGGGATAATATGGCAGCTTCACGGAACCTCTTTGAACAATGACTTCGCCGTCAACCTTCCAGTGATTCGCCAAGGGAGTTATGAGAATTTCGCGTTGCTATGGAATCACAAGGTCTGCGTTGCACCACATGCATTTGACGGTTCAAAACTCTTGATGCTCGGAAATCAGATGACTGAAACTTCTTAAATTTACAGGAAACAAATTGTACCACATGGAAATGAACTCCTGCGCTTGAGTACACCATATGGAAGTTGAGTCCAAGTGCTTCCTTAATTTTTGCCGTTACCAGGCGACCACCAACTTTCAGCCCTCAAGTGGATTGGTATCAAAAGATCTTTGAAAGATTGCAAATGGTTGCAAACACGACACATGAGTGAAAACGCATGGTGGCAACTTGAACTATGTAGAATAATATTATCGCAGGTACAAACAACGGCCGGTCATAAAAATTGTTCCAAATGGCACCAATTCATCTACACATAATATGAAAACTTCCTACTTGTTCGAGCATTTAATACTTAAGCCTCTTCTCTCGATTAGGCTGAAAGTGGAACTCGGTTTGATTTTGTTTGGCATATTTCTTAGTCTGATTCACATATACACAAGTCGCAGAAAAAGTATTGAGATATTACAAGATCTATAGCAAAGCAGGCGTGCAAAATTCATAATGAAGCAACATGGAAAACTAATCTTTGCATTGCTCAAGTGATTCTTTGCGTGAAGTTTCCAGGAAAGCTTTGTAAGTGAAGCTCACGCCACTCAGATTCCACGTGGCGTCAATCAGACATCGACTGGTTGTGAGCAGTCATTGTCTGATTGACGCCATATGGGAGGTCGCCACACCACCTCCGAGCTCGACCTCTATGAATCCGCCTTCCGAGTTCCGTTGTCTCCCTTTTAGGAATTCGTCGTCGAGCGCACCCCAAGTTTTTGGATCATCTGTCTACTGACACATTTGTCGACGTGTCGGCAATTTCACGCAACGTGAGTACCAGTGTACCACATTATGTTTTACACAACTTTTCAGCTAAAAAAGGGTATTAGATTTCGTTTTTCTATCTACTACAAACCGAAATGACACGGGAGAAGACGAGCAAGACGATGACAACAAGCACAAGAAGACTCAACACTCAAATCCAATGCGTAAATGCCGCTGCAAGGATGCCGGAGTGCGGGCAATGAGCGGATACGCTACAGAGAGGCGGCAGTTCACATGGAGAAGCTGGGAGAGGTTGTGAGCTTTTGAAAGAGGTAACGAAAAGTGGTACTTACGGGTTGGAGGCGCGGTTGACTCTCATAGTCGCATTTTCTGTGGAGCGGCTTACCATCATAGGACACGTCGCCGTTTATACATCGGTCAGTGAACTTGTCCAATTGGTAGTAAATGAAGCTGACTCCCATCGCAACATCATTAGCGGCAGTGCTGCTCCCTTTCCGAGATCTCAGATGACGGTAGCCCCTGGTAAATCTCATCATCAGGCCACTCAGCAAACTCACGGCGAAAAGCTTCCACATAGATGTTGACAACTTCGGAATTGACGCAGCAAACTATGGCTCCTGTTATCGTAGGTATCATCATCTACAGCATGCATGGCCACGTCGTCAAGTGTATGTTCCTCTACTGCTTCATCGCCCATCGTCGTACTGACCTATCGGCTGACGACTAGTGGCCGAAGCTGAGAAAGCCAGCGCCGAGAAAGCAGGAGCAAAAGCTACCATGTACCAGTTTGTCTCACTGTCTTATGGTTTCTACCGAAGTGACTACGGTTCCGGTAGGGGTGGGTGTATCCCAGTCTCCCTGCCTAATCGCCAAACCACTCCTTCGTCTCGCCGTCGACGCCTGGATCGTCTATCTGGCTGTTGGGGTTGGAGGCGGGGTTGACTGTCATCATCGCCTCTTTTGTGGAGGGGCTCAGTCGCTATCATAGGAGACCTCTCCATTATGTTGGTGAGTGAACTTGTCCAGTGACTACGGTTCTAACAGGCGGCATTTTGGTAGGGGTGGGCGTCCCCTGGGTCTCCCCGCTTGGGGTTGACCCAGGACAATCACCAAACTACTTCTTTGTCTTGCCGTCGACGCCTTCACCATACCTGGGGGCCTTCTTGACGTACGTTGACACCCTGCATGCATGGGACTTCAGCCGCCTCATGCAATGCTTTGACAGGCCAGTGTTAGAAAATAGGCACTATCGGGAGTACTTCAGGTGGGCCATGCCACTGTTCGTCAAAATTCGTGTGAGTGCAGCTTTTTCAGTATATTGAAACGTGGAGTCGATCATTGGAACGGCGGTTTTCTTCCTTAGACTGTTTTCTACAATGACTACTCCGACTGCTTGCGGACTGATGCACTTGTGCTCCTGATCCCTATGGTCAGTATGATTACACACGGGTGAACTTACTGTAATAATTTAGCTTCTTTTCGGGGAAGGATTTTACAGTTCATAAATAAATTTGTCATCCCCCATTCATCTTGTGAATTCCCTCTCCACGCCAATGACGCGACGTGGTCTTCGTATGTATCACCAAATGAATTCCCCTATCTGGCCACCTCTCATGCCCCCAAATGAGTTGTCGATGCCTCCCACTTAGTATATGTGTTATTTCGTTTTCCTCGGTTTGCGCTCATCAGTGCGTTATGAGCTTTGAGGTCCTCTGTAATTATTACGATCGTTCAGATTTTCTTCCAGGAAATGATTTAAGTTATGAGCCAAGTATGCGGACATGCAAGATTAAGTCCATTGTCCACCTGAATTGCATGGAACACCTTATAGAATTTGGGATTGCTGTATTTCATCAGTGCCAAATTGCCGCATGTGCATGATTTTGGCTCAGACTATTTCACGCCACAGATAAACCACAACCACTGCGGAATGCGAGTTGGGTACAAATAAGTTTGAGCAACCTCATCATGTAATTAACCGTAAATCAGATTCATATGTGAAGCAGCTTGATAGCTAGTATTTCACTTCTCGGAAATCGTGCGAAGCCGTTTGGAAGCCGTCATACTCAGGTCATAGAATAGAATAGTATGTAGCACTTGGAAAAAATTACTTTCTGTATCGTTCAGACCAACTCTAATGTCCTACACTTCCACAGGAACCGATGCATAACCCATTCTTAGATCTATTTATTGAATTGTCCATTGTTTCTAGTGTGTTCATTATTCCGGAGTCAAATGCTACTTTGGGTGCGCAACTTGAAGACGAGTGCACATCGCGCGAATATCGGCTACACCAAACTTATGAATGCCCGCATTGGCCCGTTCAGGTATGGGGTGAATATCATGCCAAGAAACATCTCCCAAGCTCAATAAACACGTCTTGATATAAAGCTACGAGTTTTGCATAAGGTACGTCAAAGTTCAAACAACGTCGCACCTACCTGCGTTTGTACCAGACACAAGGGCATGACATCGATCAAGCTCTGCGCAGTCATGGAAAGCACTCAGGAGTTTAGTGCGGAGGCGGACAATGCTGGAGGCAGTTTTGTCGCATAGGACGAGGTGTCGGCTTGGAACAAAGAATAGGAATTCTGTGATGAGTTAGATAGCAACCCAGTGAATTGGAACATAAAAGACGAACATCATTTATCCTGTAGGTCAACGTGTCTTCAGCACCGGGAGCGTGTCCGACAACCCGCCAGTCATTGACAATGAGCCCGTGTCCAACTGGAGCGGTCTTGCCTTCTTATATAGTTTGGAGTATAACGATGACTTCGACGGAGGCCTCGAATGTCAGTGTTAGCGCTCGATACGTTTGTGCCCCAGCACGAGCGGTTTACTGACCATGAACACGTTCAGATCATAGGCGCTTCCAGCTGTCCCATCAGGCTGTATCATCTCGAAGGTAAGTACTCTTCACCCAATGCACAACGTAAATCTCATTTTAGTCGTCCCATCCTCCTCCAATATGACCTTTTTACTCGCCTCCCTCCTCTCCCACTTCTCCTTCTCCTTCGCCTCACGCTGAGCTAGCTCCTCCACCTTCTTCTTTCTTCCAGTCTGTTTCGCCTTTTCCAAAGATGACGGCATGGGCTTCTCATACGTCCCTGCCGCATCCTTCCGGGTTCAAAACGCTGGAGTCGATTCCGATGTTGGGTGGTTGGACAAGGTGACACAAGACTTCGGTAGGGCACTTCTATAGTTCCTTTTCCAGTGGTATCCGATCCAACTGCTTCGTCGATGCATAGTTTGTATACCGTATATGTCAGTCCTCCGAATTGAGTGGGGTGGGACTGAAGGGAGAAGCGTTGGATTGACATGATCTAGGATGTATTCTGACTCGGTTGCTTATCGTTATCTAATCTAGTAATACACTCACAATTTTCTGGCCCAGGTCAACTATGGTGCAGCTTCGCCTTGTTCTCTTCTTTCCATTTTTGCGGAGCATACTCTAACCTCTTCGCCTTAACGTTCTTGACGTTCCAGGTTTATAAAGTTCTATGTTGCATCGTCAATTTACATAATCTGAGCTACTGTGATATTCCAGCTGCTTTCAACTTAGCCTCGACTGCCTTAAGACGACCCAAAAGTTCCTCCACCACTTTTGACGTCTCCTGTAATTCAACATCTCTCGAATCCAATTGACTTTGTTTCTCCTGAAGTTGTTGTCGTAACTCCGCCTGTTTTGCAAATCCATCTGCGCGGCGAGTGGTGATGAGGTTGTCGAAGATTGAATTGAACTCGTTGGTAATCCCTTCAATTGCATCGTGTGCTTCTAGGCGAAACTTTGGTGAGGAGTAATGAATGAATTCTTGTTGTGCATTGGAGTGATTAGCGGTGAAGAAGATCCAAGCGCCAGTTGCGTGAGCAAGACGTTCACACTGAGTGATTATTATTAGCTTGTTCGGGTTGATGGATAAGAGGAAATAACTCACACAATTGACGATGTCTTTCATTTGAATGTTAAAGTATTTACTTGCATTCTGACCGCTAAGGAGGTCTGGAAGAGTTCGGGACCGAGAAATGGCTGCATAGAGAGTGAATCGAAATTAAGTGGGAGTTAATCAGTACAGACCATATGGTCGACTTCCTCGAGCGACTCCCTCCACGACTTCAACCCTTTTTGACGCTTGCGTGGAAGATGCTGATGGCACGTGCAATGGGGCAGGGCTCGCGTCAACCGGAATCGGCGTTGTTCCTGCAGCGGAATGATTTTCACGTGAAATGCTGGGTGTCATGGCGATGCTTTCCTGAAGAGCATGGCGATAGCCTGGAACACGACGCATAGGCGTCATTGGGTCTTTGATGCGACGATCTCTGAGTGCGCTCATGAGGTACACGTTTGGAAAGACAGCCTGTGAAAATTGGAACAATGAGCGCTGAGCGGTAAGACTAAGTACCAAACCGAAGGGCAGGGGACGTCACCGTTTCTACATCCGTTTGAGAAGGGACTGGAAGCGGAGTTGTTGAGGCCGATACAGCCTTAGGAGAGACTGACGAGGGCGTTGTTGAAGTTAGTGTTGATAACGAAGGCAGACCAACGTCAATGCTTCCGCTTGTAGGTGTTTGAAGCTATAAGGGAGAGGAGGAATTATGATGATTGAGGACGTGTATTAGAGTTAGAAAATGGCTTACTACTGATCCTGTAGCCACTGGCTGAGACTCCAGATATATGCGCCCTCTGGCAGTGTGGATGCACTCAGAAAGCAGAGGGCGTGATGGGCATTTACGACAATGGGGGGTTCCCTTTGAATTGACGGCGTGGTTGCAATTGTAGTTCTTTTCGACTTCTTGGTGGGTGACTGTTTTGACGATACACCCCTAGTAGCGATGACCTTCTTACTGGATGACTTCGCCATAGTGGAGGGAGGCAGAAAGGAAAATGAGCTTAATTGTACATATATATATCCACTCACCTTTACCACATGATTGTCTTCTGATGCGCGATCCATCCATGAGGAAGGTGGATATGCACTGCTGTGTCTAAATTAGGTTTCCGAGTAGATCGATGACCTTGAAGAAGGTCGAAACACACAATTTTGTCACCTCTTTGTCCCACAAAACCGCCATGTCAGATCGATCAAACAAAAAGCGTATTCGACTGGCACCTCCTCTGAAACGCGAAATTGCCGCAATTCGTTTACCAGTACCCGACGGACAGATATTTGGCCTTACATCTCATGAAGCAAATGCTGGAGGTTTGGGTACTCCACGGCGAGGAAAGCGAGGACTTGATGGCAAGCAAAGAGTCAAGCAAATGGATTTGACGAGAAGGAAAGGGAAGGATGCCGAAGCTTCTTCGCAGAACACAACCGCGGATATTGGGGAGACAGCGGTCTTGGACATGCAACAAATGGATACCGCTGTTTTAGAGATAATGGACACAGCTGAAACAATGGGTGATGATGAATCAAGACGAAAGAATATGGAGCTGACCGAAGAACAACCTTCTCATGCGAATGCTCTGTCAAATTCTGAGTGGCCCAACATCAATTCTGACTGTACCGAAGAGGCATACTCTGCTTATGTTGACGGCGTTTTTGATGATGAACTCCCCTTTTACCCTCTCACTCCGACAATATTTGTGGTTGCTGGGTGGAGCGAGCGAACATTGATGTGTAATGTAAGTCGTTTCTGATTGAGAAACAAGGGTTACTAAATGAATTTAATTTAGACTCACTGGTACCACTTACAAGTAACGGGAATCGGTGATGAGCTGGTGGTCGTTTGTATGTGTCCCGTAGCAAAGGCCAAAATCGACGGTGTAGGCTTGGACTGCGTTCACACGCATTTCATCTTGGAATTCATTGATGTCAAGTTTCCTCCTGAGGGGGATGTTGATCCTGTTTGTAAGTTGCTTTGTTATGGGATTCCGGAAGGAAAAATCTAATCCAATTTAGATAATGACCACGAAGTTATCTTGTACTCAAGGCACAAACAGAATAACTCACCCAACTTGGAGTGGGTCAATTATTTTAGTGTTCCATCAAGTGACAAAAATCAGACGTCACTGAAATCCCGCGCAATCGTCCAATACGTTGGGAATGATGATGGGAATGGGGATTGGTGGTGTAGCAGAGATTCCGGTCAGCAATGTGCCCACACGGCTGCATGTTATTCTTTGCTAACGCTTGGCGATGGAACTGGCCATGGGAAGATACGGAACATTGGTAAGTCACATGATTTTGTCAGATCAAATTTAATACCTCATGCACGAAGCCAAACGACCACGACGCAGAGATCGCAGAGAAAATTCCGTATCATACCTACCAATCCCACCACCAATATGGGCCAGAATCTCTACAGACCCTGAGTTTCCAGCAATGGGACCTCCGTTGGACTCGCAAGGCATTCCGGTGGCTATTTCCCTGATTCTTGGAGCGACGTGCTGTTGTTCCTCTCCCCGGCCAACAATCGATGAGGCTCGAGCAACAAAGATGCAATCATGCGTTGTCTACACATCTAACGGAGCGACCGAGACAATGGTCGAGGTACAACAATGCAGGGTCTGCTCCCGGAGGCAGATCGGTCCCGACTGCCGAGATCTCGGCATTTTTAACTACAACAACAAAGTTCTGTTCACCCACGCCCTCCTGAACGACTTCACGAACAATTATACCATCTCTGAAACCCCAATTACAGCATGGGTAACCTCAAGACGACGCCACTACCAGGTCATGCAGTCTCTCCTGCCGTTTGCAAGTGTAGAGATGTTCTCGCTTGCTTGGTTTTCCTTTGTTAAGCTCCAGGAATTTATTGGAGACATGCGATGCCCTGTCTGCGGCCCAACACCTGAAGACACTATTTGGGACGGCGTGACACTCGCATACGGAGAGAAACATCTGCTCCCATCCCTTTCACCTCCAACTACAGTCTCTGACAGTGCTCCACAAAAGGACAGTCGGTATATCGCTACTCAACAAGCCATTCCCGGTCGTACCTTACGGGACACAATTCGGAAAATCTGTCACCAAAGCGTTAAAGGTCTTCTTTCACAGACCATCAATAAATTTTCGATAGAGGGACTCGATAGCGAAGACGATGACAATGATATGAGCGAGATGGAGAACAAGCGGCTGCAGAAGCTCCAGAAACAAGTAGCGAAAAAGATAGAGGATTTTAATGAGTGGTTGGCCACTATTCCATTGATTCTTGATGGCTTGTCAAATGTTTCTTCAGGCTTGAAAGACTTGTTTCAGACGGAGTTTGGAGTCTTCACGCTCAGGGAAGGCATTGAACCAGATATTGCATATCGAAGACTATTTCTCAATGTGAGTTGTTAAATATGCCTCTGAGTTGATTTTCTCATACAGCTTGAATTAAGTTGGCGGCAGAGGAGTCGGTCCTACAAATGGCCAACCGGTTGGCCTTGCAGGATCTTCTGATTTTCATTGAAGATCCAACAATAAAAAATGCGTCAGCCTTGACACGCATCCCTGCTCTGTGCGCCGCCTTGCTTCACAAATTTACGACCTTAAAATCTGCGTCGAGTGCTTTGCTAACCATCTGTGGATGGCTATACAATCGAGGAAGGGACGTGTTTATGAGCCTTGTAAAACACAATGGTCAGGTTCCAACCGTGGATTTGGAATTGGTTTTTCCTGAAGATGAATGGATTGAAGTGAGTCATTAATTGAACACTCAGTTGCTTAAAAATTGATCGCAAAATGAGACCGGCTGCCATTACAGTCTCCCGCAGATCCGACAATGCCCATCATACCCATCCCTGCATCATGATCTGCGGGGCGACAACGGAAAGCGAGGCACAAAATGTTCCAAATACTGGTCACTCTATGGAAAGCAAAATCTAACAGGCGGACTTATGTGTGTTTGGTGCACTCATAGCATCTGTTATGGGTTTCACTGCATCCCAAATGGTGAAGGTCGCAATGATGTATTTTCTCCCATCATCACGCGCTGGGTGAAAGCACCAAAGCGAATCATTTACGACTTTGCCTGTGCCCTTGGGCCTTACTGCATGACACGTGAACCCCTTTTTTTTGCAGATACACTTTTCGCCGTTGATGACTTCCATGCAAAAGATCACACGAAGTGTTCATCAGCAGCCTTCCTCAGCTCATACTGCAATGTGGACCCTCGCTTGAAGAAGGTCAATTCAAGTGCAGCAGAGTGTGGTAATAGCGGCATCAAGAGAATACGCAAATCGGTGAGGTATATGAGCCAAGATCGTGCTATAATTTTTACGAAGGTATTCCTTTCGATCTGGAACAGACTGCGGATCCAAGGGCTAGAGCATGCAGCAGGCAAAAATATGGGAGGAAAAGTATAATGCCAAAAAAGACGAAATGTATGGTGGATATCCACAATCTCTTCAAATGTTGATACCTACAATTAAAATAAGATTCACTTGCATATTTTTCAAGTAGATAGTGGATGTCCACCGTCTACCGCAATTTTGCGTGTGACGGTGGATATTTACCGTCCAGTTCAAATTTGCGCCTGACGGTGGGTACCCACCATACCTGGCTATTTCTGAGTGGACGGTAAATATCCACCGTCACGCGCAAAATTTCTGAGTGGGTGGTAGATATATAATGTCACACGCAAATTTGCGCGTGACGTGTGGATATTTACCATCCAGTCCAAATTCGCACCTGACGGTAGCTACCCACCATACCTGGCTATTTTTGAGTGGACGGTAGATATACACCGTCCACTGCAAATTTCCGCGTGATGGTGGATACACACTACATCCTCCTATTTTTCAGTGGACGGTAGATATCTACTGTCCAGTCCAACTTTCACCCGGCGGTAGGTTCCCACCATACTACCTGCCTATTGCGTGTCACCGTGATGGTAGACACCCACCGTATCTCCATTTTTTTTATAACTTCAAGTGGACAGTGGAACTTTGCTCAGCGGATGGCCACCGTATAAGTTATAGTCATCACTAATAGTAGTCCTGACTGATGCCTGCCGGCTGATATCAACTTGATCATAGAACAATGTATCACTTTTTCACTATACTACGTGCAAGGTAACCCGAAATGGTGTACCCATCATCACTGATGCACTCTCAGAACTGTTGTTTTCAGTGGATGCTTCACATTTACGAGCCACAACATCAGTAATTGAGCAAATCAGTTTCCATGGGTTTCTCAACCCTGGCAACCTCCGAAAACCACTAAAAACCTCGAAACATTGAAAAATATTGAAACTTGGCAACCTATGTTGCCTTTGGTGGAAACCCACCGCCCAAATAGCATAATATATACACGATCACTAGTCCCTGACCGGAGAAACCCTTAGACGATTCCTTTTCGGGTTTCCGGACACCCCGGCAACTTCCAAAACCAGTAAAAACCCGGAATCTATTTTGCCATGTTACTGATGAAGTAAGGTAATTATCGTGGGAAAACAGTATTTTGTAATAATTATGCGCGGCAGCAACTCGGCAAGTGGACAAATAACGGTGTTTGCCGAAAAAACGAAGCTGACCACTCCCTGTTGCCATAGTTGATGACTTCAACTCATCATTTGATGATCAAGCCGTTTTTTTCTTTCGCGATTTTGGTTTACTCATTGTAATGTTCATGTAGGCTTCTTCGGCTACGTGGTCGACGACCAATTGCTCCCCTCAAGTGACCGGTTGACCAGATTTAGTCTTGGGGAAAGAAAATCGGGCACTCAGAACTTGTCGTCTGTGGCCAGCTAAAGACTACTTTAGTGCTACGCCGACTCTGCGACGACGAAGACTACGAATGGCGCACTGGCAGAGAGTGTGTGGGCTGCGTCGATAGGGGATAAGCCCGATGGAAGGAAAGGAGATGGGTGGGATAGGTCTCCTTACTTACAAGGTGAGACTTGGCTCCGAGCAATAGACTTGTATTTGACAAAAGGAATCAACTCAACGCTTTGCCATTCCAGATGGACGCTATACCACCAAAATACCAACCTGGATCTCTTTTGACCGTCAAGCTCTCTGCATCGCACACGGCTACATTCATCTCTGAAAAAGTCGTAACGGCGCCCATCTCCTCAAGCCAAGTACTCGTCGTCCGTCCTCAAAAAATACCACAAGGCCTATCCCCACCTCTCTCCTTCGACTCCTGGTACATCTTGAAAATATATGACCCGCGGTATGTCACAGCCTTGCGGGAACGCTGCTACTGCCCACGCGACGGCAGACTACTCCGAGAAGAGCGGCCGTGGTCGTTGGAAGCTGAGCTCAAAGCCGCTGCATACCGCCATTCTCTCAGCCTACAAATATGGGAAGACGACCCCATGCTCGATTATTCAGACGATTTGGAGCCGGAGGTGGTTTGGGAGTTGAGATATTATCGACTGGCGAAGTGGGCTTGGGAGAGCGAAGTTGATGCATATCAAGTTTTGAACAAGACAAGCCTTGCGGGTGTGGATGTACCCCATTTTTATGGAGCGGGAGATTTGAATCTGGGAGAAGAAAGGCGGGCAATCGTACCGAGGGTTTTGGTGGTTGAGTATATTGAGGATGCGGTGTCCTTGCATGACCTCAAACTTGGCGGGGACCTAGGTTTCCTGAAAGCATGGCACGTCAAGGCGTTTGAAGACGTGTTCAAGAGGATAAATAAGGAGGGAGTTACGCATGAAAAGGTGTTCTCGCACAATCTTTTGATTGCGCCCAAGAGGGTTGTCGTGGTTGATTTTGGAGGGGCAAGTGTACGGTGGCAGGGATGCACAAATAAGCAATGGGCGAGAAAGGTGGATGAGGAGGGGGATTCGGTTGCAGTGGGGAAGGTGGTCAAGAGGATTGTCGGGAAGGAGGAGTTTGAGTGGTTGATGAGTTTAGAGGTGGAAGGCGGTGTCAATTAATTTCATTTGAGATGTCTGGTGGATAGCCTTTTATCTGGATTTTTCGATGACACCGCATTAGTTTCAAAGTGATGGACATCTCTAAAAATCTGCCAGGGTCTCCTACTGATTTATTGCAAGAAAAACCGTTGCCATGCCTATGTATAAGTATCATCACGACGATGGAAGATTCTGCCAACAGAGACATGTAACGCTTCTTGTACCAATCTTCTAAGTACGGCGGTCTAAGGTAACTGGCACAGTCTCAAGGTATGATATATGACCTCCGTTGTAATCCCTACCGAAAAAAAAGGGTATAGTATTCCCGCAAGCAGCTTCATCCTAACTTTTCGTAGGCATCTTCCTTGAAAAAATCCGTTGGAAAATACTGGGAGGACGGCGGGCGAGTTCTGGAGGACAGTTGGGTATCGCGGCAATCCCTTGCCGAGCCAGTTCATTTTGCGTGCGACGGTGGGGGTACGATCGGAGGAGTGTAACGATCCACAGTTCATTCTTGCTCGCAACACGAGAACGTAATTTCCTATCGCTCAAGCGAACACATATATGTTCGAAACGCTCCATGACTTCATCCATAGTCGGCCTGTCTTTTGGATTCTCCTTGCACATATCCTTCACGAGACGTCGCATGAAATCAAATCCCTTTTTAGGATCCACATGTTCATCACCCTAAAGACAGAGGTTATGAGTTTCAATGGCGACGAGAAATCGACATACGCACGTCCAGGAAAACGGACTGGATCAGGTGCCCTATACAGTAGACATCAACGGCAAATGGATCGCAAAGTTCGTCCTTCTTGAATTCTGGGATTGTCCCATCGCCAGCGCCCCATCCCGGAGGTTCCAGGCGTTCTTCAGGTGGAGCTGACAGGTCGTATTTCTTTGCGACGCCAAAATCTATGAAATAGTACTTCACAGGCGCCAAAGTGCGAGTGGTATGCGAGGGAGCGGATCGAAAGTCACGAGCTCGATGAGGCCGGAGGGGGTGGGGAAGTACCGAGTATAGACCTGTAGGGTCCATCAAGAGGTTATCATACTTGCAGTCTCTGGGGAAAAGTGAGTTTTCTATCTCACCCGGAAAACTGAAACGCACCGGTGCGCTACACCGTTGGTATGCATGTATTGAAGACCCTGAATAGTATAGCATCAGATTAAGAACAGCCGCATGAAGTCGTGACGATGCTCACCTCAAATACCTGATGAAAGAAGTCAACGACCTCTCCAATTGTGTTGAATTTCGGCTGCTCCCAACTCTGGAGCAAGGGCATCACTAACAGTTGAGTATCTTCTTCGTCAGGCACGTCGAGAATGGTGGTCGGGATGCAGTGATTTTTCGGGTTGGAAACGTGGGGCTCGCTAGAAAACATCAGCGAGATTTCTGATTCAGAACTTCCCGAAGAACGGTGAAATTTTTTTAGGATGACATGTTTGCCGTCATGGATTCGCGTTGCGTCAAGCAGGCCCGAAAACTAAAATGTGTGAATGAAAATATCCTCAAAAGACTCGTTGAGTTCGTACCCCCATGATGATGCCATCTTCACAATCACGATATTGCAAACTCTTGTTGCGCACCCAAGAGGCTTTCCAATCAGGCAGATAGCGAGGCCTGAGGAGGTATCCACATTCTTTCAACCAAGGTTGGTGATCACGCCAAAACAGCTCGGGTTCGAAAAGTATTCCCTCCGCTGGATTTTCGACACGCGCCATCCGAGGTTACAGAGAGGGCTCGCGGCAGTTCAAGAGTCAGAGGACAAACAAGACCAGAACAAGACTGTCGTTGAATGACAGGCGACCGCGGCAGCAATAGGTTCCTAGTTGCGGGAGCGTGGCATTCTGCACAGCCTCGCAAGCAAACTAAGCAAACGCCGTTTGAACGCCGTCTTGAGTCTTGACAAGGCAATCCCACGATGTCCAGCAGGTGTCCCTGATCATCGACCCACCATCAATCATCAAGCTCAAGGCAGAACAACAGGTCGCCAAGTGCACGAACCTGGGCGGAAAACGAAGACCGCCTGGCTTCAATAAAACCACTCCCTCAAGTGCTACCAGCCCCAAGCGCAACTTGTGAACATCCTCTACATTCTTGGTCTTTTGAGGCATGGACAGTCGCCAACTGCCTCTCGCTTCTTCCTCTACGGCGACACTGGTTCCCCACCCTTTCGCTTCATCCTCCACTACGCTGGTACCCAGTTCCACCGACGATGTATCAGCCAAGGAGGGGTTGAAACGTCGTAAAGTATCGAACTCCTCCCTGAACGCCGACTTCGATGATCCGGACCAGTCGCCCGAGTTGCCTACCTTCCCAACTGCTGACGTCTGTGACGCTTCAAGTTCTTTCAAACCGGGCAACGTTGACCGCGCATTTTTTCCGCTTCGAGTCGTTGGCAATCTAGCATTTAGCCGCCCCCCAAAAGCTGCGAAAATGAACGAAAAGGGGGAAGAACTTCGGCACAGTTGTTTGAAGCTACAATCTACCCACGCAGACGCTATCTCTGCGTCCACACTCACACTATTGAAAGGGAGACAAGTCGAGTAAGTCCGTTGAGTCTGGCCATGCAGATTTTAATGACGACCTTCCTGTGCAGCCTGGAAGAAGAGGCCGAGAGATTGCGCAAACAACGGGATAAAGCTGTCAAATCTACAGCAAACTGGTACGATCAGCAGTGCATTAAATATAAGGCACACAAAGACGAAGTCGTACTCTATAAAGAGACTAAAGCGCATCATAGGCAAACCAAGGTGAGAAATCATGTCTTGTGTTCTACAACCTGTGAAAACTTACTTGATCTTCGCATTTCAAAAGCATGTTTCAGAAATGGCCATGCGGTCGAAAATTGACATGGCCATTGGCGGCAAAGAGTCGTTTCCTGACGGGGAAAAAGGAAAGAGACGTGCCCGGGATGATTTCAGTCTATTATCGCGCTTCAAGACAAAATCCTACCGCTCAACCCACCTGGAAGTATGAGCCAATGAAAGGGCCGGCTGGTTAGTAGGCCTCAATGCATAGAACAACGTGAAGCGGCGGTTTTAGCTATGCCATGATTATCGCAGGCGGTACATTTCGAGTCGCACATTCTTCAACATGCACAGATGTCATTGTATATGGGGTGCCTGTTCCGAGTTTGTAAAACGGAATTCCCTGAGATCGCGAAGGAGCTTTCAAACTGTAAAAAGATTTCATTACGTAGAATGTGGAAGCGCTGTAGTTATTTAAACCTTGACTTTGCCAGAATTATACCATTTCTATATCACACTCAAAACCGAAGGTTATTGTCCATTTAACCTCCACAAATAGTAGAACGATGCGCTTACCAATATATGTCATTGTTTTCGCAATCCCACAAGAAAGCAGGTCATTCACATGAATTTGTCTGCAAATTCCTCTCCCCACTTATGTTGCAGGCGCGCGAATCGGAAAGCTCCGAGCCCCAGAAGGGTGAATCGCAAGTCGCGGCGGACAGTTGCGGATTGAGGCGACTCCTTGACGAGCAAATTTTGGGACGGCGAGGATAAGACCGTGCGAGCGCAAGTTCAAGTTGAGTCCACAGCTTCCACTTGCTGGCAACGCAAGAGCGTAACGTCAAGCGAACACAAGCTTTCTATGCTCCACAGCTACATGCATGATGGCTTGTTATACGTGGGGTTCGTTGCACGCAAAATTACTGTGATTGCGATAATCTCTTGGGTTCAACTGGAAGTGAAAACAGGGGTTAGATGCAATGTTCCGCAAGTATTCTCAACGGAAACGATGAGGGAAATAATTTCTAAGCGATTCCTGGGACAGAACTGAGTAGTGGGTCAGACTTGATAGGGAAGGATCCGTGGAGGCGATGGCAAAGGAACGAAGCGCCGTGATTTCAAATGTGTCTAAATAAGGTTATGTATTGACGCCTGTTTGGATTTCTTTGCCGTCTCGCGGCCAATTTAAATGAAAGGCTTGGCGCGTCAGCTCATCCCCATTTTTGATTTTGCTTCCCCCCTCGGATTCAACAAATGTCGCGTCCTGGAAAAGCTCGCACGAAGCTTGAAATTCATCAAGAACGGGTGAGTCTGTCAAGCCATGTCTTGAGGTCTGCGGACCCGTTGCTCAATCACTTTGAAGACGATTTTCTCCCAAAAGAGCGAAATCGCGAGGTTGAGAAAGGCCTTACGCGTTTTCTTGGCTGAGGCTGAGGGATCTGAAGACGAAGATGACTCTTCTTCGGATTCTGAGGCTACGTCGATTGCTTCGGATGAAGACGTGAAAAAAGAGGAGGGGGAGGAGGGAGAAGACTCTGACGATTCTGACGACTCCCTGCCGACACCCATTTACAACACTCAGAACGAAAGTTGGGATGATGACTATACCCCCCGCTGTGTTGAATGCCACGGAGAGGTCGTCGAGGGACATTGCGCGTGCTGCGACAAAGAGCATGGCTGGGACCCGGTACAGTTTGCCCCCTATTTGCGCTATGTATGATCTCTTATGAAGAGCGCAGAAGCTGTACGAAGTATCCCACTCCACGGAGTCCCATGCAATTAGCACCTCCAGGAGTCGCGCGCCACGAAGCACGACGCCATTACTACGCAGGTCTAAAATCAAGGTAGCTCAACCTCCCAACGTCTACCTCCGTCGCATGGACGAGTACACTCAGCTCCTCCGACGAGGCGCTACCCGTCTCATGTGCGAAACGTTCCATCTCGAATTCACCAAAGAAGACGGAATCTTCGCCTGGGCCGACCAGAACCTATATGAGGAATTTTCAGGGCCGCTCATGCAGCCTGGGGATTTTTGGAAGATCCACCTGGGTGGCCGAATCGAGTTGGATGAAGATGACCTCGACGGGGCGCAGTTTCTTGAAGAGTTATTAGAGGACGCACTATATTTCGCGAACCACTTGATACCATGGGAGACTGTGGAGGAGACTCCGGGAATCTGGGTGACGCGGTTGGCGAAGAAGGGTTCGATGGCTAAGATGCTGGAAGATTCGGAGGCGATTGAATTGAAATCGGACGATTCAGAGGGGAGTGACGAGGAACTTGAGGATGAACAGGCAAAGTTGAAAGACGTTCAGCCTGGACCTATTCGGGATTTGGAAGAGTATGACAAGGAGGGTGATGAGGTGGAGGAGGATTTCGAAGATGAAACGTCCGACATGCTCCTGGACGATCCTGGGTGGGCTACAAGGGCGAACATTTGCGATTCGGGATATCCGAGTGACTCGGAAATGGACGAGGAAGAGGACGACAACACTCTTCCTGATGTGGCTCTCGCGGGCGAAGCCACGGCTGACGACGTGGAATTTGTCCAGTCGGATTGCGATAGTGACTTTGATTCTGACACTTGAGTCGAGCGTAACTATGTATGTATATTATGCCATGTACCTCCATCTCGATATCAAACTAAAACGAACGTGTTCAATAGTTCGTCCTAATTAGGGGAACTGCTCCGTTCTCGAAACGACGCGTTATTGACGCGAGCACTGGTAGAGTCAAAATTTCCGAGTTAGAGCTTGAATAAAAAAATTCAAGAAATTTCAACATGTCGGCAGAAATTTCAACTTAGGTCCCGAAATATGTCAAACAATAAATCACATTTCAATCCAGCCAAACGACGTCCAAACCCTGACCTCCACGAAAGAAAACCCCCTGAATAATGATACAGTGAAGAACGAAAGATCCCCTCCATAATACATCATGCACCCCGAGTGTTGAAGCAACACAAAAAAAACTCCTTCAAAATCATGTAGGCCAAGGCGAGTCATACGACCGTAAATGTGATGTGTGGGTAGGTCTACAAGAGAAAGTGTCGTGTCAGTAAAGGGTATTCAAATAAAAATGAGAAAATGGCGGACGTACATGATAACGAGTGGGATGCGTTCAGGCAATAACACAGTAGGCGTTGTTTCCGCTGCCTCCATCCTCGGAGTTGGTGGGGATGTCGGAGGTGTTACAGATGGTGGTGAAAGAATCCATGTGTATGATATTTAGGTCGATTTGAGCCTAGAGAAATACGGCGACTGGTGCTGGATTTTATACCTTGCCGGTGTTCAAATTCCGGCAACTTTCGATGTGCAAGGACCGTGCCCTGCTAAATTTGCTTTGACCGTGGCGATAAATCCTGTTGTGACCAGACTATGAGGTTGTAGTCTTATTGTTGAAAGTAAGTACTTTATACCGAGACACGCTTTACATTAGGCGATAAATGGTGTTTGACGATTTTGCATCGTATAACTTTTTGAAAACAATAACACCACCACTTCTGGGTAGATGCGCTAAAGTCAAAGCACAGGCGCCAAGTTGGCGCCAAGAGGCGGCGAATAGGTTAGTTGAAACTGAAACGGTGTAAGTCCAGCCATATTATCTTGGTCGCGGTCGCGTCACCTGTCGGCTCAATGTCGGCTCACATGCTCTATGAAAGAATCGTGAGGCCTGATAGTCATGACACTACACAAACGTGCATTTCTAAAGTGGTCTATGCGAGGAGCCTATGGAAAGTAATAAAATTGAGGCTTTCATGACATCGTCGAAAAAGAACTCAGACAAAGAAGAAAAAAGATGGCTACCCCCCAAGAGATCAGCTTTGCCCGTTTCATACTCTGTATCCTCTCACTGCAAAAATGGTCTACTGACAAAATTCCGATTTAAGATACAAAGGGTTGTTGACATGTTGGCAGATCGGTCAACTCGTGTTCAACTCAAAAGCCCGGAATATTCCAAAATAAATCACATTGCAATCCGGCCAAACGACGTCCAAACCCTGACCTCCCCGCAAAAATCCCCAAAGTAGTAATACAAGCACAGAACGAAATAATCCCAAGAATAACCCCTCCATAAATATATCTCCCGAGCGTTGAAGCAACGCGAAAAAACTCCCTCAAAATGCGTGTAGTAAACCAGGGCGAGTCACACGGCCGTGAATGTGATGTGTTTGGGTCTAAAAAAAGTGTAAGCGCATTTGAATAGAACGACAGAACGGCGGAGCGTACATGGTAGTGAGTGGGGTGCATTCAGGCAATAACGCAGTAAGCGTTGTTTCCGCTGCCACCGTCATCGGAGTTGGTGGGGATGTTGGAGGTGTTAGAGATGGTGGTGAAAGAATCCATGTGGATGATGTTTAGGTCGATTTGAGCCTGGAGAAATACAGTGAGTCGTGCAGGATTTTATACCTCGCCGGCGTCCAAGCCCCGGCATCTTTTGAGTGAGGGCCAAGCGTGTCTAAAATTAGTTTAGGTTGCTTTGTCCTTAGTACTTACGATTGTTGCTGCTTAAATTCACGCCTCGTCGGATGACGTGGTGGTCTTATTGTTAAAAGTGAGGGCTTTGCATTGAGGAACGCTTCACAATAAGAGGTGTTATCAATGATTGACAGATTCGCGATGTGTACCTTTTTTCAAAACAATAAGGGTAATTCGCGTAGACACGCGAAAGTCAAAGCACGCGTGTTAACAGACGGCGAATTGGCCACCTGGAGTAAAATATTGCCAATGGCAATACAGGGGGTCAACTCACATGTCAGACGATATTAGAGTCATTTCGGCCGAGGGAGCCTTGTGGCCTGGAGTGAGGTCTCATCAACGTCCCGCATCATGCTGGTTATGTCGGAGGCTTAGTAGTCCTGAAATTATGGTAAGTGTTTGAAACGGGGGGAAGCCAAGGGGAAGCAAAGATTAGCGTTCATCGAGAAACGTAAAAAGGAGAGAACGTATCCAAAATATAACTTTACAAGTTTAAGTAATGCCTTTGGAGGGTTCCGGCTTCTGCCTCAGAATAGCGGTGATGCGTATCGTTATGTCTGACTTTTATGGGGTAATATTAGTATTTCACGGACCTGGATTTGTGAACGTGATGCCTGAAGGAAACGGAAAACTACCAAGATACGCCATCCTATCTCCCAACCAATTCTGAGGCATTCCGACACCATCGAGAATATCGACCATTGGCTCGTCAGAGAGCTTGGTGCTGCGAGCACGGTCCTGTTGCAGAACCTTGGCGGTGAGGCCGGCGATGATTCCGGCGCCAGGACCGGGTTTTACCGACACGCTCTCAACTTACGACCTCGACAAAGTGCAAGTTGGAAGCGTCACTCGATGGTTTAACGGATAATCGACCTTCTCTGGTAAGTTTCCTATATATATAAAGTACATGATACGTTCATTATCACTTTCTTTCCTTCCCCCGAGTCACCCGTTCCTTCTACTTCCCACTCCTTCCACATCTCGTTCCTTCCACATCCCGTTTACTGCCTGCGGCCCACTACAATCTTTCATTTCCCACATTACAATGGTCTCGCTGACGCGACTTCTACTAGCATCCGCCTTGATTACCCTCTCCACGATCGTTCCCACTGTTCACGCCCTTAGTACCGGATTCCCTTACGAAACGCAAAAAATCCGCGGTGTCAATCTGGGCGGATGGCTCGTTCTTGAGGCTAGTTGTCCCCTCGCATATAGTCATGACGGAATCTATAACGACGCGTCCCTCAGCGATGGCTCAAGCCTTCCCTATTCGAGGCAACGGGAAATCCGTCCCTTGTTGACGAATGGTCCTTCTGCGAGAGCCAAGATCGGGAGAAAGCTACACAGGCTCTCAAGCATCACTGGGACACTTGGATTACCGAGGCTGACTTTAGGGAGATGGCTGCTGTTGGGTGCGTTCCTTTTCTTCCATATTGACCCGAGTCTGACAACATGGATAGACTCAACCACGTACGACTCCCCATAGGATATTGGGCATTCGAAACTGCCCCTGGAGAGCCGTACATTAGCGGTCAACTGCCATACCTCGAGAAAGCCGTGGAATGGGCTGGGAAACATAATATCAAAGTTATCATTGATCTCCATGGTTCTTGCTGACCTATCTTTGACGTATTTTCTTGATTTTGCTGACGATTACACGCATATAGGCGCCCCTGGAAGTCAGAATGGGTGAGTTTGTTCATTGTCGTATCCATCTTCTGCCTCAAACCATTTCTATCTAGGTTCGACAATTCCGGCCATAAACAGAACGCTCCGTGCGCATATATTTCACTTTTTTTGCCGTCACTAATTGATCAGTTCTTAGCGAGTGGCATACCTCTCAGTCCTATATTGACCGAACCAATGCGATCATCCGGAGGATTGCGATAATGTTCAGAAACAGGACGGGCGTGGTAACGGCTATCGCTCCTCTGAACGAGCAAGCCCATTTCATCTTAAACATCACCCTACTAACACAAATTTCAGGCCTGCTGGGTTTTACAGTCAGGACGTCGTCGAAGTCTCAAAGCAGGTACGTCTTCCGCTAGCTAGTTAGAATATCCTCAACCGATTTACTTCACCGATTAGTATTGGAAGACTAGTTACGAAAGCATCCGGTGAGCATTCTCCCTGCTATTGGAGCACATCTTGCGAATTGGCGCTTTCCAGCCATTCTAAGAGCAAAGCCGTCACGATCATACACGACGCCTTCCAGCCTCTGGAAAATTGGAATGGATTCATGACTGGCCCGGGATACGAAGGTTCAATGCTGGACACTCATATTTACCAACTATACTCGGTGGCGGTGAGTTGGTCAAACCTGGCACTTCATCCATTTTGAATTTCGCGACAGCAAAATCGCTACTCTGAAGCCGAGCACATCGTTGAAGCCTGTGATACTCGGAACAGACTCCAGTCCAAAGATCACCTGCCCGTTGTAGTGGGCGAATGGTCGGTAGCTCCCAACGATTGCGTGAATCGCCAATTGGGGTATAGGTCGATGTATGATGGCTCCTACCCTGGTTCTACCCGCGTCGGATCATGCGAAGGCCTATCCGGCGACAGCAAGACTTTCAGCTCGAGCTACAAGGCGTTCCTCCGGAAATATTGGGAGGCGCAGACGATGTCGTATGAGAAGGGTCAAGGCTGGATAATGTGGACGTGGAAGACGGAGACGGCAGATGAGTGGAGCTATAAGGCCGGGTTGGCTGGTGGCTGGATACCGAGGAACCCGACGGATTATAAGTATCCCAGAATTTGTGGGTGAAGACTAACAAACATTTCATTTTCTTACGAACTATTAACATACCTATGAACGCTCGTTTACGATACACAATACTAATTTACAATTAGGAGCGGGTTGGGAGACTCGCAAAGTACGCGTTTGACGTGCTCAGCATTTTTGAAGCAGTCGAGCTATGCCTTGGCCGTGTTATGCGTCCCAGTGGCCTCTCTCTATGGTACTTTTGCTGTGTTGCAATCGTTTTTGTTCACATTCTGCATCTGGAGTGTGCCATATCTGTTGCAGTTCAAAGGCTGTCGGTCAAACAAAATTGGGCGTCTTTGTCATGTTCGAATTATGTATTGCGTTGTCTACATCGATGCCTTGCCTCTAGTTTCATACGGAAGGAGAAGCGCCAAACAGCCAGCAGAAATAACAAGACCGCCTGCAATGTACACAGGCGCGGTGGTCATGATATTAGCATATAGCGCGATTATTGGCGCCTTGAACGACATGTCAGCCAGCTTCAACCACATGACTTCAACAATAGCAATGCTCACGATTACTCCAGAAATTCGCGTCGCTGTCCACACCAACCCATTCCCCGTGCCTCGGTCTTTCGCAGGAAATATTTCAAAAGATATGGTGTGGAGAACTCCGTACATTATCTGTTGGTATATCAATTTTAGATATAAAAGAATTTTAGCGTACATAGAATGCACTCACGCTACTGTTAAATACATATCCACAATTCCACCCAAGTAAAGCGTTGGAACTTCGAGCTGTTGTACTTGCGAACAGAAAGGCGCCGGTAAGTCCTGATTGGGTGTTGAATAACCGAAATAGGATCTGTAATGAACGACTTGCCCGATGAAATTGCTATTGTACCTCTACGCCCGATCCATGTAATTTCTACTGCCCATCCTGCACAGAAAGCGGCAGGCATGCCCAGGAAACTTAATATCATTTGCTACAAGGATTCTTCAGAATGGATTTGACAAAAAAAATGCGCGGATACGTACGTTGCGATATGTGATGAACAAAGATGCGTCGCCGAAACGGGCCCCACGGCTCGCGAGCCTTGTGAAAATCAGCAAACTGGAACAATGAAAAATCGAACGACCTACAGAAAAGGTAGGAAACTGTCGTATAATGTTGTGGCAAGACCAACAATACCTATCACAGATCGTAATTAGTTGGAATGAGGCGAACAAGGGCGAGAGTACCTACACCAAAGAACGATCAACAGTGACGTCGAATAGGCCATTTTCCGCGTCGAAAATAATGCCTTGACATGCTTTGTGGTGAAAGCCGACGTCTGACTCATGATGCCTCTCGACTTCTTATCAGGGCCTTTAGTATCCGCCGAGATGTTACCCACCCGTGTGAGTTCATCTAAGGTGAGCGAGGTCGTCTTGGAATTATAAGCCGCAATTTTGTGGATGACGGCTACAGCTTCGTCATCTTTCCCTACGCCTATTAGAAAGCGTGGGCTCTCAGAAAGATTGGAAGCGGCAAGGCGGATGATCCAGAGGAGGACAGTCAACCCGCCCAGAGTGAATAAGAGATACCGCCAGCCCATGTTCTCGGATTTATAGCAGGTGGTGGCTGTAATGGGGCAGGAGAATTTGGCGATCAAAGGCCAAGCGACCTGCGATTAGTTGAGGAACGAAATGGGGGTTGAAAAGATCATGGTAGTTACCAAGCTTATGAAGAATTGTCCGAATGACCAAAACACTGCTACGACGGCCAAGAGGTATTGATGTGACGCTGGAAGGAAATCTAGTAGAGTGGTGATTGACCCAGATGTTCACTAGCGCCGTACAAACTTCCTTACCTAAAAATATAGCAGAGTCTACAGGAAGGTTACCTAGTTCAGAGGGAGACGCTGTAAGCTCAAGATTAAAAGCAACTCTGGATCAAACGTTGCGTACCCCCAACGCCAATGCCGAGGACAGCGATCAACGACGCGAGCGTGACGAGATTTTGCGATCCACCAGCTGCCAGTCCAAATACCCCTGCTATGAACAATGTTGCGTTGAAGGGCCATCTGGGATCAGGGGGTCAGGGTACCGCGTGTCGGCCAGGACAGAGATAACAGACCGCCGTCCCCAAATGTCGCTTGCTAAGCCCCAGGTAACCGCGCCGACCAAAAAGCCAATATTAGCCGCGAGGGTGAGGAAGGGCGCATTGAAATGAAATTCTGCGACGACCGGGGCAAGGATCAAGCTAGTGGCTAACTGCATGAGGGGTTAATTTGTACATTAGCGTGTAAACGAGAGGCCATTGACTTACGGTCCATACGCTATCACTAAGTCACGAGTTTATGAGACGAATTGACGCGAAAAAAAGATCTGAGTGGACGTACGCAAAATAGCCGAATCCTGCAACGACGAATAAAAGGTACTGATATTCGTCAAACAACGCATCAACAACTCCAAAAAAAATAAGCAACGTACTTGGTATCTCCCCATTCCAATTTCTTCGATTGCCCGATTTAATATCTTCGTCTTTTCCTGGTATATTGGGTCTAATGTCCCATCTTCGTAGAGACCCGGTATTGGATTTGTTTCAGAAGACTTGTCAGTGGATTGAGACTCGGGATTTTCACCGACGACCGTATTCTTGGGATCGCAGGCGCTTGAAGATTCCATAAAGGACGGGGCAAGGAGGACATCTTGGCCTGAGGTGACTCGATAATAAAGAGTCGCTTCATAAGCTGTCATGTGTCCGCAGTTTAAGTAAGTATTTGGCCTTCTTTGGCCCTGCCGCAATCAAACAATAAAAACTCTCTTTTCAAAATGTGCCATGCTTGAGTACTACTTCATAGGATGGCCGGATGGACACAAAATGTCTATTTGAGTAATGGTAAGCATTTTTGTTGATTCTTCCGACAGGAAAAGCTAACTCGATCCGCTAAGTAATTGGAGAATTTGATCTTGTTTAACGACACAAAGCCTTGAGACTTAAGCAAGCCAACATGGCCGCAATGAACCCACGCGCCAACTGATTCGACCCTTCATGAGCGATAAGTTAGTCTCATCACCCAGAACGCTTTCTATCCGTACCTCTCGTCTGATTCTGCGCAAGGCTCGCGAGGACGATCTCGAAGATGTTCATGCCTTCTTATCACAAGAGGATGCCGTTAGATATTGGTATGTGCGCCGGAATGTATCAGCTGATTCAAGGTCTCAAAGAAATCTGTGTCTAGGTCAAGCAGTCCAGCGTACTCGAACCTTGCGCAATCCCTTGACTGGCTCGAAACGATGATAGCGTCTCCACACAATGGAGTCACAGACTTTGTCATCGAGCTCATAAATACCGACTACGGATCTACGTCAAAACCGAGGCCCGGCCCAGTCATTGGTAAATTAGGCTGTTGGGATAACACCGACGTTATCAGCTTTATCTTGAACAAGTCGTTCTGGGGCAAAGGGTATGCAGCGGATGCCTTACAAGCTTTTTCGTGGTATATGTTTGCGTTTACTGGAGAGAGCCAGGACGGGAGGAGGAAAACCCCAGCCGATAAGCTCATAGCCGATGTCGATCCAAGAAACAAACGTTCCCGGACGCTACTGAGGAGGTGTGGGTTTGTGGAGTTTGCAAGGGGCGGGCGGACGAGAAAGACGCATTTAGGATGGTGCGATAGCATTTATTATGAACTCACTAGAGAGCGGTGGGAGTTTTTGAACGGAACGTCCTCCGGGACATAGAGTCTATACCTCACCTTTTTTGTGCTGCTACGTTGAGTGGGACTGACCAAAATTTTACTCCCTTGAGAAAACCTATGAATTCCAGACACAGGGGAGAAATGGTGATTTGTCCAATGAGTAAATTACTGGACATATGTTGATTGGAGGCATTACTGCTCAATAATTTAGTTCACATTTTGTCAGGTGGGTAAAATCAAAATATGCCCAACATTAAACATCAACTGCAATTAGGATGTGCACAAAGGACCACATGAGAACTATTGGCAAAATGTGCATCAAATTTTCTCCAGCAGCTCATTCAATATTTGATTCCAATGTGCCCAGATATGATTAAATGTATTCAGAATATGCCCAATATTCCAAGACACATTTTAAGTATATTCACCAGCTTCATTTAGATTGTTACTAATGGGCATATTTTATATGTGACTACCATCCATAGTGTCTTTTTATTTCAGCTTTATTCTTGAATATATTTTAAATTTATCCTTTGTACAAATGTGAAGAAAATCATTGAGCAATAATGCCTCCAATCAAAATATGCCTAGTAATTTACTCATTGGACAAATCACTGTTTCTCCCCTGTGAGAGCGGTTTCGTCAAACATTACCTATATGAGAGTGTTCAGAATCCAACTCTCACTATGAAGTATATTTGTTGTTTAAATACACTGTACACAGGAGTAACCACTGCAAATTCTGACGGATAAAAGCAGACTTATTAGAACGAATTTGATGGATCTATCAGTATGGTTCTGGATGTCACTTTGCCATAGACAAGTCTGCTTAAAGACACTAGTTGGTTAGATACTTTTTTTTTTCAGTATAGTCCAAAATGTCCTCTCGAACCATGTCAGTAAAAAAAAAATAAGCTCATGAAAAGCCCCTTGCTCATCATCATTCTACACTTGCAAGTCACCCCTCCATCCTGTCATTATCATTATTGGTCTTATCTGAAGCCATGGCTTCCACTCAGCTTGGAGCCCCACATGAATCTACTTTTGCAGGCTGTTGTGTGGGGGTGGAGGTAGGAGCACTAGCAGCAGTGGCAACCAGAGTCTGTGTGCCAGTGGGAAAGTTATTTGGGTTGTCATAAGCTGGCAGAGTATCCTCCCATGAAGCTGGGTGCCACATAAAACCTAGTATAATATAACAAGGAGGACAGTTCAATTGGTAAAAAGAACCCTCTAGACATTTTGAAGGTAGATATTACTCATGTCTGTGTCACATTAAACTGGTGTTGTTGGTGCCATCAATACTCTCAACTTCAACACCATTTGTGTTATGGGAGTTGAAGTTCAAGACATACTCGCTGGTGTTGGTGACCATGAGGTTCCCAGGGATGTTGTTGAAGATTCCACCACTGATAATGATATATGTTGTTCCTTGGAAGAAAGGCATGGTAAGGTGAGGGATTAGTTAGAGAAGAGACGCTCCTGACTTCAAAACTTATAAGAGTCCACAAAGCAAACAGTGAGTCCACAAGCAAACAATATTATATATAACACTTGTTTATTATCTTTATTATGTGGTTGCAAGTCAAAGCACTTAAAGTGCTATGACAACCTTTGTAGTAGTACTGTAGAGAGCCTAGCATTGGAGCAGCATGGCTAGTAAAGAGGAAGATCATTATACACAAGGCCGACCAAGCTGACTTTTGAAAACAGCCATTATAGATTAGTGGGGATCCAGAGGTGCAAGCAGTGCATGCAGACCAGTGTCCATGGCTTGAAGTCCATTGAGTTGGTGAGGAATCTTGCAGTGATCAATCATCACCAGCTTTGGCTTTTTCAAGACTGTGCTGCTGCGGCCCGGCATTGACTGAATATGGAAGGTGGTTCTCTAAATTACTACTGTACTGTAAGCTCAAGCTCGAACTCTACTTATTGCTGAACTGCCACCCAAGATGTTCCTTCAACTTCCCCACTTCTTCCCCTATGGACTACCCAAGCCTTTCCCCCACAGAGGATGTTGTTGAAATGCCAGAGAACTCAGCCAATTATTCCTCTGAAGCAACCCTGGGTCTCTATGAGGATGGGGTACTAGATGCAGTTTACCAAGAAAAGAGGAAGATATTGAATCGTGCCATTCAGGAGATAGGGATGGGGAAGTATCAGGTACAGTAGATATTCTCACAATGCATATACTCATAATGCATAAATCTCATAATGCATGACATTTTTAGGGGACCAACTTGGTACGCAGGGATTTATGCATGGAACATCATATCGAATAATGCATATCATATTTTGGCATTATGCATTACCAGATCTACAGATTTACTGGGTATTTACCTGTTCACCTCATTGTACCTGAGTTTTTTAGGACCAAAGTCTACCCTGATATACCCTGTGTGCCACGAATACACTGCTCGAGAGTAGTATCCAATTTTGCCAAAACTTTTCTATCATTCTATGCCAGCTGCTGAGGAGAAGAAGCGGAAACCTCGAGACAGGCACAAGCCCTATGCACCTTGCGGAGGGAATGGAGCTGTGTGAGTGTTTGGTGTGTCATCCACTCAGAGGCTCACGGCGTGTCAACACTGCTTTTGCAACAATAATTGCGCAAATTGAGGCCTTATTGAGGGCTCATCTTCATGTTGTTCAAGTGAAATCAGCCCAACAAACTACTCTCAACTCTTTTTTCAGTAGTAACCTCTCTCCCATGGATGTCGATAGCCTGTAAATATGCAGTCTTTCCAGTTTTCGTCTCGCTACATAAAGGACATTTTGAAGTGTGACACTTTTTGGCTGAGGTCACAAATAGTCACATTTTGTGACATATTTCATCTTGCATAAATCTCACAATGCATAGAAAAAGTCGGGGACCGGCATTATGCATTGTGAGAATATCTACTGTATGTATATACTTTGTTAGCTTTCCAGGTGTTGAATACTGATACATTGCTGTGTCAGTATCTGTTATTTATTGTTGCAGGATTTGGGTGGTTCACATACGCCTCTTCTGTCCTTCCATTGTGGTGATGTTATCTCATCAATTTTAAAATCAGTGATAGCATGTGGCCTGTCAGTTTACTGCTTTCACATAGACATACTCAAAAGCTAGAACCTGACGTGGCATGCAGTTGATTACTGGCTTGATACTCACTCCCGTCATAGCTGAGTTCTGTTTCAATGGGCCCTTGCTTACCCTTGCAGAAAATATTGGACTATTGGTTGGTGCAGTCTTCTAGGGCTTAGGCAGTGACATATGGGGCAGATGGTCTGTTTCCACAGTGGCATTCAATGATACACACTTCCCTGATGAGTTCCTGTTTCCAGGTGGTCCTTCAATGCTACATTGTTAATAGCAGGAATATTTGGACTGGTGTCTGGCGGATCACATAACCTCACTATGCTCACATCATTGATTGCTGTTCTAGGAATCAGTGTTGGGGGTATGCCAGACTGCTCAGCCTTATCAAAGTTTACTCAAGATGTCCCTCTTTGCTGAACAGGTAACCTTCCTGTTGACTCTGCTGTTTTTCTAGGTAATTAGGATGATATTGGTAAGTTGTATTTGGGCTAATTACCCATCCACAGATTTTCTTCCGGCATCTCATCAATATCTCTTGACAGTCATGACGGTGTTCTGGTCTTTGGGGCAACTCTCTGCGAGCGTGGTAAGTGCTACACCTAATGTTGTCTCCAATCCTTTTTATTTTGTTACTTATTTAATAATAAGTTGCTTGGGTCTTCATCGCCAATTATTCCTGTTCTGTTACTGCCACGATTTGCCATAAATCTGAGAACATGGGCTGGCGATACCTCCTATTTATGCTTGGTGGATTGACAATCCTCCTCTGGGGCATTCGTCTCTTTGCTTTTGATCTTTGTGAGAGCCCCCACTTTCTTATTGGTGTAGGTAAGGATGAAGAGGTGGTAGCTGTCATTCGTAAAATCGCAGTCTACAATACCATCACAACTTCACTGACTCTGGATCAACTTGCAAAGGCAGGTGGTGTCTTAACAAATAAAAGGCTGGATAAGAAGGCAAGAGGAGTACTGAGCGAGACATCCAATTTTACTACCAACCATGTGAAGGCTTTATTTGCGACACAGAAAATGGCTTATTTGATGTCACTATTGATCATTCTTTGGGGTAGGTGCTTTTATTCATTTTTACTTACTATGTTACAATTTGTGGCAGGCATCACTGGCCTTGCATCAACTCTATACAACAGCTTTCTGCCATTTTTGTGAGTCTTTGTCGAATTTGGTCTTTCTGTTACTGAGTTGATAAGGCTTGCAAGCCCTGGTGTCAACTTTGGAGATGCTACTTTGACAGTCACATATCACAATGCAAGTCACTACACATCCTTGGATGATCAAGTCTCACAAACTCTAACAGCTACTGATACTGAGCTTGGTCAGCATGCCTGTGGCTTTCTGCATGGGGTGGGTGGTAGAACTTACATTCATTGGGTGCAGGGGCACCCTGGCTATCTCAACTGGTGAGCAAGGGGGTGGTGGAACGTGGATCCCGAACACTGGCTGGGAGGGGGGTCTGGCTGAAGGCTGAAAAAAAAATAGTGACCTGATAGATTTTTGTCACAAATTGAGCCTGAGCATCAGCCAATCGTCTGTTCTAGGCTCCATTCCTGAATCTGACTTCCCCACTCTACTTATCACCTCAGCTTGTCATACCTTGTACTGCTCCCAACTCCGCCTTCAACACCCTTGCATACTCCTATCAAACTCCTATACACCATCAACGATGACGCCAGCCAGGTTCTTATGATGTCTGCAATTGCGAAGAGAGTGTAGGTCATCAGAACGCCCATTGAGGCCAGTGACAGGTTGGACGTATAGATGAACCTTTTTTCTCATCAAGTACTCGCCACATCCAGGCCAAATTCGAGGCTCGAAAGAATGAAGCTTGTTCAAGGCCAATTTGAGGCTCTTGATGGCGAAAGCACTGACAAAACCTCTTTATACACCATGAATAAAATTTTCTATGTAACAAATTTGCAAGTAAATATGCTGTTAATAATAACAGTCTCTGAAACTCACTGTGTTTGCTCATGTATGTTCATCCATGCAAACCAGAACATCTTCAACTGTTATTTGAAAGTTTGTGACTTCTCAGTTTAGGTGGGGGCTGAGGCTGTAGGTGCAGGATTTTTGGAAACACAGGACCATGGGACAAAACAACATTTTATAAAACATTGGAAGTTGGAAAACATACCTTATATAGTAGGAGGGGGAGGGGGAGAGGTCAGCCAAATCCACGAGAAAAAAATAGGGAGTGTTGGTACATTTTCCATGTTCTGCCACCCCCTTGCTGGCGAGTAATCTTTTGCACGTCTTTTTTCAGCTATTTGAAGATCAAGAAAAATTAGAGCTGACTGGAATATTTCTCTTTGCAAGCACAACCACCTGAAGCTCCAATGCTCTTCTGGGATGGAATTGTGGGTATGCATTCAACGGTAATGTAAGTGTATTTCATGTGTTTCCAATACTATCCAAGCTGGAGTATCAAGCAGATAATGTATGGGGTTCTCTATGCCATTTCTTCAGAAATTTTTCCTGCCAAAGATTGAGGTACAGGGAATGGGTTGGTGTCAACAGCTATGCGAGTTTTTGGAGTTGTCGTGAGCATCGTTATCCGACATCGTGTGAAGGCTTGCTTTATCCTGTTTAAGGCGCCAATAATTGCGCTATGCGCTAACATCACAACTGCTGTGCCCATGTACATTGCGGGTGCTCTTCTCATTTCTGCTGGTGCTTTGACACTTCTTCTGCCCTACAAACCTAGGGGAAAGGCATCAATGTAAACAATAAATGCGGCTTCCAGCTCTGGCAGGGAAACCCATAGAATACTATGTCATCATACCAACAATGAAGAACATTTTCGTGGAGGGGAGCAGTATGGTTCTATCTATATAGAAGGGCACAATGTTTTTAGGCTTTTTGATGGCTGAGTAAGCTGACTCAGTGATGACTAAGGCTGACAAATTCTTATGTCAGCTTCCTCCCATGTGTCTTGGGGGGTCCAGGGGGCTTGCCCCCGGCGAGCTGTGACCCATGCTGAAGGAACGGCCGAGCGCCGTGCCGTAGGCATGGGTCTAAAGCTCGTTTCTAGGCTCATGTGCGGTGTCTGGAGGTGGCTTATGTACATATATAGGACATAATTATGTACAAATGCGGATGTACCCTATAAGGTATCCGTCACATGTAACGTCACACATAATCGACGTTGAGAGCGTTGGAGAGCAACGTTTGCTCTCCAACGCTCTCTCAAAACACGGGCGGTATCTGGATATCGCCCGTGTTTTGCTTGATTTTCATGTTCCCTACACATACCCATCTCACAAGCTCGACTTCCGACCTCGCCAGGCGCGAGACGACCGCCGCCAAGATTTCGTCGCATCAACACGATCCGTCAACATCTCGACATGTTGAGACATGAAGAAGAGGTTCAACATTGGTTGGGCGGGCATGCGAGCACAAGCGGAGCGATAATAAGGCTCTGCGGGGTCATTTCAGGTGCGTAGCCTACGCGAGGAAAGCAAATCTGCTTTCCTCGCATCCATCTCTTCTAACATCTGTTTTTATTTCTACAGGCTTTGTAACGGCACCCACTCTGGTCCGTTTGATGCACCAACCATGCCACCCTTACCTGTTTGCCACCGCCTAACGCGCCGGTCGACGTGCGCCCGTCGCTTGGCATGTGTGCCTCGCATCCGATGCACACATGCCCACCACCAAAACCATTCGACTCCATCCCCATCGCAAACGCTGCAGATACTACCGTCATCCTCGCCATTCAATCACATTACCATCGCCAACTACATTGCCGCCATCAAACTGTGTGTACACCCATGCATCCCCGTCAACTTTGTTCACCCCCTATGATCACACTCCCATCACCGACAACGTAGCCGCCTGCATGCTCACGCACAATCATTGGTCAACGGGGATGCACAATCCTCGCCCCTCGATCACATTCCCATCGCCAAGTACGTTTCCACCCATCAAACCGTGTGCGCATGCATGATCGACGCACAGGTGCATCCCCGGCAACTTCGTTCACCCTTCGATCACACTCCCATCGCCGACAATGTAGCTGCCCGCATGTACATGTATAATCGATGGTCGACGGGGATGCACTTGTGCATCCCCGTCGACTTCGTTGTCTACCATCGCCATCACAAACAATTTAGCTAGTTGTATGCCTATTTCAACGAGCCATTTACCTACCCTTTTACCAGTTGTACGCGAATCCGATCGTCTGTCTACTTTTACGTTCGATTCCTGTACTGTATGTATTCAACAAATAATAATTCTCCACTTTTGAGTATACAGAATGGCCTTGTGTTTATTGTGTGGTGTTTATGCAAGTACTCTTTGTCTTGAACCACGATCTCATTCCCATCTACAGACCATCTACAACCCAAAACTTGCCTCAAAACACAAATACTTCAATGTCAAGTGGCCATGGTGGATTCCGAGTAGGTTCAGGGCGGAAGCGGAAAATATCAGACGAATCTGCAGAGACTGAGGATGGAGCACAACAACGTCGTCGTCTTGGTGCGCCCACTAACTTCTCAAGTGAAGAAATTTGAGATCAACCCCTTCCTCTCTCTACCCAGAATCTCTATCTGCAGTTACAACATTATCAGGCCCAATCATGGTCAACCAACCCAAGACGAATTCACAACCACGCCAAATTCACCCTTTCTTTTCTAAGGTGGCTAGTTCTGGTTCTTCATCAGCTGCTACATCTGGGTTACCTTCTGGCACCTCTCAAATATCTCCAGTTAGCATAGATCTTATGGCCACTGCATCTCCAGCAGCTCCTTTGAACAGCTTCATATCTGCTGAGAGTCTCTCCACCCTTCATGCAGAGTTTGCATCTATTCCTGATCTTGTGACTGGTACTACTCCTATTGTGGAGAGCATACTTGATCTAGAAAATGAGAATGACATTGAGGATGATGATTCTGATGATTCCTCTTCTGGGGATAACATATCTGGGAATACTACGTCTAAAGAAAATGCTTCTGATTCATCTCTTTCAGGAGATTCTGGAAATATATCAATTCAGTTCTTGAAGACAGTACTTGCAAACTTGAAAGCTGAGATTGAGACAATTAATAAGCCTAAAATATATTCTGATGGGACTTTCTGGCACCGTCCTCGAGATCCAGTCTTTGCTTTGGCCATGTCTAATCAGGAAGGAAATTTGAATCCTAGAGAATTATATCACCTGGATGTCTTTGTTTGGATTCTAGGTCTTAAAAATAGACTTCCAGGAGAGCCTACTCAAATTTTGTGTCCAACTGCTCTTTGTTCAGGCAAACTTGTTCGGCATGGCTACAATACTAAGCCAATTGCTCGCCGAGTTCGGGGTCTTCACAGAGATTATTTCCTATTAACAAATCGGCTTCGCTGTGAAGACTGCAAGAAGTCATTCCAAGCAACTGATCCCAAAATCTTAGAACAGCTGTCTCGTGGCTTAAAGGAATCCTTTCCAGCCTTTTTGACAAGCAGAGCTGCAATTGACAAATCCTTAATGTCTGTAATGCGGGCATGCTTTGCAACACGTTTTGGGCCAGAGCCATTCTCTGCAATGCTCTCAGAAATGCGTCATATTGATCATTCACAACGTGAATTGATGTATCTGTCAGCTGTAAAATCAATGGAGATGCCAATTCAAGAGGGATTTTCTAAGTTTGATGATAAGCTGCGATATGCTGGTTCATGTCCATCAACTGGCTACTGCAAAGGGGTCTTTGTTGACTGGATGCGAGCACATTGTCCATATTTTGACAGAAAAATTGCTGCTCTTCCTGCATCTGTTTTGAAGGGGGATCACACTTTCAAGGTGAGCTTCTGTTGTTCAATAAATATATTTTGCATTGGGGGATAACATAATGAATTTAGGTCATCAAACTCTTAGCCCGCATGGGAGGTGTACCTACTCATGCAGCATTATACACTCTGGTCAATGAATTTGAAGATTGTCGAGGTCAGGCATTAACCTTGACAAAAAGTCTTTCATATGTTGAAGAATGCTTTACTGGTATTTCTGAAAGCCTACAAAAGCATGGGCATAAAGAGACAGGCCTTATGTTTACTGACAATGCTCGAGGTTTGTGAGGTTCTGAGTATGTTGATATTATCTGATTCAAATTTTCAAATAGCTGAAAGAAATTTCCATGAGTCATGCACTCCATCCTTGAAAAAGGGTGTTGTTCATGTGAAGCCAAATCCCTACTCTCACTTTCCACCTTCAAAAATTCCAGCTGATGTTTCTGTGAACTATATTTCGGCTGCAGATCTCATTGATGAAGCTTGTCATCAGATCATCAAAAGAGCTCAATCTGACCCTCAGTCATTTCTAATTGCTGGAATTAGTATCAGATATGATGTTGAGCCTGATGGATATGGTGGACTTGTCCCCAAGCTGCAGAGTCATACTACAGTGAACACAATTCAATTAGCTGTACACAAGGAAGTCTATGTTTTTCAGGTCACAGAACTTCAGGAGAAAGCAAGTGCCCCTCCAAATTTACTGTCGTTGCTTTCATCAACCCACATTATCAAGGTTGGGTACTCTATCCAAGAAACTCTTCTATGTTTGGCAAATCTATGGTCCATTGATGATTTAAAATCCCAACTGAAAGCTGGGTCAAAGACTCCACAGATTCTGGACTTGGGAGTATTGGCTAAAGCAAAAGGTGTTGTTTCAGATGCAAAGGCATCCTTCATTACTTTGACTGGCTTGATTCTTGGGCAATCAATTAATCAATCAAATTCTCTTGCACTAAGTGATTGGTCTGCAATAACACTGAGTAAAGAGCAGATTGATTCTTCTGCACTTGATGCCTTCAATGTATTTTCAATGTGGCAAAAGTTAGCAGTACAAAAGTCTGTGGGTCTTCCTGTATATGAACCCATTCCTGGCATACTTGTCAGTATTCGAGGAGGTAGAACACAAATTGTTGCTCGAGGTCAGATCCCAGAGCAACCATCCTCAAAGAATGCTCTCTTGAGATATAACAAAGAAATGAAACTCATAAATATCACCCCTACCAGAGTCTTGGTTCAGGTTGATGAAGTAATTATCCCAGGATATGAACCAGCAAATCACAAACTTGCACTTGGGGAGATGGGGAACCCTCCATTCCTTATCGTTATGCCAAAGTCAATGGTTGTCACAAGAAATTCAACTCCACCTAAGCAGCCAGAAGTCCCTTCTGATTCTTTGATGCTCCCTGATGATATTTCCACATATTCACCTCCAACTATTCAGAAACCATCAGATTTGATGGGCAGTAATGATATTGGAGAAGATGAGGAGGAAGAGGATGAAGAGGAAGAGGATGAAGAGGAAGAGGAAGATGGTCAGGATAACAATTCTGGAAATGCTTTTGAACATCCCAAAGAGATGGAAGGCCAAGTTTCCATCAGAGATGATACTATTTCTACTGTAGAGGAGGCAACATTTAATAATGATGATAGTGAGGATATCTATGCAGATGCAGAGTTTGATAAATTCCTTGCAGATGCAGATATCAGTCAGTTGGAATCAGATCCTGTCACCATAGCAGTACAATCTGCTCCAAGTGCCTCAAGTGCAGCTCTTGAACAACCATCTCATGAAAGTCCAAAAACACTTGCAAGCCGTGTTCTGGAAGACATATGGCATGTGAAGGACCGCTTGCTCAGGCTCTTACCACAGTCTCATTCAGCTTTTAAAAAGTTCAGAGTAGCCTTTGGAGAAGCCATATTTGTTTTTGATAAGAATGATCAGGCTCAAATTAAAGCATTTCTTGAAAGAAATGGTCAAACATGGGATCAGGCTCTCAAAAGAAATCCAGGGAAAATTTATAGAAGATGTCGGAGATACATCCCTCCTCCAGATATTCTAACTCCAGTTCTTAGAACATTGTTTGAGTGTTGGAAAGATGTTCCTTGTGCCCTTGATCCATCAAATGGGAAACTGTTCTCAGCTGCTGCATGGCGTCAAGCTCAAAATACACTAAAATCTGCAGAAGATGGCCTGATGTCTGACCCCCCAGGAATTCCACTCTATTATGATATGGGTGTAGATAAAGATGGATTACACTGTTATCGTACTGTTCGGGGGACAAATTCTGTTGAAGGAAATATTCATATGCCACTTCGAAGAATGTTTGGATCACTTCATGCTTCTCCTGAGCTCTCAGATGCACTTCTATGCAACAGTCGTGATAGAAGGAATACTACGGTAAGTTGCAAAATTTATTTGAACCTAACTTCAGTTTCTCATTCATTGTCAGGTTGGTCATTACAACCGTACTGGTAAAAAATGGAGTGGTCATCATGATACATACAGGTCTGATGAAATTGTGGAACTTGCAGCTGATGTGGGAATTTCACCATCTTTTCCAATCCCTGAAATTTTGTCAACTTGCATTGCTACAAAGGAATCTTTTGGAATTATTCCAGTTCCAGAAAAAATTGCTGAAGAACTCGGTTTTGAAAGAAGGGAAGAACCTACTTATGAAGTAAATGATAAAGGAAACCTTCTTCATCGAGGAATGCCTGTTAACACACTTACACGGTTGTCAACAAAACCATCACCTCCTCATGATTATCTAGCAGAGCGCCAAATGACTGCCCATGCAGTGGTTCCAATTCACACAACTGGTGAATTTAAGTTGTTCAATGACTTGATGAGGTCTGAGAGATTTTACAAGAAAGATCGAAGAAGGGTTGCAGCAAAGGTTTCACAATCTGTGGACTTCACTGCCTTTGCAAAGGAATGGACAGTTCATGTTCATCTTGCTGCTGCTGAGAATCGGGATAAGAACAATAAAATCTACTATAAGCTTCCAGAACAACTTGAGAAACACCATCAAGCATGGGTAAAAACTCGAGGAGAGAATGCAACACTCTCAAATACAGAAAAAATGAGAGAGAAGTTTACAAAAATTGTAACAAGTATAAGCCGACAAGCTATAGTTCTTCCAGCTATTGAATTCCCAAAGAAAAACTTGGCAGCTCGAAAGGACAAGGGAAAAGAAAAGGAAAGCACAATACAAAGTGGTATGTTTTATTAAAATATGTTTTACATCATCTCATTTCCTTCCAAAAAAGGTTCAAACAAGGGAAAGGAGAAAGAAAGTTCAATGCAAATTAATGAACAGCAAGCAGAAAGTAATGTTCCTGATCTGGTTCAAACAATATCTCAGTCAATGGAGTACATGATGGTTGACATTGATGAAGATCCAGAAGAATCTTTCTTCCAAGATGCTCCACTCCATCTGGCTCTCCAACCACCAGATTCTACTCCAAAATTTGTGCTGGGATCCTCCTCCACATCTTCAACTTCACAGATCAAAATTAATTCATCAAAACAACGTCAAAAGAAGACATGTGCTGCTTGCAGAGATGCAGGGTGCAAGCAAAGGGATAGTTGCAAAGGATCTGGAAACAGAAAATGGTGCACCTGTGTAATGACAGGTGTACATGGAGAATCAAAGAGATAAATTTGTGTATTATATTGTGCCGAAATATTTTGAGAATTTATGTGAATTTATGCAAATTAATTTGGGTGTAGATAGCTCTTGGAATGAAATGTCATTTTATGTTGTCTAGATGCAGCACCATAACGAGGTATATTAAGAATAATGTTGGAAAATATAAACGGGCATATGGTTGAGTGGTTATGTGTACAGTGTCAGACGTGACCTCGGCCAAATGCCCGAGGTCATGAGTTCGAACCCTCAACTTGAAAAAAGTTTTTTTTTTCAAGATCACCTCCAGACATAAGACATGAGCCCGTTTCTATCTCTTCTATGTAAGAAGCGGACCGATTCTCCTGAGTCACGTGAGCGCGAGATTTTCATCGGCACCGCTGACTCACATGACTTTGAGACGCGTTGCAATTTAAGGGCGAACTCGTTTCTATCCTCCCACCATCACTCGGTGGACACTGCCCTCTGCGCAATTCTTTGCGTCGGCTATTGCAATATATATCCTCTCAACCTCTTGAGACGATATGCGAGATTCGGTGTCGAATCATCAGCAATCGCTTCGCACCCCAGCGTCTGCGATATGGCGCTATCACCATCACCGAACGTTTCGACCAATGTTGAACCTCGCACAGCTTAAAGAGCTTATCCTTATCTCTACACCAGATGACACGTCTGAAACAGTTTGGAAAGGCAAGAAACGGAGTGCCTCGCCTAGAAGCAACGGGAAAAGACCCTCAAAACGGGCCAGAACTTCGACGGGATCTGTGCACAACCATGACAAGGATGATTCAGAGAGCTCAAGTTCTGAGACGTTGACACCGCCCACTCTCTCGGGCGTCGACGGTAGTTATCCTCAACTGAAATATAACAAGGCTTTTTTCCGCTCGCCGGCTGAAACCGTTCCGATAATAAGACATCTTCTCGAAATTCAATACACTGGCGCAACCAATGCAGACAATAACGAAGAGGGCGATTGTAATGGCGGGTGGAAGTCAGAGGAAGAAGAATTTAGGGCGGCTTTGGTTGATCTGAGCAGTGGGTTCTCGGAGCCCAGAATCATTGATCTTGGCGGCGCTCGCCTAGTCGAGTATGACGGCCACCTCGTGGGCGTCTCTGATGTGTTGACCAGACATACAAAGGAGGATGGTTGGCTGTTTCTAGCTCCAGCGCTGACGGAAGGCATCGACCATGACGCCCTTGACCTGTCTTCCTCGACGGTTGCGGATTTACTCTTGGCCTCTGACTTTCTGAGATTAGCTGACAAGGTCTCTTTGAATGCTCGATTGAGGGCCGTCATTCTTCCGTCCGGCCCCTGCGATTCTAATGCAGATGACCTTCCATTCCGTTTCCAAGTGGAGCTGAACATCGGCCTCTGCCTCCCCCAGTTCTTTGAGCCCTTCTCGGGTAAGGTAAACAAGAAACACGTCACCTTGGTTGAAGATGCGCAGAGGTGTCTTCTTCATTTTGCCTACGGTACCAACATCCCACCTCCACCACCCTCTTTTGAAGGTGCTACGAATATGTCATATTTCTATTCTATACTCGGCCCCGCCCCATCGTTGGAGTCGAAGCTAGCCGAAGACGCGATGCAACCTGTTCTTCTCAACCCAACGTTACTGCCATTCCAAAGACGAAGTGTTGGTTGGCTGCTCAACAGAGAAGGGAAAGCCGTTACGCAATCAGGTGCTATAGTCCTCAAGACCTCGTCAAACGAGTTCTCGTTTTGGGACACTATCGAGGAGGGCAATCACACCTGGTACTATAATCGCCTCAGCGGCGTTCTTTCGACCACGCCTCCCTCAGTGTCTGCATCCCTGGGTGGGATATTGGCGGAAGAACCTGGATTGGGCAAGACCCTTGAAACGATTGCTATGATCCTCTTGAATCCGGCTCCCGAGGACCGCAATCCTACACTTACGAGGTGGGATCCGGAAGCTCGTTTGCAGGTCAAAGCCATCAAGGTGATTCTTTCCCAAAACTCCGTTACTAGATGATTCTGACAGTTTTGCTAGACCTCCCTTATTGTAACCCCACCTGCTTTAGCATCTCAATGGATAGATGAGCTGGCAGCTCATGCCCCATCGTTAAAGGTCCTTGTATACGAGGGATGGGCGAAAGTCCAAGTCCCTATTAATCAAAGCCAACTTGAAGAAGAACGGCTTTCCGAGC